CCACCAGCAGGGTGTGTTGCCTTGAGGCTAGCAGTCTCCAATGCTTGGGATCATGGCACCGTGTCTGCACCCTAGCCTGGTCTGGGCCAGGAATGCCAGGACCCCTCCAACCCGCTCTTTCTCTCAGAACCTCAGGTTTGACTCCCTAGGGCCTGGCAAAGATTCCCCCTGGAGACAACTTCCCAGCTCCTTAGGCGAGATTTCAGGCAGCAGATGACACATGGAGAATCCCGGGAGCCTAGAGGCAATAGACAATGAGTCACTAGCCCCATTATACTGACAAGGAAACTGAGACCCAGAGAGGCAGAGTCACAGAAAGCCTCAGTGACAGGACTGGGCTTTGACCTCTGTCCACACACCTAGCTCTTTCCCTACCCACGTGTAGGTTGCATGGCCGAAAACAGGGGTCCTTCTTATTTTCTCTCTGTAGCCATTTATTGGACATTTACTGGCACTAGGCACTGTGCCAAATACTTGACATCGTTTCATTTGTTCCCCACAACATCCCTAGGAGGTGGGTTGGATTTTTTCCCACTTTAAAGATGAGGGAAATGGGGTCAAGAAAAACTAAAGCACCTGCCCAAGGTCACCGGCTTCTCAGAAGCAGATTGGAATTCAGTCTGGTGGTCTCAGCCCAAAGCCTGGTGGCCCCGCCCTGCCAGGAGGCTTCCAGACGGGGGTAGAGGGCTCATCTGCAATTCCTGGAAGAACTTCAGGGGTCCCTTGAAACCATTAAAGAGCATGTGGGCCCTGGACGGTTTGGCTCAGCAGTTAGAGTGTCGGCCTGCGGTCCAGAGAGATCCGGATTCAGTTCCCGCTAAGGGCAAGTACCTCAGTTGCAGTTTGTGGCCGGCCCCAGTTGGGGTCGTGTGGGTGGCAGCCACTCGATGTGTCTCTCTCACGTTGATGTTTCTCTCTCTTCCTCCCCCTCTCCCTCCCACTCTATCTGAAAATAAATGCAAAAATGTCCTTGGGTGGGGATTAAAAAAAAAAGAGCATGTGGGTGTCCATGTATGCACATGCGCACACACGTGTGCAAACATTAAGGAAAAGGGCATTGCTCTCAACAGCACTTCAAAGGAACTCGACTCAGAAAAGGCTCAGAACCACTGCTGCTGAGTAAAACCCTTGGCCTTCTGGGTCAGCGTTGCTGTGGCCTTGGGCAGGTCAGAACAGGAGGGTACATTTTTTTTGTTTTTTTCTTTATTGATTTGAGACATGAGAGGAAGGGAGGGAGAGAGATAGAAACATCGATGAGAGAGAACATCGATTGGCTGCCTCCTGCATGCCCCCCACTGGGGATCAGGCCCACAACCTGGGCATGTGCCCTGACCGGGAATTGAACTGGCAACCTCTTGGTGCATGGGTTGCGCTCAACCACTGAGCCACACCGACAGGGCCAGGAGGGTAAGTTTTATTTGAGAATGTGTTGGGTGGCTGTTTCAGGGTGGGTGGGTTGGTTAGTTGGTTTTTGTTTCTTTTTTTTTTTAATCCTCACCCGAGGATATTTTTCCATTTATCTTCAGATAGAGGGGGTGGGGGAGAGAGAGAGAGAAACATTGCGAGAGAGTCACATAGAAAGGTTGCCACCCACATGACCCCAACGAGGGCTGGGGACAAGCAGCAACCGAGGCACGTACCCTTGGCCGGAATTGAACCCGGGACTCTGGTCCACAGGCCGACTGACGCTCTAACCGCTGAGCCAAACCAGCCAGGGCTGGTTAATTGGTTTTAATGTTGGCTCTTTGGCCGTCAACAGCCCAGGAAGGTCATGCCCACTGCTCTGCCAGGCAGGCCCAGGCCTCCAGAGCCGACTGGTCCAGGCCTCCATGGCCTGGTGTCCCTTATCCACAGGCCTGAAACCTGACCTGTGTGCCAGGAGCTCTGCCACATTCTCTTGTCATGCAGTGGTTGATCTGGGGCCTTTCCACCCCTGGAGCAGCTCACAGGACACTCCCACCCCAGCAAGCTGAATCATATGGCCAGCAGCCAGGGCCAGCGAGGCCAAAGCCCCATCTCCACCCAAACCAACACCCATCCTGCTGTCCAAAGGGGCCGTCAGAGCACTGGGGCCCCCTCACCCCAGCCTAAAGGTCCAGCCAGCGGCAACAGAACCTTGGAGGGGACACGTCCTCTGAGGCCTCGCTGGGCCTCGGCCCACCCAGGTAAGAGGCCAGGAGTTGAGGAAACAGGTAGCTGAGTGGCAGAGGCGGACACTGGGCTTGCCCTGTGAGCAGGCAGCTGCCAGGGAGCACAGGTCTGCTGCAGGGAATGGGGGCACCCGTTGCCAACTCGGGCACTCTCCACCTGGAGTTCAAGACCACTCACTGGTGTGCACACAGCTGACTGCGGGGAGGGGGACACCATGTATCAGTTTCCTCATTTGTATGACAGGATTACTGAGAGATGGTGTCCAGGAAAGAAAGGGCCTTTCCACCAAGTCAAAGACAGCACTGGGGCCAGGAGAGGTGGTCAGCCCCCTGCCCTGCCCTAGCCCAGGCCCCTGAGGGGCAGCAGGGTATGGGAGAAAACTGAAGGGGCAAAGGTCAGGGGGCGGGCCCCCATGCTGAGTGCACCTTCCATGCTGAGTGCACCCCAACCTCCCAGCCCCTTACACCTTCAGCCGAGTGGCTCCCAGAACCCCCCTTCCTCCCAACACCCAACATGTGCCCATGTATCAGCCCCCACCTGCAGGACATCACCTGGTTGTCCTTTCCTTTCCTGCACTGCTCACCTGGTGCCCTCCCGGCCGCCCACTCACCCCACTCCAGCTCTGCCTCCACACAGGAGCCGCGACAACTGAACCCGCCCCTGCCCTGCAGGTACCCTTCACTGGCCTGAGGTGTTCGCAGGGGGCTTAAGAGACCCGCCGCCCTCCCAGTGTCTTCACTCAGCTGTGTTGTCTCTGACAGCAACTTGGGGCCACTCCACTTGCATGTCTATAGCCACACTGTCCCCTCTGCCAGAACCAATCCCATTGCCTCAAGGACTGTCCTCCAAAGGGCCTTTGCTTGACTTTCTCCCTGACCTCTCAGCGAGGGCAGGGAAGGTGCTCTGAGCCAGGGTGAGTAAAGTTGGATATACAGGCACACCTCATTTTATTGCCCTTCACAGGGGATCCATGTTTTTACAAATTGAAGACCCTCCACCAGCAACTCTAAAAAGATTAGGACTGCTTTATTAGGGTGGATATATCATGCTTTATTAGATATGGATATATCTCCGTATCTCCAAGGCACGCCAATACATCAAACCTTCAAATAACCCTCCGATCAGCCCCTGAAGGACCAAGGAAAGGATGTTCACATATCCAGACCACCTAGATCACCACTGCAGACCAATCCAGAGGCTAAGAATGCAGGACCAATTCTTCTCAAGAATACACTTTTTTTCTCACCTGAGGATATTTTTTTCATTTACTTTCAGACAGAATGGGAGAAGGAGAGAGCCCTGGCTGGTTTGGCTCAGCAGTTAGAGTATCAGCCCGAGGACCAAAGGGTCTTGGGTTCGAGTCCGGTCAAGGGCATGTACCTCAGTTGCAGTTTGGTCCCTGGCCCTGGTCGGGGTCTTGTGGGAAGCAAGGCAGTCGATGTGTCTCTCTCACATTGATGTTTCTGTTTCTCTCTCTCTCCCCCTCCCTCCCACTCTATCTGAATATAAATGGAAAAATATTCCAGGTGAGGATTAAAAAAAAAAAGAGGGAGAGAGAAAACACTGATGTGAGAGAGACACGTCGATTGGTTGCCCCCATACAACCCCAACCAAGGCCAGGGGCTGAACTGCAACTGAAGTACGTGCCCTTGACCAAAATTGAACCCTCGACTCCAACTGCTGAGCCAAACTGGCCAGGGCAAGAAGATACTTTTTATTATAAGAAATCACAAGAGGAGGGAGTGGGGGGAGGGATGAAATAAACCAAGAAACATATGCACCCGTATGTGTAACCAATGGACATAGACAACAATGTTGGGGGGAAGGAGGGTGTCAATGGGGGAAAAAGGAGAAACATTTGTAACAAAAATAAATTAATAAAAATTGCAGAAAGAAATCTCAGCTTTTCTTTCTTCTTCAGAACATTGTCTAGCTGTGTTTCTGGTTTGTAAACCCTAAGACCCTTGAATAAGTCTTCATCATTTCTAGCTAAAGCCTCTTGATTTCATCTACACTCGGTCAACATATCCCACAGAACTACGTTGAGGATTTTTATTACACCTGAAGCATCTGCCCCACCCCACCCTTAGTCTGTGAGCTCCTAACACAGCAGGGGCCTTATAATCACTGCTTGCTGCTTAGCACATGGCTTCCCAGAAACAAAAGGCAAAGGCCCAAGAGCAGGGCCTGCAGAAGGCAACAGCCCCCAGCCCCACATCCTGCTGGCTTCCCAGATCCCTGGCCACCCACAGTACACCCACCACTAGTCATGCCTTACCACCATCTTCTCCCCTCCACAGCTCAGCTAGCCTCTTCCAGGGAGCCCTCCTGGACTGAACCAGCACTGCCTCTACTGATGAAGCTCTTTTTGCCAATCAGATGGTCGCAAGGTGCCAGGGGCACTTCCTGGGAAGTGGGTGCTCCTGGGAAGAGCTCAACGGTCTGAAAAAATGCTGGGGCTGGGGCACAGCCTAGGTTAGGGGTTGCCTAGAGCCAAAGTTCTACCCTACAGTTTTTGGTCTAAATGAGATCAACCAGCACCCAGAGATCAAATGCAAAAGTCCTCAGTGTAAGCTAAGCTCTCATCTGCCTGGAGCCTTTCCAGACATGCTCCTTCTGCACAGACTGCCTTTCCCTTGCTCTTCAGACCACCGGCTCTTTCTTTGCTTTCAGACTGATGCTTCTAACACCTCCTTGAAGAGGCCTTTCCTGACTACCTCCTACATTTAATTAAGGTCCCTTATATTAATTAGTCCCACCTTCAGCCCCTACCCACTACCCTCACAGCTATGACTGTCATAACACCTGGGCCACAGCCAATCAGCAATTCAAAATTAAGGAGACAGACATGAACCAGAAGTGTTTATTGCAAAAATCTGGCCAAGGCTTCAACTGGGTGGCCCTGCTGGGGCTGGACTGGGTTCCTCTGCCCCTGGCTGAGCAGGTGTAACAGGAAAGGGTAGAAGGAGTATGTCTGGGCCCCGGGCCTCAGAGCTGCGAGAGGATGTTGGGAGCCAGGCTGCAGGTGAGGCCTGTGCCATCTGGCTCCACATTCAGGGACTTCACCACACCATCATCTATCACCATGGAGAACCTGCCAGAAAGAGGGCGGAGCCTTTACAACAGCCTTGGCTGGGAGGCTGGGAAAACAGAGGGTGGCAGGAGGATCCTCCCACTTTTACCTCTTGAGCCTTCGATTTCCAAAGAGGGACACCAACGAATCGTCCAGTAACAAATCTGTCTCCTAAGAAGAGAGGTAGAGAAAAGGGTCAGGAACCCCAAGGAAAGGCCAAGCTCCCCAGCTCCTCCCCACATTGGCCATGCCCCTCCTAATCCCTGCTTCCAAGGCCTGGCAAAGGGACCGCCCTGCAGGGTGGGGCTGGGGGTTGCACTCACCTTCCCAAAGGCCCCAGTGGGGTCAGCTAGGAGCCGAACCTAAAGAGAAAGTAAAAGTCACAAGAAACATCTCCTGCCTGGCCCCTGATCCCCTGCAGGATCCCCACCTCACCTTGCCTTCTGCGCTGTGGGCTCGTCCCCACTCTCCAGTCACAAAGACATCGTTAACACTCAGACATGCCACCACCTGGGCCCCCTTGGCCTTCAGAGCTCCAGCCTGCTCCACAAATCCTGGCAGGTGGGTCTGGAGGGAAAACCAAGAGTCAGCAAAGGGACAGATGCCTCTACCCCTCAGCCTGCCCTTCATCTCCAGGCTCTGCCCATTCCCCAGCTTTCCCGCCTTGCATCAGACCCCGAGAACTGTGCCCCCACAGCTCCTTTTTGCCTTGTTAGGGGTTGCCTAGAGCCAAAGTTCTACCCTAGGACTCATACTTAAGATTTCTGTGGTCAAGACCAGGAACTTCCGTAAGTATAATTATGTCTTATTTACCCAATTACCTTCCATAGTGCCTGTCAGCCAGCAGGATCAATAAGAGGTATCGGATTTCATTGTAATACCCTTTCTTCTACATTCCTTCTCACAACCTCTATTTGTTTTCTGAACACTCTGATATGCTTTTTTTTTCCTGTTAATCCTCACCCCAGGATATTTTTCCATTGCTTTTTAGAGAGGGGCGGGAGAGAAACATAGATGTGTGAGAGACACATCGATTGGTTGCCTCCTGAATGACCCCAATCAGGACCAGGGATCAAACCTACAATCCAGGGATATGCCCTTGGCCAGGAAATCGAACCCAGGACACTTCGGCCCATGGGTCAATGCTTTAACCGCTGAGCCAAATTGGCCAGGGCTCTGATATGCTTTTTTTTAAATTTTTTTCTTTATTGATTTTTAGAGAGAAGAAGGGAGAGGGAGAGAGGGACAGAAACATCAATGAAAAGAACACTGACCAGCCACCTCCTGCACACCCCGCACTGGAGACCGGGCCCACAACCTGGAACCACTGGGAACCGAACGCCCAAGCACTAAGCCATACGGGCTGGGATTTGATATGCTTTTTAACTGTCCTATCACCTGCATGCTATTGTTGCCAGCTGCCTCGAGACAACATGGAGGACTATTAATACAAACATGTACATAAGAACCCAACTGCTGAGCCCCAGAAGGGCAAGGCCTTACCTTGGAACAACCAGGGGTAAAGGCCCCTGGGACTCCAAACAGCACCCCCTTCTTGCCCTTGAACAGTTCTGCCAGGTTCACTTTGTTCCCAGGCTGCCCTTCAAACACCACCACAGATGGGATGGCATCTCCCACCTAGAGGCGAGGGCTCTGAGTTAAGGGTCAGGGAGTAGGGACAAGTAGGGAGCCAAGGGAAGGGCAGCAAACCAAGAGCCAGGGGGACAGAGGGCCTCTGGTAGCCGCCCAGTGAAACCAGAGTTGACACAAGGCAGGAAATCCAACCCTGTCAGACCTTCCAGAGGTCCCTCCCTGCTGCCTTCCCCTCTCCCCTCACTGCCTAGTTACCCCACATCCTCCAGGTTACAAGTTGGCCCCATTCCTCTTTGAGCCTGTTGGTGACAACAGAAAAAGGGAGAGAAGGCCTCCAAGGTGTTGCAAGGAGTTGAGTAACATGCTGAGTTACAGGAAAGAAGTGGGATAACTGGGCAGAAGGAGGGGAGTCAAGGGGAGGTGTAATTTGTGGGGGGGCCTGAAAAATGGAGGGAAAGGATCCTGGCCTGGTCTGTGTCCCACCCCCAAGATGAGAAAAAGGGAGGACAGCAGAAGGTGGGAAAGTTTTTTTGGGGGGAGGTGCAGGTCCCTACATCTGGGAAGTATAGAATAAAAGAAGGAATCTCTTGAGGGGGAAGGATCAAGTCCATCAGGGAGTGTGTGAGGGCCCCATGGGCAGGAGAAAGAGGAGGGAGAGTCAGGGGTGGGGGTGGAGGGTAGGATGAAGCAGCGGGAGGAGGTCTCAGAAGAGTGGGGGAGGGTAGTTCTATGGAGCTGGGGATGGTTCAAGATGAGAGGAGAGGAAGACTCAGCTAAAGGATGGGAATCAGCTGTGGGTGAAGTGGGACGGGGCTCTAAGACACAACACGTTCAGAAGATGGGGTGAGAGTGAGGCCCAATAACCTGACAAAAGCATGCAGGAGGGTACAGCGGGGATTCTGTATGGAGCCTGAAAAGGGGCCCTGGGGCAAAGGGGGGGAGCATGGTATTCAATTGCCTGAAAATGGTGGAGACCCCATCACAGGCTTTCGTAGTGAATGTTGGAAAGAAGGCTCGAAAGCCTCAGGGACCATCTCAGGAGAGGGTGCACGAAGCTCTTAAAACTGGCGAGAACGGTGGTGCAGCCACGGGTCTGTTGAGGGGATAAGGGGGACAGACGAGGAGAGGTGCATCTAGGGCGGCGGAGAGAGGTCCGCGGGGCAGGAAAAGGGGGAGACCAGGGGGGTTGGGGCTGGGAGCCAGTGCCTTCAGCAGGAGGGAGGGCATTGGAGAGATGAAGGGGGGGATCAAGAGGGAGTCAGGCCGGGCCGGACTGGGCCAGGGGTCACCTTGATCGGGGCCATAGCGACAGCGGCGCTTCTGAAACCGCGGGCTCTGCTGAGCGTCCACTCTAAGCCTTCCTCCAGGCACCCTCTGCCTCCCGCCGCTGCCGCACAACGGATGGAGGCCGCCCGAGCGAGTATCGAGCCGGATAGGCGGCCCAGGACGCACATCTCGGTCAGCCCCACACGACGTCTCCAGGCCACAGCCCCCGGCTCCGCCCCCGGCTCCGCCCCGCCCCCGTCGGAGGCGGGGCCTGGACCGCAGTGCCGCAGCGCTCCCCTGCAAAAGGCCGGGCCCAGCGGGCGCGGGGGCGGGCCGCTCCACCGTGCTCGATTTGCATTAGGGGCTGGGCAAGTGGGCGGTGCTTCCAGCCGCCGCACAGCTTATTAGCATACAAGGATGGGGTGCAGGTGTTTCGATGGGCCTACTTAACGGACTCCCGCAGTGTTACCGACCCTTAACCAAAAGCGACGGGCGGAAGACAAAGGATTCAGGCGCCTGCGTAGAAGTAAAACACGTTTATTTTACCTTCAACGAAGGCTCCTGCATTGCGGCTGTCTTACATACGATTCGCACTGTAAATGATTTGTAACGAGTGGGGGTTTGGCTCAGCCAAAACCACCGGGCCTGCACCGTAGCAACCTCCTGCCGAGATGCTTCCGGTAGCAACTCGTGATCCCACGAGGCGTCTGCGGAGTCTCCTTTCCCGGGAGCACCAGAAGTTCCAGCAAGTTCGCGGCTTCCGCTCCTCCCAGCCGTGCGATAGGAGAGCGCGGAGCGGCCCCGGAAGTGACGCAGCGGGGCGTCTGCTTTCTTCCGGTTCCGGCCGGGCGAAAGTGCTGTGGCGACATGAAGCTGCTCACCCACAATTTGCTGAGCTCGCACGTGCGAGGGGTGGGACCCCGTGGATTTCCCCTGCGCCTTGAGGTACCGCACCGCGACTCTCTGGCGCCCTTCCCCCGGGCGGGATAGGGGAACCAGGCGCCGGACCCTGCCTGACTAAACCCCTCCGCCCCGCAGGCCACCGAGGTCCGCATCATTCCTGTGGAGTTCAACCCCGACTTCGTGGCGCGTATGATACCCAAAGTGGAGTGGGCGGCGCTCCTGGAGGCGGCCGATAACGTGAGGACCCTCCCTCTGCCCGTGCACACTCTTCGGGGGGTGGTCCCACCACAGCCCTTTGCACCTGGCCAGGGTCGGGGATGCCCAGAGATTATTTAGGCCTCTTGCCCACAGTTGCGTCTGATCGAGGTGCCCAAAGGGCCGATTCAGGGATATGAAGAAGATGAGACATTTCTGAGGAAGATGCACCACGTGCTGCTGGAGGTGAGAACTGGCCTAGCACTTGCTTCAATGGCTAGCGGCCATCCTGGAGGCTGCCAGTGCTCAGCTGTTCCCCACTTCCCCGCAGGTGGAGGTGCTGGAGGGCACCCTGCAGTGCCCAGAGTCTGGACGTGTGTTCCCCATCACCCGCGGGATCCCCAATATGCTGCTGAATGATGAGGAAACCCAGACTTAATCGTGCAGGCGTCTGTTTTTCATACTGTGACCGTATCTTTGTTTATGTATATCCTGTCAGTTCTGTCACGTGTATCCCTAACTCTGGACCCAGTGACACGCCACACAGTGTTCTTGAGCTCGATATATTTTTTTTTCTCATTAAAGGTTTAAAACCAAAAGCGGTTTCTCTTTGCAACAAATATACATTAAAATAGAGTCTCTGTACAGCCAAGGGCTCTGGGCCCTGGCTTGCCCCATGTCCCTGCACCTCCCTGGCCAAACCCAAAAATAAATATAGTGTTATTGCTCTGCAGGGCATAGAGGCAGTGCTCTCCCTTCCCCCTGTGGAGGCTGGGTGGGAGCTGACGGGGACCCTGGCCACCCAGGGGTCCAGGGGCTGGAGCCTGCTTGGAGTTATTGCTTCAAGGGGGAGGCAGAATGCCCGATGCAAATGATGAGAGGAGCCAAGGGGGCAGGGGCCTTTGCTCTCCAAATTTCCCTCTGCTCTGGAGAGAGCGTCGGATTAAGCAGCAGCAAAAGCATCACCCACTGGGAGACTGTGGCCTCCGCTCCCTTCCCTCCCTGAGATCAGGCTTCTGCCCCCTTCCCCCACACATCCCCTGCAGCCCCCTATGGCTTCCGCAGCACCCCCTACACTCTGGGGGTACACTATGGCTTGCAAGGGGCAGCACTGTGCCCAGAGCCTGGACACACATTCCCAGCTTCTAACACCCCCAAGGAAGGGGGAGGGGAGGGCGTAGGGCCTGCTCCCAGGGGCTGATGGTATTGCCTAGGCCCTGCCAGCAGGCTGTGGCACTGCCCAGACCCCAGCTCTGCCCCCTTGGGGCTGACCCCATGCTTGATGGGTCCTGCTAGCACCCCCCACCTGTACCCACCCCTTGCCTCAGTCCATCATGGCCTCGAGCATTTCCAAGAACAACTTGTGCATGGGCACCTTGCCCTCCAGCTTCACCCCATAGAAATGGGCCAGCACTTTGCCCGCTGTCTGGCGAAGAAGTGGTAGTGTGAGCAGCAACCTGCCTGCCCGCCGCCTCTCAGCGCCCCCTCCGGGGCCTGCCCGGCCAGCTTCATACTCCAGCAGGGCCTCATGGAGAGCTTCTCGAAGCTGCTCCACAGCCTCAGCATCTTCTATGTGCACAGAGTCTGCAAAGAAGAGGGAGAGAACTGTAGACACGGGCCACCTCCAGAAAGAAGAGAGCCACATCTGCTTGGGCACTGAGGGTGGGGCCCAGAGGAGCCAGACACAAATTTGTTGATTGGCTGAAGCAGCACTCATTGTTCTGCTCATGAGCCAGGGCCTACCCTTTCGCAACTATGGTCCTCTCTGGTCCTCCCACCTTCCCTCCCACTAAATCGTCCACCTTTCCAGTAAGTATGGCTCTAGGGCTCAAAGTCATGTGCAGTCCCTGGGCCTACCCTCACCTTTGTGGCTTTAGGCAAGTCACAGTTCTTCCCTACATCTGTTTTCCATGTCTGCAAAATGGGACTGTGCCACCATCAGAGTTATAGAGGGCCTTCTCAAGACTTGTCAGGACCTACCCAGACTCACCTGAGTTGGCAAGGGCCAGGGCCTTCAGCAGGACATACTCCTCCCGCTCCAGTCGCAGGGCCTGCAGTCGCCGCACCAGCTGCAACAGGGCAGCCCCGAGTTCCCCCAGACCAGCTGCTCGTGCTCCCTCTTCATCCAGGACCAGGTCCTCAGCAAAGGCCAGCTCATCCTGCAGCGGCAGTGAGCGCTGGGCCACACCCAACACCAATACCTCCATCCATACGCTCTGCAGTACTGACATCTGGTCCGACAGTGACAGTGACGAGAAGCCTGGAGGACATTGGAAGCACACCTGGTTGAGGAGGTACCCTGGAGCCAGGCATGGCCTGGCCTACCCAGGGGAGCCCACATCACCTGGCCCTTTACCTGGGATGCTCTTGGCCCAGCTGATGGTGACCACAATCTCTCGGTCAAAGAGGTCACAGAGGGTAGCTACAGCTGGGAGGTGTCCATCAGGGCCCGCTGGGTCAGGCATGGCATACAGCTTCTCGGGCTCTACCACCAGCAGGTGGGACACCAGTGCATTCACTGGGGCTGCAGTGACAGTTGGAAGAAGCACTTGAATTCATCACCTTGCAGGCCCTTTGGGGTCAAACATCTTCCCAGAGTCAGCCCCCCGTGGCTTTCCTTACCAGCCACTGGTCAGCAAGCTCAGACAGCTTTCTCCGGGCAGGGCTCTCCCTATCGCCCAGGAGAAGCCAGTCTGCGAACAGGTTCCAAGTGTCAGAAAACCTTTCCCTGTTCCCAGCTGTACTACTCGGGGACTGACAGAAAAGGGTCTTTTCAAAAATGCTTTTTGGGGGAAATGGGTAAGTGAATAGATGGAAATTTGGGGCTCCAGTGCCCAAAATAACTGCCATCCTGGGTGAATGACACCAGACAGGCCTCTTGTGTCCTAGCCCAATCCCGACCCTCGAGCTCCAAGGACCCACAGCACTCACCTGTCTTCCGAGGGCCTCCAGCTACTGCCAGGGGTCCAGCAGGGAAGGGGCCTGGGAAGGGCAGTGGGTCCACCTCTGGTCGCCGCTTGTACTTCTGTCGCCCACCCCGGACACGGTCCAGACGTACCCCTTGAATTGTAGGACACGGCTGTGTCCTTGGGGCTGGGGGTGGCTGGCTTTACAGCCCAATCCATTCCACCAGAACGTCTCGGGCTTCACCCTCTCCAGCGCAACGCGCCCAGCTCCCCCAACCCTTGCCATGGCCCCTGCCTCGTACTCACCTTCTTTAAGCATGCCCACCCGCAGGCACTTGGTGAAGCGACAGGCCTGGCAGGCCTTGCGTCTCCTTTTGGTGATCTCACACTCATTGGAAGCAGGACAGCTGTACTCGATGCTCCCTGCCAGGAAGAGGCAGGGCTCCAGTGGCGGCCTCCCAGGGCCTGGAGGGGGCCCAGCAGACAGGAGAGCCCTGACTCGCCCCGGGCAAGCACAGGTCTGGGGAGAGCAGGAGGGCCGTGAGTGGGGCAGGGAAGCCCGGGGCAGTGAGGAGAATGGCTGCTGGGCTGGGGGCCCCTGTCTGGACGAAAGAAGGGCTGGGACCTGTAGAGTCAGGCTGCATCTGCCCCAATGGGCCTCTTATCAAGCCACATCTCTGGGCTCTACAGCCCTCATCTGCTCTTTTCAAGGGTTACAATGGCCTCTCTGATGCTACTCACAAAGGTCAATTCTCACCTTCATCTTATATGGCCGAAAGGAGCATCTAACACCATTGATCACATCCTACTCCCAGAAACACTAAAATACTTCTTTTGCTTTTAGGACACCTTCCTGGTTTTCCGCCCACCTCACTGGCCACTTTGTGGTTTCTGTGCATCTTCCTGTGCTCCTTCCAGTGAAGAACCTGGGCTGCCCTCGGTCCTCCTCTCCACTGACTCACTCCCATGGTGACTGCACCTAAGTCGTGGGCTGTCAAATGTATATCTCTTGCCTAGACCTGCCTGAACTTTAGACTCATATCCCGCTGCCTCCTCGACACTTTGCATGTCTGTCTAGAAGGCCTCAAATCTAACCTGTCCTAAATGGAGCCCGATCTACCCCTCCAAAACCCTCAATTCCATCCGTCCAGTTGCTCAAGCAGACATCAAGGAGACATCTTTGATTTTGTCTCACTCCCCAAATGCAACCCATCAACTGATCCTAGTGGGCTTTACCTTCTACTATGACCTCGTGCTCTGCCCTTGCCTATTTCAGTTCCTCTCCACACAGCAGCCAGAGGCATCCTATTAAACCTAAGTTAGATCCTGTCCCTCCCCTCCTCGAAACCCTGCAGTGATTTTCCTTCTCAGAGTAAAAGCCCAGTGAGCCCTGCGGCCTGAGGCCTGCACTCCTGCTCTTCACCCCTTTTGACCTCATCCTCCTTGCACTCTGCTCTGGCTCCAGGCTCCTAACGCAGGGCCCACGGCTCCCTTCCCTCCTTCAGATCTGTGCCTGTTGTCACCTCACGGAGGCTTCCCCAGCCACTCTGCAGTGATGAGAATGCCACATGGCCCCTCTGTGGACATCTCCAGCGCTTGCCCTGCTTGAGAGTTTCTCATCAGCTCCCAGCATCATCTAATATGCTATACAGGTACACATTTATCTTCTTTATTATCTGTCTCCTGGCTTGAGTGTTAGCTCCACGAGGGCCAGGACTGCCCCACTGTTTGAAACAAGACCTGGCTTGTAGTGGGCCCTCATAACTGGTGCATGGCAGCCCTCCCAGCCTCGCAGGGCTACTTCAAGGACTGAATGACACAACTAGCAGACATGCCCTCAGTGTGTTTCTCCTACACCCTACCCAGGTTTCCACACTCAGCTCAAGACACCTCCTCAGGGAAGCCCTCCAGAGCCCAGACCCAGCCAGGTTCCTTGGTACACACCCTGCTCCTCACCATCCAGCACGTTCACAGCTACACTATAACAATTGTGTGCAATTCATCGTTTTCTCTCTCCCCCCTCTGCTAGAATGTAAACTATTGGAGGACCAGAAGCCCTGCCTTAGTCCCCATGCCTGGAACAGTGGCCAAAGTTTGTGAAGTCTCTGGACGCTGCCTGGAGCCTATCCTGACACTTCTATACACCAACTGTGTGACCTTGAACAAGTCCCATTCCTAAGCCCTCAAACCCCAGGTTTTCTCATCTGTAAAAACATACTTCTTATAAAGGCAAGTTGTGAGAATTCAAAGGGGTAATTGAGGTAACACATAAATAACACCTAAATATACAATAAGTGATTACTATTTATGACTAGTGCTCAATCACTATCTGTCAAGTGAGTCAGCAGAGAATGAAGGACTCTAGGGTGGGCAGGAGACACCTGGATCTGAAGCTGTTGGCTCACTGGGCTTCAGAGACAGAAGGGAGCACAGAGGTTTCAGACCAGTGGGTCTTGGCAATGGCAAAGTCAAAACTCACTGGAATGTCACAATCATTCGTGAGGCACCTGTCCAAAGTTCAATTATTAGTAATAAGCAGAGATTGCAGCCTGGCATTTAAGAGCTCGACTCTGGACCTGAATTGACCCAAGTTCAAATCCTAGTTCTGCCATTTTCTACCTCTGGGACTTGGAAAAAGTTTTAAAACCTCTCTGAGCCCTGACCAGTTTTGCTCAATGGTTAGAATGTCAGCCCATGGACCGAAGGGTCGAGGGTTTGATTTCTAGTCAAGGGCACATACCTGGGTTGCAGGTTTGATCCCCAGCCCCAGCTGGGGTCGTTCGGGAGGCAACCAATCAATGTTTCTCTCTCACATCGATGTTTCTCTCTCCCTCCCTTACACTCTATCTAAAAATCAGTGGAGCTCTGACCAGTTTGCTCAATGGTTAGAGTGTCAGCCTGTGGACCAAAAGGTCTCGGGTTTAATTCCTGGTCAAGGGCACATGCCTGGGTTGCAGGTTCAATCCCTGGCCCCGGTCGGGGTTGTGCAGGAGGCAACCAATTGATGGGTCGCTCACATTGATGTTTCTCTCTTCCTCCTTCCTTCCCTCCCTCCCTTCCACTCTATCTAAAAAAAAATCAATGGAAAAATATCCTTGGGTGAGGACTAAATAAATAGAGAAAAATAAATAAAATCTCACTGGGCCTCAGTTATAACACTGCTGGCACCTTATAGGTTGCTGTGGGGATAACTGAGGTCATGAATGTAAAGGGGCACAGTGCCTGATAAGCATTCAAGGAACGTTCTAAAAAAGTATACATGGTATAGCCCCAAAGTAACCAGAGGTTTACATAAAAATATAAGTAACATGCACATTCCAAGTACTGCTTGTTACATCACCACTTTGCTCACTCACATTTTAATATGCTTTTCTGAGTGAGAAAAATTCCGAGTACTATTAGTAGGATGCCTAATAGTCATTTTAAAGTTAGGTGCTGAAATAGGATATAGCCCCTCTCAGCTATAAAACCCTACCCTGTGTGCTGGTGCTTTTTTGGGGAAATGAACATAAAGGGGAAGGGGGAGCTCTATGCTGGTGAAGGACCAGTAGCTGCCAGGAGCAAGAATAAAGTTTAGAAGCAGGCAGAGGCTGTCTTGAGTTTTTCAGAGCCACTGTGGAAGGTGCTGGGCCTGTCATACCCAGAAACTTAGGAGACTTCCCGGCTCCTCTCTCACATCCCATATCCAATCCATCAACACATCCTAGTGGCTCTATTTAACTTTTAAGAGAAAGAGCATTCCTTGGAGGTATGAGGGCCTGGGAACACCAGGCTGCCAACCCCAAGTGGTACTATGGCTGTCTGGGGTACTAGTGCCACTCAGCAGTGCACCAATTGGGTAGTGCCAGGCCCAGAGGGCAAAGGGCACAGAAGTGGGATAGGGGCTCACCCTGGATGGTCCTCTTGAAGAAGGCTTTGCAGGCCTCACAGGATGCCACACCATAGTGGTAGCCGGAGGCCACGTCCCCACAGACCAGGCAGAGGCGTTTAGGCAGGGAGCTGAGCACCAGCTTCCCACCACCCTGCTCACCAGGCCCAGCACCCTCCCCATCCTCCTCTTCCTTGTGGCCTGGGAGGTGGCGAGTGGGAGCTGGGCCAGGGGCCAGGGCTACAGGGGGCTCGGTCTCAGTCTCCGAGGAACCCTTTGGGCTGTCTGGGCTGGCTGGCTCTGCCTTGATGTAGAGAGGCTCAATGCCCACCACCTGGCTGGACATGGCGCTGGTCACCTGCGGGGAGAAACCTGTCAGGTCACGGAGGCGCTGGAATGGGGGATGGTGAGACACCCTGCCACCCTGGTTGCCCAACCCCAGGCCTAGGGCCAGGCTTTCAGTATCTGCAAGGGGGAAAGGAGGTACAGAGTCCAAGGAAGGGCTGCCCATGAAGAGGGCCACCCCCACAGTTGTTGCCATGGTAATAGAGTCTTCAGAGCCTCCAGGGTCAGTAACTGACAGCAAGTCTCCCACTTAGGAACCTGCAGGAGGCTTAGAAACCCTCTACTCCCACCCAGGGTAACCTTGGCCCCAGGCGACCTTCAACCCCATCTGGAATCCTCAATCAGAAATGATATACCTCTCAATTTTCTCCAGACAGGGACCTCAGTGATCTCCCTCTCACCTGGGAATCCTCCATTCAAGAGAGCAAACAGAGACACACAAACCCAAGGGCAGTTAATGTGCACACACACGTGTGTTCACACCCTCACACACTCCCACTCCCCTGGGTTCTCAGATGTCCTCAAATGCTCACTTTCACACATGGCCTTTACCAAACCCAATTCTTATCATGCTCACTCACTCCTCCCCAGTGCATACCCCCTAAACAAAGTCACACTCAAGACATAATCACACACTCACACTCTTACCATACCCCCCACCCTAATAGGCACAAACCCTTGTGGAAACACATTCAAAGCTTTCACACCTGACACACCGCTCTCTCCTGTCCCAGCAAACCCACTTCAAGGCACACAGACCCGCGCGGCACCACCTCCTTGCTCATCCCCCCTCACCCCACCGCCAACACATTCACTCTTACACTCCTGCTGCCGCAGTCCTCCACCTCCGGGGCGCCCCGCCCCCCCAACCCGCACACACCTACGGGAAGTTGCCTAAAGTTGCAGCGTTCTCCTCCCCCTCCGCCCGCGGGGGACCTCTATCAGGTTATCAGGAAGTAAATGGGGAGTGCCAAGGAGGAGGAAGTTCTCCCCTGCCGGTGCGATGACCTTTGACCCACAGACGAGGGTGGCCCTAGGCCCCATCGAGCGCCCCCACGTGGTCTTCAAAGCCCCTTCCTGGATGGGAACCCTCCCCGTCTTCCACCCCGGCCCGCCCCTGGGACTTCGGCAAGCTCCAGGTGCCGGATTGAACCCTGCCCTAGGGCTGGATCCGAGGCCCAAGACCGACCCTGGCTAGGATTTGCAGCCGGAGCCGAAGCCGGCCCCTGCCCCAGGCCGGCACACTAAGACCTGGACGCTGGATCCCACCCGGACCCTGACCTCGTCTGGCTCTCCACCGGGTCCCGGCCGTGACCCGGGCCGGTCCCGGAGCCGGACCCCGCTTGGAGCCCGCCCCCCGGCCGCCTCCCTGCCGCGCTCGCACATGGCCCCCGCCCCCTCCCGCCCACCTCCCCAGCGGCACTCCCCTCCGCCCCCGGACCTGGGGCTCCGGCAGGGCGGGCGGGCAGGCATGGGGGCCGAGCGGCCCAGAGCGCCGGGGTAAGCCGGGGGCCGCTGGCGGCCCCTCCTCCGCCGCCTCCTCGGGCCGCGCCGCCCCGCCGCGCCGCGTCCCTTCACTCGGAGGCGCCGCCGGCGGCTTGTAGGACACAAAAGGACATCGCAGCCGCTTCCTACTCTGCTTCCTCCAGCTGACAGCGGGGGCGGGGCCGGCCGTGCGCATGCAAAGCAGGGGGCGGGGCCAGGCGCCCTATGCTAATCAGACAAGTGGGACAGGCAGCGCTTGAAAGCCGGGACGAGTAGGGGAGGAGCAGGCGAAGCCAGCGGGCCGTCTTTCACGAAGGTCCCGCCCCGTCCCGCAAGCCACAGCGGCGCACTTGCGTACACGGCCGCCCAGGGGGCGTGATCAGAGGAGACGCCGAGAGGCTCCGAGAGGGGGTGGAGCCAAGAACGCTTTCACGTAACGAAGGAGGCGGGGCGCGCTGTGCGCGAGAGGAGTGGGCAAAGTCGCTCAGAGAGGCAGCAGACACATGTAAATGAGAGGGCCTGACTAGTGGAGAGGCTAATATATCTGCATTTGCATGAGGGGCGGAGCCTAGCATGCCCTAGCTGGAGGGCAAGTGCTGCCACTTTCCCTTTTTCCCTTTCGCCCAAGATAACACCATCGGGGGGATCTCGGACTGCAGACCCAATATCCCCACAAAGCTGCGAGATCCAGCATGGGAGAAGCAGACCTAAAATATGCAAGAAGTCCTGGATTTCGAGACCCGGGAAGGCGGAGCCGATAGAACCCCAACGGAAAACGCTCAAGGTCACTGCGGTGACCGAGTGAAGGTCACGGGGAAAGGCGGGGCCAGTGCGTCCCCCTCACGCAAACAGCCACGCACTGACTCACGGAGCTTGCACAGACTCTTTTATTTCTCTAGGGTTCAAATTCCACGTGGATAGGGTCGGGCTTGGTGGGGCAGGGCAGGGAGCGGGGCTGGAGTTGGGCAGTCACTCAAGCCTGAGGTGGTGCTCTCAGTCCAGGGACCTGTGTTGCCTCTTGTTCCGGCGCCCCTTGAGCCTTTCGATATATCGCTGCAGCTGCTTGGTCAGGATGTGATCCTTGCCTAGCCCTGACCGGTAGCCTGGAGGATAGAACTCCATTCAGGGCAGTTAGCTAGGGCATGGCCTCCCCAGCAGCAGATGCCACATGTGTGATTTGAGGAACCGGGGGTGGTTTGGGTTGGCAGGAGCTCTGAGGCTCGGAGCTGTGTTAGTTTGGTGAACTTTGGGTCTCCAAGATGCTGAGCCCTGCCAGTTTTGTTTCAGGTTATAGACCTGTGCCCCAAATAGATGGGGGATGCGGAGCAGGGCGGGATATTGAGATGGAGGATGAATGAAGGCAAAATTAAAGAAAATGTTGTGGGCCTGATCTAGGGCAGTGGTAGCGGGCAGCTTTTTGGCCACCTCATGAACCATTCATAATAAGCAGGACAAACCAGTGAAAGTTTACCCAAATAATCCACTGTCCAAAGGTTCTTTATATTATCCAGGGAAGGGGCCAAGGCCACACAAAGACTTGTTATCCCCATTGGGCAGATGGAGAAACAGCCTTAGAAAAGCCATTTCAGTTAGAGGCTACACTAAAGCTGGAGCCCAGGTCCCTCACATTTACCCCATGATCTGCCCACTGGGTCTCCCTTGTCCTATTCCCGAACTTTTTACTTTCTGTGGGGCACCTGGAATATTTGCATAGTAAGGGAATCTGACAAGGCAGACACATCCTGAAATTCCACTTGGCAGGGGCTCAAGCCCTGCAAAATCTCCCAAGATCTCCTGGGAGTTGGGGGAGGGACTCACTCCTGAGGGCTTTGGTGAGGATTTCCAGAGCTTCATTCTCCATGAGTTCCATCAGGGGCAGCGGCAGCTGAAGAGGCAGCAAGAGGCTCAGTTGTCCAAGGGACCCCAGCTCTGTCCACAGCTGAAATGCCTCACCTGCTGCCTCCAGCCCAAGACCCCCAACCAAACTACCTGCCCCTCCACCCTACAAACCACCCCATCCCCTTCATCCCTGAACCCCCGACTTGCCCATTCCCACCCCACTAAAATCCCCAGTCTTCCCGGGTGCCCCTAACCCTGTTCTGCTGCTCCACCCAGTAGGCTTGATGGGGCGTGCGCTTCAAGATACTGAGTGATGACATTGAGGAAGATATTTCTGGAAGAGAAAAGAGAGATCAGTCATCTGCAGACTGCTGGGCCTTTCCTGGAACAGAGATGTATGAGGTGGCATCTGGCAGGGAGAGTGGCCTTCAGAGAACAGCTCCAGATGCCACCTTAGTGGGAAACACTATGGGACAGTGGTTTACAACCCTGGGCTTTATTGTCTCACCCACCAAGGTTTTAGCTCTGACTGCCCCATTGTGAGAGACTTAGAGCCAGTGAGTGAAACTTTCTGACCGGCAGGTTCTTCATCTGTAAAATGAGGTAATAAGAATAACCCCTGGCCCTGGCAGGTAGCTCAGTTGGTTAGAGAGTCTTCCTGATACACCAAGGTTGCAGGTTCAATCCCTAGTTAGGGCACATACACGAATCAATCAATGAAACAACAAATTGATGTTTCTCCCTTCTTCACATTCTCTAAAATCAATAAAAAAAAATTTTAAAGAAAAAGAATAGACTCTGGCAGGTTTGGCTCAGCAGTTGGGGCATTGGCCTGCAGACCAGAGAGTCCTGGGTTCAGTTCCAGCTAGAGGCATGTACCAAAAAAAAAAAGAGAGAGAGAGAGAGAGAAAGAATAGCTCAGCCAGTGTGGCTCAGCAGTTGAACATCCACCCATGCAACCAAGAGGTCACCAGTTCAATTCCCGGTCAGGGTACATGCTTATGCAGTGGGCCCAGTCCTCAGTGGGGGGCATGCAGGAGGCAGCCAATCGATGTTCTCTCTTATCAATGTTTCTATCTCTCTCTCTCCCTCTTCCTTCCTCTCTAAAAATCAACAAAGAGCCCTGGCCGGTTTGGCTCAATGGTTAGAGCGTCAGCCCGCTGACCAATGAGTCTCGAGTTTGATTCTGGCGAAAAGCACGTACCTCAGTTGCAATTCGTTCCCAGCCCTGGATGGGGCAGCCACTCAGTGTGTCCCTTTCACGTCGATGTTTCTCTCTCTCTCTCTTCCTCTCTCTCCCTCCCACTCTATCTGAACAAAAATGGAAAAATGTCCTCATGTCAGGATAATCAATCAATCAATCAATCAACAAAGAAAAAAACTTTTAAAAAGAATTATCCCGTATGGAGGTTGTGAAGTTTATAAGCGATCATGCACCCTGGCCTGTTGACCTGGGTTGCAGGTTCAATCCCTGGCCCCAGTCTGGGTCATTTGGGAGGCAACCAATCGATGTGTCTCTCTCACATCAATGTTCCTCTCTCTCCCTCCCTCCCTCCTTTCCTCTCTCTCTCTGAAAACCAATGGAAAAACACCCTAGAGTGAGGATTAACAATAAATAAAGGTGTCCTGGCCGGTTTTTCTCAGTGGTTAGAGCGTCAGCCTGTGGTCCAGAGAGACCTGGGTTCAGTTCCCACTAAGGGCGCATACCTCGGTTGCAGTTTGTCCCCGGCCCTGGTTGGGTCATACTGGTGGCAACCACTCGATGTGTCCCTTTCACGTCCATGTTTCTCTCTCCCTCCCACTCTATCTGAACAAAAAATGGGAAAATGTCCTTGGGTGAGGATAAAAAAAAACAAATAAATAAAGGTGATCATGCAAGGTAAGCCCAGTGTCTAGCACACAGTAAGCACTCAATAAATGGCAGTTATTATATTGCTACCAGTTCCAATTATCTGATGAACAGCTGGAGGATAGGAAAAAGAGAGAGGAAAGTTCCAAAAAGTGCCCAGCATGAAGTAGGTACTTAACAACTGTCACCAACGACTGAATAAATGACAGACAGGCACCTCCTCAACCAGAGAAAACCAATCACAAGAAATTAACTCCTTCCTCTCAACCATCCATTAATGATTCCATTAATAGCACAGTCCAACTTTGTGGACTTTGAGCATTTTCCTGCTTGCCTCTCCAGGACCTGTGGTGCCCAGGCCACAGGACCTTGTATGACGCCTTCACGATAGGTGGCGCTCCAAGAATGTCTGGTTGATTTAAAGCATAAAAGACCAGCGCTGGGCGCCCCACCCAAGGAATCTGAGAAACTTGGATCCTACGACTCCCTGGCATTTTACACCAACAGAAATAGAGGCCCTGGCCAGCCCCTGCTCTGTGGGTGCCCACAGCCTAGTGAGGCCACACTGACCCATCTTGGTCCCAGGGAAATCCTCATCCCCTTCTAAATGTCTTCTTAGAGAGCTGCGAGGGCCGTCGTGGCGGTCTGGTTCCTCCTGCTTGGTGCAGACTTTGTCAATTCCGTCATTGCATTCTTCCCAGACGCCGTCAGAGTCGTGGCTGGTCTTCTGGTTGTACCACTGGCCAGTCTTGCTGTCTATGCTGCTGCTCTCTAGTTCAGAGTCCTCATAAACGCTAGTCAGCCGTGAGTTCAGCTTGGGCTGCGACAGCGTGGCTGTGCTCCACAGATTCCGGATATCACTCTTGGAGCTCGACTTGACTGAATCATGGCGGCCAGAAGACTTGTCAGATGCCTGTGGACCACATACAAGGAAAGCCCAGCGCACATGTCAGAATGGCTATCATCAATGAATCAACAAACAAGAGTTGGCAGAGAATGTGGAGAAAAGGAAGCCCTCGTGCACGGTTGGTGGGGATGCAGATTGGTGCAGCCACTGTGGAAAGCATTATGGAGTTACCTCAAAAAATTAAAAATGGAACTGCCTATGACCCAGTGATTCCACTTCTGGGAACATATTCAAAGAAACCCAAATCACTAATTCGAAAGAATACATACACCCCCATGTGCATTGCAGTGTTATTTACAATAGCCAAGATTTGGAAGCAGCCCAGGTGTCCAACAGTAGATGAGTGGATAAAAAAGCTGTAGTACATTTACATAATGGAATGCTACTTGGCTGAAGAAAGAAAGAAAGAAAGAAAGAAAGAAAGAAAGAAAGAAAGAAAGAAAGAAAGAAAGAAAGAAAGAAAGAAAGAAAGGAAGGAAGGAAGGAAGGAAGGAAGGAAGGAAGGAAGGGATCTTACCCTTTGTGACAACATGGATGGACCTGGAGAGCATTATGCTAAGTGAAATAAGCCATTCAGAGAAAGACAAGTACCATATGATTTCATTCATATGTGGAATCTAATAAACAAAATAAATTAACGAACAAAATAGAAACAGATTCACAGATAAAGAACAGACTGACAGTTGTCAGAGGGAAAGGGGGTTGCAGGGCTGGGTGAAAAATGTGAAGGGATTAAGGGAAAAAAACCTCTCAGACACCAGAACAGTCTGGTAATTACCAGAGGGAAAGGGGGGTGGGGGAGGTAGAAGAGGGTATAGGGGAGATAAATGGTGATGGAAGGAGACTTAATAAAAGTATATAGGTTTCAGGTGTACATATTATGCATTATAAAAGTGTATGCCTGAAACCTATATACTTTCATTAGCCAATATCACCCCCAATACATTCAATAAAAACAAAAACTAGGAAAGCCCAGGGTCTTGGGGAGTTGGGGAGGGGAGGAAGAGCAGGATGGGGAAGGGACGTGGGGACTGTTGGGAGCTGCCCCTAGTGGAGTGAATGACATGATAACTAAAGGCGCAGGTTGGATGAGTCTGGGGGCTGACAGGGTGAGGGGCTCAGGGAGAGTTCTTACTTTGAAAGGCGTTTCCTCCATGGTTCTGCCCCAACGGACTCAATCGCCACAGGCCTCGAGCAAGGAAGAGGGGGTCGCGTTCCAGGCAGGGGGAGGGGCAGGGTCCCGTTCCGGAATGGAGCTGAGAGTCTCGGGTAGGAAGAGTTCAACCTACAGCCCTCCACACTTGATACTATTATTTCTCCCTGCCCCCCTACCCCTTAATAGCTGTGCTGGGGTTGGAGACGCACAGCCCATCTGGGCAGATTCCTCGGCCGTAGCCTCCAAGCAGAGACGCAGGCCGATGACAGCCAAGAGGGCAGCGCCTCCACCGAACCGACGTGGGTGCAGAGGGAGTCGCGGCAGGTCCGCCGTCCCGGGACCGGCCTGACGCAAGCACCCCCACCCCTACTCGCGTCCTCGGAGCGCGCACGCCCGCAGCGGTACAGACTTTTTCGTTTATTGAGGCAGGCTTTGAGGCACAGTTGTGAGGGACAGGTCCAGCCGGGACAGCGAGACAGAAAGCCGTGGGGGTCTGGAGATGGATGGAGTGAGGAGAGGGCCAGGAGCTGGGGTGGCAGGCAAGCAACCTGGCCTGCTCCCCAGGCTCCAGTCCCATCGAAAAAGGGCTCTTTGGTCAATCAAGCAAAGCATGCAGGGGAGAGAGCAAGGAGGAAGCCCTCTGGGAGGCTGGGGCCGTGGTCCTTCCCCTACGCGGGCGCGTCTTTGTTGCGGAGGCGCCCGGGGCCCCGGGGCCGCGCGGGCTTCCTCGAGGGGTTGGGGGGTCGGCGGCGACCCCGTGGCGCGCGCGGCGGCGCGCAGCCGCGCTCGCTCTGCGTGTCCGAGGACTCGTCGATGAAGGCCAGGTTCTCGCTGGGGTAATCCAGCGCCGAGGCCGTGGGCGGGGTGGGCGGGGAGGGCGGCTCGGCCTTCTCCGGGGGCGCAGGGGATGGGGGCCTGCTGGCGGGCGGCGGTGGGGGCAAGAATGGCCGCTCCTTCTCGGGCGGCGGTGCTGCCGCGGTCCCGCCTCGCTGGGTCACCCGCGCGGTCACCGTGCCGGTCCAGCTGGCGGCCTGGGCCGTGAAGCCGCCCATCTGCGCGGGGAGGAAAAGCTGTCTTCGCCCAGTGGTCCTCGACCACCTCCGTAACCCCGGGAGCCTGCCCTTCGCCAGTCAAGCCTTGCTCCTCTTTCCCCTGATCTCCCGCCTCATCACCCAGCCTCACGATCCCCCCTTCTTCATCGCACAGAAGCGCCCTCTTCTCAGGGAGCTTTTCTAGAAAACCCGTTTTATTTCGGCTCTCCCTCCGGTGTCCCCAGAGACCTTGGAGCTCCCCGGCGGCGGTCGGGGTCGACGAGTGGGGTCACAAACTACAGATCATGCCATTAAATTTGAATTTCAGACAAACAACAAAAGTGTAGTATAAATATGTCCCATGCACTATCTGGGACATACTTATACTAAAATATTATTTGCTATTTATCTGAAATTCACATTTAACTGGGCTTCCTGCATTTTATTTGGTAAATCTGGCATCCCTATCCTTAAGAACAGAGAGGGAGTCCTCTGCAGACCTGTCTGAACTTATCCCTTTGTCCCTGGCTGGTGCATATTGTGGCTCACTCAGTCGCTGCCTGGAGGAGCCCACACTCTGGAAGGGAGGCAGGCTGGCCAAGCAACTACTTGGGTACAGCGCCTCAACGTCGCGGCACCGACCCAGGGGCGCCTACCTCTGCCCGAGTGCGGCGGGACACTACTCGCAGCCAGTTCCCAATGGTGGTGAGCACTGAAGCAAAGTAGGCAAGGCCCAGCAGGATCCAGAACCACACCAGCGGCTGATAGGCTGCAAAGTTCTGGTTCGGGTCGGCGCCTGGGATACCACCGGGGAGGGCAGAAAGAAGTTGTGGGACAAGCTTTGAGCCTGTAAGCCACTGTTTTACTGCCCCTCTTCCCAGCTCCCTGAAAGGATCCTCTCTCACCAGGACAAGGTATGCATCAGAGTGTGTGAATGTGTGCATAACTTGAAGGCCTACAAGATAAGCGCATGTGAATGGGAGTGCTCATGTGCAAGAATGTGAGCATGTATGAGGGGTGCACATTATTATATGTGTGAACATGCATGGAGGCACAGGCATGCAAGAATGTAAAGTGTGCGTGAGGTATTGCATCCATGCAAAAATGTGAGGGTCCATTCCGTGAGCAGATATAGGGTTGGAGCCATCTCGTTTGAGTGCACAAATGCCACCTGGAATTTGGAGGGAGAAGGAAAAGTACAGAGCCCCTGGGTAGGAATAAGGTGGGTAGGGAAATGCAGCACAAGAAAGGTGGCCTCACCAGCCACATAGTCCCCGAACCCCACCGTGGTGAGCGTCACTACGACAAAGTAGATGGCCTCGAGCTTGCTCCAGCCCTCCACATAGCAGAACACGAACGTGGGGGTGAGGACAAAGAGCAGGCATCCGATCAGCAGAAAGAGCACCGCCGATAAAACTCGCACCAGTTCCTTGGGCACGTGCCACTTCTGCAGGGAGGGGCAGTAGGCAGGACCCCAGAGTCGCCAAAACCTCCACTCTCACACCTCACACCCCTTCCTCTGGGAGCCTTGGGGAGGCTCCTGCAATTCAGGGCCCGCGCTCTCGTGCTGGGAGGGGACTTAGGAAAGGTATCCCAAGCCCAGGGAGGGGACATAGGAAAGGTATCCCAAGTCCAACACAAGGGCATGGAGCAGCTCACCAGGAAGATGGCTTCAATATGACCGATGCCTCGGCGCAGGGAGGAGCCCAGCCGGTCTCCGACCCCTGCCAGCAGGATCCCAAACAGAGGGATTCCCACCAGTGCATAAAAGATGCAGAAGAGGCGTCCAGTATCTGTGCGCAGGGCTGCATTGCCATAGCCTGGGCAGAAGGGCCGTGCAGGAGGTCTAGGGGCTACCCCGCATCTCCCTATCTCCCCCTGCACCTTCCCCCATAAGAGAGCCCAGCCACTCCTTGCCCCCCTCCACACGCCCAGTCCCCTCCCCCACCGATGGTGGTGATGATGGTGCCTGAGAAAAAGAATGCGCGGCCCAGGTCCCAGGCTGAGTAGTTGCTGTGACTGGTTGAGTTGATATCAGGGTTCGCACCCCCTCCCAGGGCATCAGCCACCTCCTGCAGGACAAGGCGCAGAAGGAGGAGCCTTAGTCCTTCCTCCAGTCCTGGCCAACCTCCTGGCCCTCCAATCTCCAGATGCTTCCCTTCCTACCCCTCCCAGCTCTACCCTTCTCTCTGGTCTTCCTGAAGGCAGTCCTTTTGAGCAGACATTGCAAATTGGGTGACCCAATTTTGCTTGATCTCCACGTTGTTTTAGAAACATGTATCTGCCCCCTAATCTCACACAACAGATTTCCAATTTTACAGTGGTCAGGAGCACAGACTCTGGGACCAGGCTATCTGGTTTCAAATCTTGGTGCTATGTGAACGTAGGCAAGTTAACTGCATCAACAAGCGGAGGTGATGACAGCAGACCTCACATGCTGAGTTGTTGTTAAAACACTCACAGCAAAGCAAGCACTGTGTATTTGCTGAATTAGTCCCCACGTAGTGACCATGCCTAGTGACTTCCAGCTTTCCACAGACCCACCACTCCCATTGCCCCATAGAAGCTGAATTTGCATCCCTTGCCTTCGAGAACATGATGAAAGTTAGGGACCCTCCCTCCAGGCAGTTTGATATACCATCAACATTTTCATCCAATATTTGTAGATTGGTAGACACACAAACCCCTGCCCACCCTGCTGAACCCTGCGCCACATAGTAGGTGCTCAGTAAACATGATTAAATTAGTGAAATGGACACATGTCTGCCCCTCTTGCCAGCCTGCAGGTCCCTCAGAGCAGGGTCTTTGTTTTGAAGTCAGAGCACAGTGAGGAGGGGGTGCAGTGGGGCCCTTCCCCAAAGAGCACTGAGTCAAGACACAAAGGCAGGGAGTGTGAGGGATTTACACCACACCTCTCTCTTCCTGCAGTCCTCATTGGCAAGACCCTTTCCAAAGTCCTGGTCCTAGGCAGGAGCCCCAAGTTCCCCATAGTCCCTGCTGTCTGCAGAATAGAATCCCAAATCCCCAGCCCGGGCTTTAAGCCCCTTTTCAATCTGGTCCCAACCTCCTCTTCCCGTTTTCTCTCCTGAATCTCTCATTTGAGAACCTAAGTTAAGGTGACCTTAGTCCCAGATTTCTGAGACAATCTCATTTCCTGTCATAACATTTTAAAAATAAAGCCAAGAAGTGAACTGTATGATTCAAAGTGACTGGATTTTGATTTTGCAACACTTCTCCAGTAAATTCACTACTTAAGGGGGAAAAAAATCCTTTGTCATTCTGTGTGTTCTAATTTTCCTTTCAAATGACTGGGCATCTGCAAAATTCGAGTTCTACAGCCATTTATTCATTTCTCCCTTCATTCCAGCTTCCACACTTTTGCCCATGTGTTCCTCTGCCTGTGGTTCTTGCAACCCAAGCACACCTCTCCAAATCCCACCCCTCTCTCCTGCCTCATTTCAATTCCCAGCTCTTCCCAAAGGCCCCTGGCACCTCCCTCCTTGCCCCCAGCACCTAGTCCACGGCCCAGTATACAACAAGCAGTTAGCAAAAAGGCAGTAAGGAAAGCTCCCTCCACTGAATTCTACAGCGATCTGTCCATGGATCTGTCCCTTTGCCCAAATGTGACACCCTCTAAGGCACAGCCTGCATCTGTCCCACCCCAACATCTATTTCCCTGCTCACCCTGCATTGTATGGCATAGCACCTAGTTCACAGTAGGTGCCTACTTGCTGTATGACTAATTGTGGGAGAGAAATAGAGCAGCTGTTGCCCATTCTCCTTCTAGTTTCTGCCCTTCCTTTTCTTCTTTTTTAACCAGGAAAAAAAAGGAACTCTATTGTGAAGATAAAATAGGTCGATTCCCTCCCTCCCTCTGCCCTGTGTTCTGGTCAGACACATTCTTCTGCCCTGGCCTCTCTGAGCCTCTCTCTCTCTCTCTCTCTCTCTCTCTCTCTCTCTCTCTCTGATTCTAGAAGTGTCTAGAGACAATATCAGGCTGCCTTGTGTCCTGGCCCCACACCATCCTCATCTCTGCTCTGGGTCCTGCCACAGTGGGAATCTGCTGGAACACAGGGGCCTCCATGCTGATGGCTCCTCCCTCCAAAAGAATAGACAGGGAAGGAGGAGTAATCTTTCCCAAAGTAATAAACACGCATTTATTGAAGTCAAATCTTAGGTTTTGAATATGACCATGACTCAGAAATCAGAGAAAGCCATAGCAGTGTGGACGGACAGTAACCCGGAAGACAAGCCCAGCACTTTCTTTAGTCAGTGGACCAAAGCTGAGCCTGTCTCTGACTTGCCCTCCCTCTAACCTCTACATCATAAGCATGTGTCCTGGGGCAAAAAGGTGCTTTACCTCACATTCATGATGGCATGTATAAGCTTAGGAGATCCTAGAACCCTTCAAAATCATCTGTATGTTTATATGTGCACTTTTCTGGGGTGAAGTGTGTTCACAGTGTTCCTGGGCTTCTCTAAGGTATATGTGACTCCAAGGAAGTATAGGAACCAGTGTAGGGTTGCCATATTAAAACAAAATTTTTTTTCCTTTATTGATTTTTAGAGAGAAAGAAAGGGAGAGAGAGAAAGAGAGAAACATCGATGAGAGAGAACATCGATTGGCTGCCTGTCCCCCTCCCCCCCCTCATGCCCACCACTGGGGATTTGGCCCACAACCCAGGCATGTGCCCTGACTGGGTCGAACTGGCAACCTTCAGGTACATGGGTCAATGCTCGACCAGTGAGCAACACCAGCTGGTATTGCCAGATTTAACAAATAAAAATGTTGCATGGGACACAGTTATATTTTAAAACTATTCATTGTCTAGCTGAAATTCACATTTAACTGGGTGTCCTGGATTTTGTCTGGTAACCCTAAACCAGTGAGTGAGACCTGTGAAAATGTAACACATCTCATGTGCTACAGCCATTTATTCATTTCTTCCTGCTTTCATTCCTTCAGCCACCCTCCACACTGAGGAGACCTTCCAGGAGCACAATCCAATGCCAGGCACAACAAGGAAAACCAGTGCCCCTGGGACACCATATTGAAAACAGAGACCTGATCCCACCCTCTGTCCTGCACCCCCAGTGGCACCCAGCCCTCAGGGGTGCCAGTCTGGAAGCAGCTCCCCAGCACATGGCCCCACAGGCATGCAGCTAGTGCCAGGGGGTCATGGGTGAGTGCTGAAGGGGCTCTTGCCCACCCACACACCTTGATGAAGAGCCCCAGGTCCTGGTCGCTCATACATGGATGGTCCCTCAGGAACTTCTCTCGGACCTCCCCCAGCGCCCTCTGGGCCTGCTGCTCCTGGGGCTGCTCCAGGGCCTGGAACACCAGGGCACCAGACACCAAGTAGAGCAGGACCAGTGCCAGCAGTGCCAGTAGTGTGGTGCTGCGCATGGCGTGCCCAGGGGCCTGGCCAACTCCACTGCCCACTTGGGGAGGCCGGGCAGGAGGCTCCTGGAGGGCTGCGGTCACTGTGGGCAGAACCAGGGATGCTTGGATCAATAACCTGGCCAAATACCCCTATACCCTCTTCCAACCCTACCAGCCCAATGATCCTTGGAGCCTCCAGCCCTACTGCCCACAGATACCCTCTCCTCACATCCCTCCGGCTGGACACTTGGTACCAGGACACACCCAGTCCTCCCCCCACTTCGGTCCTCCCCCTTACCTCCACTGCCCGGCCCTCAGCCCCTGTCGGGGACTCCAGGGTGTGAGAAGAGAAGAGGGCACCGGGGAGGGAAAGGGAGGAGAGTGGAAGAGGGAGAGACTGAGCCTGCTGAAGAAGAGGCAGGGCGAGCAGGGAGAAGCCGGCTGGCAGGGGCTGGGGAGCCGGCCTCCCGGGAGGAGGCTGAGTGGGCCCAGAGGCACTCAACAGAAAAGCGGGAGGAAAGGCGGGATTGCACAGGGTGGGGACAGGGATGGCTGGTCCCGGTTCTTCCGCTGCTGCTGCTGCTGCTGCTGCTGCCGCCGCCGCCGCAGCACCTTCGTGACTTCTCCCTCTCCTCCCGCCTCTGCTGGCATCGCTGCTAGCGTGATGGGCTGGGCAGGGAGCCTCCAGGGTCCCCCAGCATCCCCCGGGCTTTCGAGGAACCCAGGGATGGGTCCGGTCCCTGCGCAGATGCGAGGCAGGGGAGGGGTAGGGAAGGGAGGGTACGGGGTTCCGGGAAGGAGCAGGGCGGGGGCAATACGCCGGACCAGTGCAGCATCCCCCGGGGCGGCTGTCAGCCCCAGGACGGCGGGCAGCGGTGCCCAAATGCAAACACGCTGCACAAAGCCCGGCGCGCCCACGCTCCGCCCTGCAGCTCCGGCCACCCGGCTGCTCGGGCTGCACGCACACGCTCCACCTGCCCTCTCCCCAGGCTGGCCGGCGCACCCGGTAGCAGGGGCAGACGCACAGGCCGAGGCTCCGCAGAGGGCCACTCAGACGTGTGCCCATACTCGAGAACGCACCTCAGACCCGGGGCCCCAGGCAGCGGCCCGCTGCCGACACACGACACACGACACACTGCACACCCACCACTCACTCCCGCCGCCTCCCGCGTCTTCATGCTGACGCCTCGGAGCGTGGGAGCGGCTGGACGCGCGGCCCTCCCGATTCTCGGAGACGCCCACGCGTGTACAGGAGGCGGCGCCCCACCCTGAGGGTCACCTCCTGCTCGCCCTGCCCCGAAGTCTTGCCCGCACTGCCCCCGCACCCCTCCGCCCCATACTCACTGTTGGCCCGGTTGCGGCTGAGGCTGCAACCCGGGCTCCACGCGCAGCCTCGCGGGTGCCGGGTGCCGGCTGGGCCGCGGAGGCAGCAGCGAGGCAGAGGCAGGCGGCCGCTGGGGCTGGGACCCCGCTCCTGCCCGCCTGAAGCCCCCCTCCTACAGCGTTTAACCCCTCCAGCGCCGCGCCTCCCTTTGGCCGCGCCCTTGCTGCAGCGTCGGAAGCCCCTAACCTGTGGCTGCCCTGTGCCCTAATTCCACCGGGTCCCTGGAGACGAGTGGCAAAGGAGCCCGATAGGAGTTGCTGCTGGGTCCGGCCTGGAGTGTCAGAAGAGAGCCCTGGTACTGCCCCGCCAGCAAGCCATTGTGGGCAGCAGCACCGCCCTGGTCTGGACAGCATCCTGCTCACCTCTCTGGCCAAGCGCCACACCCATCTCCCAGGCTCACTGTAGAATAGGAAGGGCCCTCATCTCCCCGCCCCTAAACACTTCTGAGGGAGGGGATCCTGCCAAAGGGTGAGGGATCCACTCAGGCAAGTTGGAGTTGGCCCAGGCAGTGGGGCCATTCTGGAAAGTCATGTTGGGGTACCTCCTGTCCTTGTTCCTGTACCCCGTCCCTTGGTCCTCACCTCATGCCATCCCAGCATGGACCGGTGCCAGCACTCCCTCCCCCGCTGCTTCAACTGCAGGGCTCCTCTCTACTCTTACCCACCTTACAATCCCCATCTCTCCAAAGACCTTGCCCTTGCCTGGGGTCCTCAGGCCTCAGGGTGGGTGGTTAAAGCATGAGCTCTAAGGCTGACCACCCTCTACCAGTGGGGGTGGTGGGAGGGGCTAGACATGTTACTAAACTCTGGAGCGGGCAGGTCCCCACTTACAGAAAAGTGATGTTAATTCTCACCTAAGGGTGCTATTCTGAGCATTAAAGAGGTCAGTATTTGTAAGCCAGGCACACACAACAAAGTGCCCTACAAATGTCAGCAATTTTCTGTTCAACAAAAAGTGATTGTGCCCTCTCCAGAAGCCTGAAAGCCTGGTGTCCAGGACAGACCCAAGTGAAGGGTTCCGAGACAGGCTTAGTGCTAGGCCCCAGGGACTCCAAGGAGCTGCAACAGTCAGGTCTGTGTGCAGGAGACAGACCCTCCTATAAACAACTCCCAGACGTGGGACAAACTTGCCAAGGCTATGGCAGCAGAGGGTAGTGACTGTGCTATTAGGGGCGGCCAGAGAAGGGGACCCCAGGACCACCAGGAAGACTGTGTGGGGGCAGCCCATCCTACCAGCCAAATCCACATCTGGTAGGGAAATAGGAACTGCTCAGTTATGGGCCAACTCTTCCTTCACAGGCCCCGGAGTAACCCCTGGACCTGAAGGCCAGGTCGGATGTGATGACAGGGAAGTAGGGTCTCCAGAAATCCCGATCCACTTGGGGATGAGAAGCATAATAGCCACATAATCACAGTGCCATGGGACCCAAGAGGGGACAAGGTTCCCTGACCTAGAGAGGGGAGGCTTCTAAAAAGAACTGACATTTGAAGCAGATCTTAAGGAAAGAGTAGAAATTATTCAAGTAGGGAGGGGACTGGACTAAGAGCAGGGGTCTGCTGTCTCCCTTCCCCTCAGACTGCAGGCTCTTCCTTTCTGTGTCCTTCAGCCTGGGGAGGCAAGCGGCTCCTGCCAGTCCAGCAGCCCCCTTCAAGGGCCAGTGTCTGATCAGCCTTCGGCCAAACAGACAAGGTTCGCGGAGCACAAATAACTGGCAGATAGTGGACGGCCATGGGGCACAGACACTTTATTGAGTGGCAGACACAGGAGAGGTAGCTGGCTCCAGCATAGAAGCGGAGGTGGCAGGTCATGCCAGGGTGCTGTGCGCATCTGGCAGTCAGGGCCATGCCCCCATCCTAGGGGACGGCACAAACTCACTACAAGAGAAGTAGCAAGGAGCCGGCCAGGGGAGGAGGTGGCCACAGCCCCTGGGATCCTGGGCAAGAAGCAGCAGATAAACTTGGCACAGGGGCCTGGGGTGGGAGGGATTGGGGTCTGAGTGTTTGGGGAGAGGTGGAGGGCGATCACGTCTGTGGAGTGGAATAGAGGCTGTGGTGGTGGCTGCCTGCGCCCAGCACCTGGGAGAAGAGCAGAGGAGTGGTCCGCGTCTGGCTGCCCCCATACCAGCCTGGCTCCCGCCCGATGGCGCCATACCAGCTGCCTGAGCTGAGGCTGCCTGACATGCTGCAGACAGAGAAAAAGGGTCAGTTCCACGGCAGTGACCAGGGCCATATTCACAAGAGTTGGGGTAGGGAGAGAGGCTTGGAACAGAGCCAGTGACCCAGACATTCCAGGAACCAGAGCTTGAGCACTGCAGACTGTAGCAAACTGCATCCTCAGAGCAAGGGGTGGGGGGCAGAGGGGCCCCCACCTAGTACAGACAGAAACAAAGGCCACAGTAGGTGCTGGGGCTGGATGACAAGACCTGGCTCTACGTCCCCATGGCTCCACAGAGCACGCCAGGAGCTCAGGGGTCCTGAGGTGAGGCTGAGGCTCCTACCTGGTGCTCTCCCCCCGGCCATGGCCATGCTCCCAGGAGCAGCTCTCTTCCTCGCAGTGCCCCGCCCGGTCAAAGAAGTAGGAACGGGAGCCAAAGACCTGCCCATTGAGGATGCGGCTGGTGCTCTGAGGGAGGAAGCAGCCATTGATGCTCTGTTCTGCCCCCACTGGCCTCCCACAACCATCCCAGGCCCCAGCCCAGGGTGTCCCAGTATTACCCCCTACACTGGCCCTCACCAGGTCCTGTGGAGGCCGGTGCACCCGGAAGAAGCCCACCAGCAGGGTAGTGGGCAGCAGCTCCCAAACAAAGAGGATGAGGCCAAACACCAGGTAGCCTTTGTTCCCCAGGTCATTCACCAAGTCTGCCTGTGGTAAAGCAGGAGCTTATGCCAATCTGCAATTGTGCCAGTGGGGCACCTGGACAGGGCCCAGGAGCCATGGCTGGCTACTAAGGAGGCAGTAGACATGCCGAATGCCCACCTGATCAGAGACGTTGTACCAGTCATAATCGAAGGCATCCAGCCGGCTCTGGGGAGCCAAGGCCAGGGCCGCCAGGTTGTAGCAGGCCCGACTCGCATAGAGAAGGACCATGGCACCACCCATTGCAGCTGCCTGGCACACACTGGTCCCCTAGCACAGATGACAACAGGGGACCCTCAGGGAGGGGAAGCTCCAGCTTCCCCTCTACCCTGAAGACCAATGCCCAAGACACCCCAAAAATGCCAGGCATTAGGATTATGACCCTACCTTGGCCTCCAGGTAGATGCTGGTGGAGGGTGCCCGCCGGGCAACAAGGCAGAGACAGGCAGCAAGAGAGAGAGCGCAGATAACAAACAGGGAGTCGCTCACCAGGACACGCACCAGCAGAAGGGCCCAGGGTTGTGCCCGGCGCCTCCGGGACAGCACAGCACACAGCACATTCACCAGCAGAAAGAGCAGCGAGGCCCCCACGAAGGCCCCTCGGACAGCCAGCCTGCAGCCCACAGCACAGTCAGCCCCAGGTCACTGCCCTTGGTGCTCATCCACCACCCAACCTCCCCCTGGAGACCACAGGATCAATCAGAACCTCAGGTCTTCCAGTCTGAACCTTGTTCCTCCAGTTTTACAGATGGAGAAACTGAGGCCCAAGGAGGCCAGAAGGTAACTGACAGCTGTGGCACAGTGAAAGGAACACTAACTTGGGTATCAGAAATCTGGGCTTAAACCCTGGTTCTGCCTCCCGTCATATCTATGACCTTGAACATGTTGCATTATCTTTCTAGGCCTCGGTTTCTTCATCTCTCAAGTGGAGGTAATAACAGTCTCACATATAAGTTGTAAAAACTAAAGACGTCTGTGAAAGTTGTTAATAAACGAAGATGTGGTATAAACGACAGGAGTATCACCACCCAAAGTCACCCAGAAATGGTTTGGCTTCGGAGCTTCCAAAGGCTGGAGCCTCCAGCTCTTCCTCTGTCATGGATGACACGGGTACCCTCTGCCCTAACTGCTTCTATTATTGTTGCCCTTCACATATGCAACACCTCTGCTGAGACATCTGTGCTAGGTGCTCCACTTTTCCATGCTCTTTCACAAACATTCCCTGAGTTGTCCTCACCTTAGCCCTGCCATGGGGGAAGGGATAGACACCAGGCTGCTCCTGGCCTGGAGGTTGAGCCCACCAGTGTCCTGAGTACTTACAAGCCTCGGCTCATCTCTGGCCGACGCTTCGCCTTGGCCTTGAACACCACCTGGGAGCAGAGATGCCCATCATTCCTTTGGGCCCTTGAGGCTTGCCACCCCACAGCCCACCCCCACCCAGTTACCATGGTTACCTGGGCAAAGTAGAGATTCATAAGCGTCAGTGTGAAGAACTGCAGGCAGACAGGGCAACAGTAGAGAAGCCAAAAGGGCAGAGGCCCCAGATGGTTGGCTCGGGGGGTATCTCGGAAGTAGAAGGAGAAGAGGGTGGTACGCAAGGCAGCCCAGAGCAGACAGAGCGCCAGGAACACCGTCTGATAGCTGAGACGCTTGTGCCCGTACAGGAGCACCAGCCAGAGCTGGGCATAGACGGAAAAGAACAGCAGGGCATACAGAGTGGTGTAGGCCGCGGTCAGCCCCAGGGTCACGGCCGGTGGCAGCGCAGGCACCAGACCAGCAGCAGGCACCAGGCCAGACAGGTTACTCTCCATGTCAGGGAGGGAGGCCTGAATCCTGAGAGAAATGGAGGGGCTGGCAGGAGGCCAGGGAAATAAAAATAAATATGGAGGGGTGGGAGTTGCAGGGTGCAGAGACAGAGATGGGGAGTTCAGATGGAAAGAAGTTGTGGCCAGGCCCTTCCCTGAAACAGAGGGACACTCGCCCTTGCAGCGGGGCACTGGCGGCCTGGGGCCTGGGCCTGGGCCCTTCACTCAGGAGCGTGGAAGGAGTCTCTCTTCTCCAGGGCTGGGGGTGGAGGTGGGGAGTGTCGCCTCCCTGGGCCAGTCCCAGAGCCAGGAGCTTGGGGGTGCAGAGGCTGAAGGAGAGGGGTCCTTGGCTTTGGTCGCTCCAGACGTCCCGGCAGGAGGGGGAGAGCCGACCGACGCCTGTTGGCTCTGGACAGCGGCCGCTGTGTGGGGCGCTGAACAACCGGCTCTCCCCCTCCTCAAAATGCGGGCTCTCTCCCCTCCAATAATCCGGATGGGGTTGGGGGGGGCTCTGCCTTCAGTCCTCGGGATTCCGTACGCTGCCTCCGACCCACCCCCCACTGCGTCCACTCTGCAGCCGCGGGAGGCGGGAGGAGGTCGACGCCAGGCCCTCAGTCCGCCTCAGGGGGAGCCGGCTCCGGTCGCTGGGACCTGGGGCTCCCGGGCTCCGGCTCCCCGGCTCCTGCGGCTCCGCCCCCTCCTGCGCCTGCGCGGGCGCCGTTCGCTACGCAAATTGCGCAGGGTCTAACCCCGGCTCCGCAACCTCACGCTGCGCCCGGCGCGTAGTCCTTCCAGAATGGGTGCGGGCTACGCCGCCGGCGGGCGCCAAGGGTTACGAGAGGCGGCGGGCGGCGGCGGTGCTGGGGCAGCACTGCGTTCAGCCGGGGTGTGCCATGCCCGTGGCCAGCCGCCCTTGCTTGTTTACGGGGCCGCCTGTTCCGACGCTTCTCTTCCCCATTCCCAAACCGAGATTGCGCCGCCAGGCCGAGGGCGGCAACGGCCTCCCCCCGCCCGGTCTCTGAAGAAAACTTCCGCCCACAGCCAAGATGGCCGCCAGGCCCCGCCCTCTGGGCCTGAACGCGCCAGGCCCCGCAGCCCCCGGGAGGCCCGCCTGCTCTGCGCCCTCGCCGGCCGCGGTTCCGCTCACCTGGCCCGCCGCTGCCAGGCGCCAAGTCCCCGCGAGTCCTACGGCCACCCTCACAGGGGCCCTTATCCCTTCTGCGCCGGGACAGTCATCCTGCCTGGGAGGAGGCTCCTCGCTTATCTCGAGTGCTCCCCAGATGCGCGGGGAGTGGTGCCCCTGATGCGTGCGGTGTGAGCTGTCCACAGTGGGGAGGAGGAGGGACAACAGCACCAACAGTGTGTCCTACGCTGAACCTCAGTTATGGCTTTGCTAAGTGCTTTCACCCACAGTGGTCACCACTCGGTTTACAAAGTTCACTGGACCCTTGAGGGAGGTGTCATTATCCCCATTTTACAGGGGCGGATACTAAAGCCAAGAGGGGCTGAGGAACTTGTCAACAGAAGCTAGCCCCAGGTCCCAGATTCTCTGGGGACCCCAGATAACCCCTCATCTGCTCCCACGCACGCCCAGGTACGAGGAAGTCCGGAGCAGAGCATCGGAGACCAGGAAGAGGAGGAAGGCGGTGGGCGGGGAGCGGGTCCGGCCGCATGGGCGGGGCCCGAGCCAACAGTGGCTCCGCCTCTGGGCCGGCCTTGGTGACATTGCGATCGCTGATTGGGTCTGGTCGGTGACAGTTCCCGTTGCCTAGGCAACTAGAGCCGGGCTCCCTCAGTGCTAGAGGTAGGCGCAGGCTCGGGTCAGGGGCCTCGAGATCGGGCTTGGGGTGAGTCTTGCGTGCCCCCTTCACGGCGGGTCGAGTCTAGGCCTGGGTAGGGGTCTGGGGCTCCACAGCATCAGGGTTCCGGTAGAAGATTTAGGTCCTGGGTGGACAGGCTGAGCTCCTTGCCCAGCCGCACTCGGAGGACAGAGGGGGGGCTGGGAGGTAGGGCGGACCTGGGTTTCTAAGGTGGGAGAGAGAACCAGGGGCTCCTGCTTCCCCACCCCTGCCAGCCACTGTTTGCCCCAGCTGTGCCATAACTGCCTACCATCCTTGCCCCTACAGCCCAGAGCATGTTCCAGATCCCAGAGTTTGAGCAGAGTGAGCAGGAAGACTCCAGCTCTGAAGATAGGGGCCTGGGCCCCAGGCCCAGAGGGGACCAGTCCCCAGGCCCCAGCAAGCACGAGAGTACGGCCCCAGGCCCCCTGGGGGAAGCTGGTCACCAGCAGGGCCAGCCTGCCAGCGGCAGCCACCATGGAGGTAGGCACCCCCCTCCTCAACCACCTGCCTGTCCACTTTGCCTCCACCCCAGTAGCTCCCTGCACTTCAGCCTCACCCCTACTCAACTGGGTGGCCTTGAGTGAGTCCCTAACCTCTCTGGCGCCTCAGCTTTCCTCTACTGTAAAACAGCAATTAATCACCACCATTGCAGAGCTGTTAGGATGATTAGCAGAACATATAGGAAGCACTTAATTATAGTGCTGGTGCTTAGGAAATGCTTAAAGAATGTAACTGTTAGTGTAAGACCACAACAGAAATCACTGAGAGGCAGGCAGTGAAGCAGAAAGGGGAAATGACTTGCCTAAGGTCACAGTTGTTTGCTGGTTCCTTTGGGTAAAGTAGGGCTTAAGCCTCTGGGGTGCCTGCCCCACACTTTGAGCCCCCAGGTCTATTATTTCTCACCATGTGGCTAATACCCACACCAAGGTTATCCTTGCCAGTTGCAAGGGGCGAGTGACCCCAAGGGGCAGACAGCCATCCAAGGCAGCTGGTCTGGTGGGGGTGGGGAAGCATAGGCTGGATGGAAGGGTGGGCACTGGAGGGCAGTGGCCATTTCTCAGTCTCCACATCCCAGGGCCCAGCACAGGCCTTGGCACCTCAAAAAACCACTGAGATCTTCTGAAAACAAAAACCATGTCCCCCTAGTCCTGGCCAGTGTGGCTCTGATGGTTGGAATGTGGTCTGGTGTACCAAAAGGTGGTTCAGGCCGCGAGCGGGAGGCTACCAATCAATGATCGATGTTTCTCTCTCTCCCTCCCTTCCTCTCTAAAAGAATCCCTTGCCTGCTGAAGCCTAAATGACACTCTTCCCATTTTCAGGAGCAAAAAGGCTTCTTCAGGCCTCTTCCTTGGCCCTTTCTCTCTCCCTCTCTCTCTCTCTCTCTCTCTCTCTCTCTCTCCCACACACACACACACACACACACACACACGCTGTCAAAGTGAACTCCACACTTTGTTTAACTTCCAGATCTTTGCACTTGCTGTATTTCTGCTCACAACAGCTTTCCACTCCCACCTGGCTGTTTCTCCTCTCTATCAGGTATTTAATCTGTGCCCTGTGCTGTCCCAGCTGCCAGGGGCACATCAGTGAACAGAAGAGATAAAAGTCCCTGCCCCTGTGGACCTATATTCTAGTCAGTGGGGGAGACAAGCCATAAACAAACAAGTAGATGATATAGTGAGCTAGAAGATGACTGCTGCCCATTGTGAAACAGTTTTTTCTTTCTTCGGATCAGGAGTACTGGGGGCCAGGGGAGTGATTTGAATTGAGGTGGCCTTGGTGAGAAGCACCATTTGAGCAAAGGGATGAGGCGTGAACCATGGGCTCTCTGTGGAGAGATCCTGAAGGGATGGGCTGGGTGAATGCAAAGGCCCTGAGGCCAGTGTGGCCTGAGGGGACAGAGTGAGAGGAGGGAATTGGAGAGGTAGAAATTAAAGGAGGGGGAAGGGCAACTGGGCAGGGCCTTGAAGGCAATGTAAGGGCTTTGGCTTTTCCTTTGAATGAAAACATGGGAGGGCTTTGAGTGGAGCCAAGTGATTTCATTTAGGCATCAAGAGGGTCACCAGGAGCTGGTTAGGAGGTGGTGGTGAGCTGTGGGCGGCTTGGGACAGAGTTATTGATGATGACCTGGTTTAGGTAATGGGAGTGAGGGGAGGGGTGGAGAAGGTCAAGGAATGGCTAGGAAGTGTGAAGGACCACTTCTGCTCTGTGAATGAAGAGCAGAGTGGCAAAGGAGAGCTAGGGTAACCTCCTGTACAAACTAGGGGTGTGACCGGGGCAGGGGATGCCTGAGGCCTGGAAGGGAATGCTGGCACATGCTGAGAAATTAGATTTAGTGAGGAGGGCATGAGAATGGTCTGAAGCAGCAAAAAGGAACCAAGGGGATGCCAGGGCCAGCCATGAGGGGGGCTGCCCAGGAGAAAACAGAAACCACTGAAGAGGACTGCACAGGATTCCTTAAACTTTTGACCTATTTTTCAATGTCTAAAAAGTAAGTGATTTTTCCATAAAAGATCCCCAAGTGCCAAAGACCTGCCAGAGCCACTGCCCTCCTCTAGGTGGGCAGGGTCCCTTTACTTTTCATGCTCCCCGCCACCTGGTCCCTGCTGGACTGTGTCCCCAGGGCAGGGACTTCAGCCACCGTGTGCTGTGAAGGGCTGGTGCGTGGTGAGCTGTGGGTGTGTGGATGGTGGAGAGGGAAGGAAAGACACCCAGTGGGAGAGAAAGCTCAGCAATAGGCACCAGGGCCAGATGCAGGGTTGAAACACAGCTTTACCTTTTATTAGCAGGTTGGGCTTGAACAGGATAGTTAACTCACTCTGCCTCAGTTTCCTTATCTGTTAAATGTGAATAGAATCAGTCATAGGGTTGCAGTGAGGATCTGATGAGTTAATACAGGAAAAGTGCTTTGAAACAGTGCCTGGAACAAAGGAGTGTATGCTGTTCTTACTATTATTGTGATCATTGTTATTATTGTTACTACCAGTTGGCCCATGCTCTGAGCAGACTGAGGGTTGCCATTCATTCAGCAGAGAGGTCGACATGAGTAACCAATACCGCCCCCTGCCCCAGTGGCAGACAAGTGAAGTATAGGTTAGAACCAGAATGTAAGGGCTTAAAAGCCATGCCAAGGTGTTTGGACTTTATCTCATAAGCAATAGGGAGCCATTGAAGGTTTCAGGCAGAGGATAGACATAGCTGGGTTTAGAGCAGAGGTTGACAAACCATAGCCACAGGTTAAATCCCTCTTTTTAGACCATGAGCTAAGAATGGTTAGGGTTGGTTTTTTAGACCATGAGCTAAGAATGGTTAGGGTTGGTTTTTTCCCAAGAATGGTTTTTGTATTTGTAAACAGTTAGCAACAATCCAAGAACAAGATTTCATAACATGAAAATAGTATGAAATTCCAGTTTTCATGTTCATAAATAAAATACAGTGTTAGTGGAGTACAGCACTTCACAGTCGTTTACAGAGTGTTTATGGCTCTTTCAAGCACGACCACAAAGCTGTGTAGTGGCACAGACTGTGGTGTGCAGTGCCCCAAATATTTCCTCTCTGACCCTTACAGAAAACATCTGCCAGCCCTTGCTTTCTGATTTCTTCAGCTCTGAGCAAGGTGGGGGGTATATGTTCTTTCCAGACCAATAAGGGGCTTAGGTACCCCACATGGCTTTAGGATACACAGGAGGCCGGCTGGGGCCTGCTAGAAGCTACGTGAGCTATGTGCTGCTCTGCCGGCAGGCAGTAGAGAGCAGGATCCAAACTCCTAATGGCAGAGTTTCACTGCCTCGCCGTGCGCAGGCCACTGTTAAATTAGGTCTGCGAGGATGCTCACAGAAGCCTGACCCGGGATGTGTTCAATCCTACCCACTTATCTGGAAGCCCAACGGGGTAAATAACTTAAAGCTTTGCTGGGGCATCGGGGATCTCCAGTCACAGGCCCCTCCCACTACCCCACACCAGCCCCAGACTTACTCTGGAAGGATGGTGTGAGTGGGCAGGCCTACGCAGCCACCCATGCTCCCACCCAGACAGGAGCCATGCCCCCTCACTTTTCCTCACCTTAGGAAGTGGGAAGAGGCCACCTCTGCCCTGCCCAGGGGTGTGTAGGGGTGAGTTGATTAAGGGTGTGGTGGTTCAGATGGCATGTTCCCTCCCCACAGGTTCACAAAAATCCCCCAGTTTTTTTCCAGTAAATAGAATACTCTTGAAAATCCCAGTGTGTCATTCTGACAATGGCTGGTTTGGCATTGCTAAACCCACTGCTTTGGTGAAAATCCTCCACCCCATAGGCTAGGCTCCAGGTAGAGCCGACACAAGCGGAAAGCCCAGGGCACATTTCCCAACCTGGGCCCCCAGTGGGGAGCCTGAGGCATGAGAATGAAAGATACAGGCCCTGAAGCCAGACTCATTAGGTTTGGATTTCTGCTCTGCTACCTACTGGCTGAGTGACCTTGGGCAAGTTGCTTACCCTCTCTGTGCCTTAGTTTTCTCCTCTGTCAAATGGGGGTAGTGAGTAATCTCCCTGCTAGGTTGTGATAAGGGCATAATGAATGAATGCACATGAAGCACTTCCAAGTGACACTCCCAAGTGTTCTGCTGTGATTCCTGCGTCAGGAGGCAGTGCCCAGACTAAATGCCCATCTGCAAATCACTCACCTTCCTTCTCTCAGGGCTGGTCTGTCAAGTGTGGTGGCTGTTTGGGTTCTTAGAGCTAGTAAAAGACAATAACAGCTGATATTTCCTGAGCACTAAAATGGCCACCTTGGCACTTCAGACAAGTTCCCAACGTCTAGGTACCTTCATTTCCTCATCTGTGAAAGAGGGAGAATTGGCATCTACCTCACGGGGAAAGCGGGAGGCTTCCGGATGTGAAAGCAGGAATGTGGTTGAGCTGGGACCCACCTGGCTACTGCCCTTGTCTCACTGCTCACGTCCCACGGAACTGGAAAGTAGTCTGCAGATGGGCCTGATCCTATCAGGGGTCTGTTCCCAGCTCCTCTGGTCCCTATCCCCAGCCCCCACTCCTGATTTAGCTGCCTGTTCCCCACTGCCACTTCAATCCTCAAAGGCTTTGTGGTGTCCCTACCTGACCTCAGGCCTGGGCTTTGGTGAAGCTCAGAACAGCCGGGCACTCTGACCTTACCCTCTTGGCCTACGCCTTTCTGGATCCAGCCCTCTGTTCCCTTCTTGGCTTTCTCAGCTATATATCTAAAGCTGGGACCCTTGGAGGTCCTGCAGTCCCTGGAGCTGACCCACAGGGGTCTGGCTGAAGGTATTCTGGAGGGAGGACAAGATACTGTTATTCCCTGGCTTCACAGCCTGGCCTAAATCTTGCTTCCTTCAAAATGCTGCCTCTGACAGACATGCCTGCCATGGACGCTGGACACATTCTCCACACCTGTTCCAGGACTCTCTTCCACTCCATTACTTAGGTCTGGATTTTTGCTCCTGGGAGAGATTTTATTGGTCTGGATATGGGAGTGGGGTTGGCAGGAGTGGGGGGATGGCACATAGTACACAAGTCAAACTCCCAACTCAGTAGAATAATGACCCACTGAATAATGACCCATCATATACTTTCAGCTCACAAAGCACTTTCAGGCTCCATTGTTTGTGACCTTTACACAGTCAGTGGTAGTAAAGGTTAGGTTTATCCCCGCAAGGAGGTGAAGACACAGGTTCAGAGAGCTGAAGGGTGGTTGGACAAGGGAAGACATGAAGCCCAAGGGATAAACATTGGACTTTGGATTCCAACAAACCTCTAGGCACTTCCTCAGAACTTCACAGCTATGTGACCCTGGGCGAGTCCTGACCTCTGTAAGCCTGTTTTCTGTAGAACACAGGCAATGTTATTGCTCACTTCCCAGAATGGCTAGGACAATGAGGCAATGCCCAGGGCCTAGCACACAGTAAGTTCTCCATAAATATTACCTAAAAAAGTCAACAGACCGGTCAAGACATTTTCTCCAAAGCAGGTGCTGTGGGCGGTACACTAGCTACTGAGGCTTCTGGTTCTCCAGGGTTTCCTGGAGGCCACAGCAGTGAAACATGAGCGCCAGCAGGTCGCTTGCAGAGCTAGAATTCAGCCTTGCCTGGCCGGGGCAGGATACCTCCTCATGCAGGGGACTGGTCTCCTCTGCTGGAGGATGGAGATGATTCAAGAGCTAACAACCCATGGGCTTACTACAGGCCCCCATGGCCTTGCACTAATAACTATAACTTACTATTTATTATGCCCTTATTTTGTGTCAGGCACAAAGAAAAGTCCTTTTATACACTAAGGCCCTAACCCATTATTGGGGCTCAATTAAGATTTGTGGAGTTAATGAGAAGTTAATTCAAATCTTCACAAAAGCCCCAGGAGCTTCCCTCGATTTACATGAGGGAACTGGAGCTCTGAAAGGTATAATCTGATGTGCACACAAGTACATCAGGGGGCCAGTGGAACTAAGGCTGGGGGCGCAGAGGAGTCGAGATTCACGTCATCCCCGCCCCGTCGACCCTCTGCAGGCGCTGGGTCTGCGGAGCCCCGGAGTCGCCACAGTTCCTACCCCACGGGGGCCGAGGAGGATGATGAGACGGAGGAGGAGGAGCCCAGCCCCTTCCGTGGCCGCTCACGCTCAGCGCCTCCCAACCTCTGGGCTGCACAGCGCTACGGCCGCGAGCTCCGGAGAATGAGCGACGAATTCCAGGGTTCCTTTAAGGTGAGCGCGGCGCGGGCAAAGGGGGGGACCGGTGCCGGAGCGTGCGGGGAGCTGTACTTCCAGGTTACCTCCCGCGGGGCTGTGCCGTCCGAATCCCAGGGCATGCTGGCATCTGTAGTCCTGGGCCCCCCCCCCCCACACACACACCTGGTTTTCCTGAGCCCCAAAGCATGCCGGGATCTGTAGTCCAGGCCCCCTCCAGAAGGCCGGGATCTGGAGTCCCCAAATCCATGGGACGGAATGCATGCGGGCATCAGTGTTCCCAACCGGCCCCCTCCAGGCGTCCGTGTTCTTTCCTTCAACTTCGGACCACTTCTTTAATCCTTGCGGTCCCGCCTTCCAGATGGTCGATCCCCGGCTCTCGCGCTCACACACGGGGTCTTAGGCGCCCACTCTCCCCGCCCCCAGCACGGAGCGTGCCTTACCCGTCCCCTTCCTAAGGGCCCAGACCAGCGGCCTCTCGGCTTAGGAAAGTGGCCTGGAGACCCCTCGGCACGGGGATGCCGGAGTGTGGTCTTTATCTTCTCCCGACTCGGGCCGGTAATTCGTGTAACCCTTTCCTCCCTCCCGAAGGGCCTTCCTCGCCCGAAGAGCGCGGGCACAGCAACGCAGATGCGGCAGAACTCCAGCTGGACGCGCTTCTTCCAGTGGTGGAATCGGAACTCGGGGAGGGGAGGCTCGGCCTCCTCGCAGTGACCTCCCTGACCGCAGCCGAGGCCCGCCCCGCGCGCCGCCCCGGCCGCCATCTTGGGTGCGGGCGGAAGTCGCCCCGCAGACCTATGCAGAAGGGGTCCGGTCTCTCCCTTCGGGAGGAGGCGCTGACCCAGAGCCGATTCCCTTCCGGTGTGTGCGGGACCACCGGGGGTTTGTTCTCATCGGCAGTTTTGAGGTTTTTCCGCCCCAAGCCGCTGGAAGTGGGCTGCTCCGGGCGCCTGCGCCAGGTAGCTGGTCGGGATAACTTCACCGGAACCCTGTCCTCCGCGGTGACCCCGCGGGCGGACGCTCGCCACGAAATGTACCAATAAAGCCCACATCTGTGCCGCCAGTCTCCTGTCAACCGGTGGCTTCGCCAGCATTGACAATTTCAGAAGATGCCAGTTTTATATACAGTATAAGGGAAACTTGGGCTCTGAGTGACTTATCCTGGGGCCGAGACCGGGAAGGGGTCAGGGCGGCGAGCAGAGCCAGGGCGCCTTGGCTCCCGGGAAGCGGAGCGCAGTCGGCCCCAGGGACCTCCAGGCCCTTATCTCTAATCTGATAATTGGGAACCGCAGGCCCAGCGGCCGCAGGAATTCCGTGCTCTGCAAACCGTGCCGCCGTTCTCCAGGGAGGGTCATTTGTTCTTATTTGGGTCAGTCCTTTAGAACAGCTACTGTGTGGCCGGCCTGGGGCCAGCGCTGCTAAGGAGCCAGCTGGGCGCGCAGGACGCGGGAGGGGGCGGCGGAAGGCTCGGCCAAGGGCTGTGAATAGAGTAGTAACTAGGGACCCAGAGAAGCTTCACCAGGACCTGGGAGCAGAGCTCTGAGCTCAATTCCAGATTTATTTGCGCCCCCTATAGATCAGCCAGTGGTTTGTGCTGGGTATACAGAGATGAATTAAGACACAGCCGGTGAGTTGGAGCTGGGACTTGAAGGGAGATGGGAAGGGCGCTGTTATGGGCAGAGGAAAGAATGGACCCATGGAAGGATGGGGCGGCCGCAGAGGCCAGACTTCTGGGGGCTCATATGTCAAACTCAGGAGTTTGGAATTTAGCCTGGTCTTGGAGGACCACGGACTGACCTGTAGTGTTTCTGTAAGTGAAGGCAAGCCAAAAAGATAAGGGTTGGCTGCTGAGGGGCCTGGACACACAATGCAGTGGGCATATTTGGGGATAGGACAAGGACTGACCGCAGAAGCAGGGAAGGCCTGGGCAATGGTATTGACTCTGAGGGCCCCGGGCTCAGAGTAGAGGTCCCCTGCCCTAGGAGAGCCCTACTCTGGAAGTCCTGTTTCTCTGGCCTCCCCACCCCACCTGTTTGCCCGAGGCTGCAGCAAAAACAAACGAAGAAAACACTCAATTGGCAGGAGATAAGCCCAGATAAGAGGCTGCCTTCCTCTGTAGGAGGGAGGCAGTCAGCCTGGGAAGCTCCGCCAGGAAGCTGGGAGAGGCCTTGAAGGAGTGCCAGCCTGACCCTGCTGCAGAGCCCAGCCGCACCCTTGCTGCCCGGTCTCTGCCAGTCCACGCTGTCCCGAGACAGGAAGGGGAGGCATGGAGCAGGTCCTCCAGGCTCACTGTAGACCATCTGCCATAGAGGATTCAGACCTGCCCTGCCTCCAGGTCAGGATGTCTTGAGTTGGCCTGGCACACGTGACTTCTTTCTGGGCCTCAGTTTCCTCATCTGTAAAACAGGCATAACATCTCCCTCACAGGGATGAGGGGGTGCTGGGTCTCCCAGCCCGTGTCTGTGACTGCCAGCTTCCCATCTCCCAAGGGTCACTGCCAGGCCCACCCACTTCCACCTATCGCTGCCCAGCTCCTCCAATGTTGGACAGGTCCAGAGCTGCCCAGTTCCACCCCTAGTCCATCTCCCAACACAGCCAACTGCCTGCATGGAGCCCAGAACAGCCTCAGGGGAAGATGCTGGGCCCTTGGGTCATATCAGGCAAAGGGAAGGGGGGCAGGGAAGGCTTCCTGAAGCCAAGGCCTGAGCCTCCATGAAGAGAGGACAAGAGCTTAGAAGGGAGAAAAGGTCCAGGAACAGAGGGCACAAAGGCAAAAAAGCCAAAGGGAGGCCACAGGGCCTCTGGTGTCAGGTTATTGGGAAGGTCTGCAGGCCCCGAGCCAGGAGGTCTCAGATTCAAACCCAGCAACCCGTCACTAGGGCCTGACCTCAAGCCCACAGTGCCCACAAGCCCATTTTATAGATCAGAAAACAGGCCCCCAGGAGAAGTGGCCCAGGACTCAGGGTCCTCTCTAGCACTGCCCCAGCCCAAACCACGCTGCACACAGGGTCCCTGAAATCCACTTTTATTCATGTAAAAAAAGTCCCCAGAGAATAGAGAAAGAATGTGACCCCTACTTCCCAGAGCTCTAGGTCTCCACACGGTGTTCCCAAGGGAAGTGGGGGAGATAATTCCCACTCTGGGGTGTGGGTGTCATGGGGGGCGAGGGTCCTACCCAAGCTCTTTTGGCCCCAAGTGACCCAGTACCTTCTCTAGGACTAAGGGCAGGAAGGAGGGGCTAGGGACTAATGGGGCCCCAAGAGGGTGAAGGAAGGAAGTTAGTGTGGGGTGCTCGCCTCAGTTTAAAAAAATAAAATTTCTAAAGATAAAAAGTTTTTTTAAAAAGGCATTAGTGTCTTAGCTTCCGGCCCTCCTCCCAGTGCCCACCCTGGCCCTGTGGCCACCTCTTGCTCAGCCAGTTCAGAGCTTCGTATTCTCCTCTTGGCTCTCCGAGTCAGCGCCGGATAGGTGCCCACTGCTCCCAGGCGCATGACCATTGCTGGCACAGGCCACCAGATGTCCGTCCCCCAGCCCCTCCGGCGTCTCGCCCAGCAGGCTCCGGCGGATCTCCTGGGGCAGCCTGGCCCGCTGCTCCTGACATTCCTGGGCTAGCTGAGCCAGCAGCTGTGGGAGGAGGAGGAGACTCACAGGACAGGCCACCTAGCATGCTGCCTGCCATCCAAGTGCCCACCTCACCAAGGACTCACCTTGGGTTCCTCTTCCACCAGCTGCTGTAGGACCTGCTGCTGCCCAGCCATGAGGCGTTCATGCCGCTGCTTCTGGGCCTCCTCCAGCTGTCAGTGGGGGGACAAGAGCTCAGCTGAGGGTCTCTAAGGGAGGGGCCAGGCTCCTAGGGTTGTGTGGCCTGGGTTCTGAGACACCAATCCTTATGGCAAATGCTCTAGGCCCAGACTCCAAAGCAATGGAGCACTGTTCTAGACAGTTGGCTTTGGAGATGGTGCAGGCTTGAGGGGCTGTGAGGTCCAGAGGCAAAGGTTCTCAAAACCCCTCTTGGGCACTGCCCCAAGGAGATGGGTTTCTGATGACTGAAGGAAGAGGGGTGGGCTAGAGCAGCAGCTGAGCCTTACCCGACGGATAGAGTTGACCGACTCAGTGATATGGCGACGGTTAATCTCTGTCAGTTCCCTGTACAGGAGCAAGGCAGGATGTGTTCAGTGCCAGGCACCCAGCCCTGCCTGCCCCGCACCCAGTGGCTCCCGGCCTCGATGCCCTTACGCCTCCTTCTTATGTTTCTCCCTTGTCTTGGCCTCCGAGATACTATTGTGGCGTTTCCTATCCAGGATCTTCTGCAGCTCCTTCTTCTCCCTGGAGGAGCCAGTGGGGGAGGGGAGGCTCAGTGGCAGGACTGGGGCTCTGCCCTCATCCTGGCACCAGGGAGTACGCTGCCCCACCCACACAAGGTCCTCTGCCTTCACCTGTCGTTCATCTCCTTCAGCCTCTTGACCTGAGTCGTGTGAGCATCCAGGACAATCTCCCTGAGCCGCTGCAGAGCCTGTGGACACAGGTGAGACAGGCTGATGACATGTGCGTCCAAGAAGCAGGCACTCGCTTACCACCACGAACCCCTCACCTGTCTCAGGTGCTCCATCCTCCGCTCCGCTTCGGCATCCGCCTGGGCCTCCCGCAGCTCCAGCAGACTCTGCACCTGTCGCTTCTGGAACTCTCGATACCGCTTCATCTCCTCCTCCTCCTCCCTCTCATCCTCCCTGCCTCTGTGTGAAGAACGCCGCTGGGTGATGCTCAGTCATCACATGAACTTGGGCTGGGAGGGCGGAGGGTGGCATGGCATACCCCAGCCAGCCGTGAGGGGTACCAGCCCCGGGGCAGGGTTTATTATGCCAGTGAGGGGCCCATTCCCTTCACCCAAATAATGGGAGCCTGGGGCAAGTCTCTCAAAACATGCTCCTCAGGGGTATCCTCCAGTGAGGTACTATTGCTCCCATGTGGGAACAGGGTGGAACTGAGCAAGGGAAGCCTCCTCTCTTCGTTGCACCAAACCCTCCTGGGGGTCAAGGAGAAGCCCTCGGCCATCTTCCGAGCCCAGCTAGTGCAGGAGAAACTCTCGTGCACCCCACCGCCCACAGGCGGACCGGACACTCACAGGACTCCTGGCCGATGCCGGCACCTGTTCTCCGCCTGGGCCTGAGCCAAGCTGTCCAGTAACCGGCGAGTGAGAGCAAATGCCTTGCGCTGATGCTTCTTGTGCAGCTCCCTCAGGTCCCGCTCTTGCCGGCTCCGGAGCTTCACCAGAGCCTTGTGGCCTCGAAGCTCGTCCAACGGGGCCACAACCACCTCTGTGAGCAGCAGAGCAAAGGCTGGCTGGGCTGGGGCCAGGTCAACCCTACAGGAGCCCCGCACACCCTCCAGGAGTGGTCCTGCCTCCTTGGGTAGCTCCACCCCAGAACAGGGCCCACCTCCTTGGACAGTCCCAGCACCCTAAGGCCAGCCCCTACCTGACAGGATACTGGCAATGAGATCATCCCGCTGACCTGGAGAGCAGAGGCCGCACGGTGAGAAGCGAGAGAGGACAGTGGGGCTGCTCCCCTCAGGCCACCCCAGACTCAGGCTGCCCCTTACCTGGGCTGCTAAGGGAAGGGCTGGTGGGGGAGGTGACAGGGCCTGGGGGCCGGCGGGGAGAGGTGTCTAGTGGGCTGGGTGTGGGGTTTGGGGTCAGCTGGGAGCCCTGCTGCTGACACTGGGTCTCCTGGCATGTCTCCGGGCCAGCCTGAGCCTGTGGGGAGAAAGCAGAATGCTCTTTCCAGAAACGCTGTTCTCTCCATGCCCTTCACAACCTCCTGGGGCTGCCCACTGCCCCTGGTCTGCCTGCCCCTGCCCGGCTGGCCCTGGATTCCTCCTCTGTAACATACAGCTGTTAAGACAACTACACGAGAATCAAGACATGTAAGACAAGCATGTCTAAGCCCCTTTTTACATGGGTTGGGGAAGGTCATGTGAGATGGTGTCTCTAGGATGCTGGGCCCCACTGCATGTACTCAGGAACTCCCAGACTGTTCTGGAAAGCCTTGGCCCAGCCCCAAGTCTCCTTATGTCTCCAAGTCCCCCTCCACCCTTGCCCGCAGCAGCTCATCTTCCTAGCTGCTTAGCTTCTGATTAAATCAACGAAGGAAGTGAGTGCAGAGTGGGCACCAGCCTCTGGCTAACAGCTTCAAGAAGCTGCCTCTCCCCTGCCTGCTGCAGGCCCCATGGGGCTGGATCGAGCTGTGCGGGCGAGCTTCTGCTCCTGACCGCTCCCCACAGAAGCCTCTGACATTTCATGGCTCATAGGACCCATTTTAAAAGCTTCTGTGACTTCTGACTGCCCTGGTGAAGCGGCAGAACCCCGCAGCCCAGCTCTGACCCTGCGTGCAGCTGGAGGAATCTGGCCCGGGTTTGTCCCGAAGGCCTCTCCCATGCAGAAGGGTTGGCTTCCACCTCCTTAAGCTGCGGAGCGCACCCCAGGGCCACCGAGCTGACGGAGCAGCCCCACGCTGTGCAGCTTGGCGGAAAGGCCAAGGCTCGGAGGCCCAGGCCAGGGCTTTTTGACCCAGAGCCTCAGTGTCTCCATCTCTTCCCTGGGGACGGCAAGCTCAGGAGGCAGGAGGGTTATGAGCCAAGTTGGTGAAAAGAGCTCACACCTGGCCCGGCGTGAGCTGCTGCTCAGCATTCACTTGGCTTTATTTTCTGGTTTGGGTGAGAGAAGAATTCAGAAAGGGGACCAGGCCTTCCAGGTAGAGGGAAGGGGATGGGTAAATAACACTGACGTTGCTGTCGGGCGATGAACAGTCCCGCTCCCTCTTGGGAAAGGAGCCAGGTCACCCGCTGGGAGTGGGGTGCCAGTGGAAGGGGTTGGCACCAGCGGAGGAGAGCAGGGAAGGCTGTAGGTGCCTCTCCCCCGGGGCCGGCCCAGTTCAGCCTTCACCACAACCACCACCCACCCCACCCCAGCAGACCCCACGGTCCAGAGTCTGAGCCCAGTTGCCTCCCTCCTACCCCTAGCCTGCCCTGGCTCACCTCCCTCTCGCCAATGAGGGCAGCCAGCTGCTTGGCCCTCTGGTCCATCAGGCTGACGTGCTTAATCGGATTGATCAGGGCCTCTGCGTAGTCTGCGTAGGGGCAGAGGCAAAGGATCTTAGAGTCAGAACCCCAGGGCCACCCCCTCCCACCAGCTCTGGTCTCATGGAGGAACTGCAGAACCCACCGTCAATTGGGGCCACTCAGCCCAGCCATTCTCAGACCCAGGGGGCGCCCTTGTCCCCCACACCATCTGGCCGGCCCCTGCAGCTCACCCTGGTGGTCGTCAGGGATGTAGTCGGAGGCCTCCGTGTAGATGAGCAGGGCCGGCAGGCACAGTGGCTGGTTGGCCTCGTTTCTTAGGCAGATGTAGTGGTATCCTGGGGGGTGGGAGGGCAAGGTGAATGGGCCCCAATAGGTCCCCACACACACTGCCCCCAGGGCTGCCCAGAGCCCAAATGGCCTCACCTGAGCGGATGGCAGAGACAGGCAGGATCCGGTGCCCCACGAATTTGCCACCCTCCTCAAAGGCCGCGATGCGCAGCGAAGCCAGAGTGGGCAGCACCACCTGAGGGCCCAGACTGGTGCTAAGCCACGGAGCTGATCCATGGCCAACAGTCAGCCACAGCTGACCACAGCCACCAAGGCCAACACTCAGAGGGGATCCTCAGACGAGCTGCCCCAATGACTAACCATCAGTCACCATCAATACCAAGTCAGTGGTACACCCACACCTCCATGGCAAGGCCAGATGGACAGTCAGCAGCCATCAGAATCCTGAGCCAAGAGAACAGGCTGACCCACCACTCCCAGCACCACTAGGGGGGGACAGGTCAGGTCTGGTGATCACCAGCTTAGGACCTGTAGAGTAAGCCAGGAGTCTGGGATGGAGGCCGTACCCCACCCCCGCTGGACACTGAGTTCAGTCCATTTGGGAGGCCGGGAGGAGCAGGTGTGAGCCTGTGGCTGATCTCGGGCAAGTCCTTCTGCCCAGAAGATGGGGCAAGCTGTGCCCACTCCTCTTGGGAGGCCGTGAGACCTCCTGCTATCTCACCTTCCTGTCCTCTTCACTCACCGCAGAGGACAGGGAGCCCAAGCCTGACCCTGGGACATGCAAGACCTTCCCCACCTTCCACCCCTGACTGCCACCAGTGCACCTGGTTCCTGTCCCCTCCCCCCAGGAGAGCCCAGCAGGTCTGGGCGGGTGCCAGGCTCACCTTGGGGAAGTCAAAGGGCTCCTCATCCCACACGGGGTTGAAAGAGTTCCCCTGAGAGGTCCGAGTTCGGAACTTGCGACGCGTGTCGACGGGGAGGCCGAACATATCCACCTCCACGTAGATGCTCACCTTCCTGTCGGACAGGAACTGTCCGGAGATCACCTGGGGGAGCCAGGAGGGTGAGGCAGCTGCTGGGAGTCCCAACCCCAGGACACCCTGGCCCGAGCCCTCCCTGGTTCCACCTTGACCCGCAAGGCATTGGCCACGATGCCGTCCACGATGACCTCGGTGAAGGGGTCAAAAGACTTGTCTGGCCGCCTCATGAACTCAGGCTTGAGCAGGTAGCCACTGCGCCCATTGTACTCGAACACGCCTGCGTTGAGCTGCATCGCCACATCTGGGGGCGACACAGGGAGGGGGAGGGTCAGCAGGTCAGGGGTCAAGAGTCAGGAAGGACAGTGTCATGCAGAAGGGGATCAGTGATCATTAGGGTCAGAGCAAATGGTTTCCGGGCCCACAATTAGGAAAGATCAGACAGAGGGAAGGATCTAGGGTCCACCAGGGTCAGGAGTTGAGGTTAGCCAAGATCTTAGTTCTGTTTGGGAATCTGGGATTAGTCAGAGGTCCGTTCAGACAAAATTAGCAGGATCATGGGGCAGAGATCAAGGGTCAAGGTGGGCCAGTGCGTACCCAGGGTCTGAAAGTTGAGTGCCACGAGCTGGCAGCCCACATTCCAGAAGAGCTGGGGCATGTAGTTCGATGAGTCCACACGGGTGCCCTTGGGGTAGATGCGGCTGAGCTGCTGCTTGTTGTATCTGAGGTGGGCAGTTAAGGGCCATGCTGTGCACTCGCCCACCTCCGGCCTCCAGCCCAGTGCTGTGGGCCCCGCCCTGGCTCCTGTGAACCCACCTCCCGGCCTGGGCTCAAGGTGCCCCCTTGGGCCTCCACTTCTCAGCCTAGCCCCTGAGCAGTCTCCCAGACTCCCCCCAAACCCAGACGGGACTGCTGGAGCATCAGAACCCTGTGCGGGTGGCACAGCAGGCTCAGAGAATCTGAGCCAGCCTCTGAGTGCCCTCAGCCTGGCGCAATGGCCCCAATGCCACCAAAGGATACTCCACAAACTCCATAGGGCTCTTGGTCAGCTGTTCCATGGCCTTGGTCTCCACGAAGGATGACATCTCGAAGCACTTGTTCCTCTCTGGGGATGGGTAACGGGAGGGGGTCAGGCCTGGCAGGGCCAAGCTGGATCCCACTTCGACCATCTCCCACCCCACTTACTTCGAGCAGCCTCAAAGGACTTGAACTTGACAGGCTCGATGTAGTTGACGAGTGTTGACATTTCCTCAGTAGCATTGACCTCACTGCTAGCAGTACCCTGTGACCCCCAAACGCAGGTTCAGCAGTGTCATGTCCCCCAGCCACCAGCTGAAAGTTCCCTCACCTGCCCTGCACCATGAAGGAGGCTCTGACCCTCTTCCCACCCAGGAGCCTCAGCCAGGGCACCAACCCCTCCGTGGGCCCAACTGCCCCGAAGTCTTCCTGGGGCCTAGCCCAACTGCCCCGAAGTCTTCCTGAATCTCATCCTCCTGGTCTGCCTCCTGCCTCCCCAATTATGGAAGCTGGAACTTCTCACTCAGTTCCAGGGGTTCAAACACCCACATGCAGACAGGCCCTGGGCTTCTCCTCCCCAGCCAGTGTTTCCAACCACCACCTTGCCATCTCCTCTTGGGGGCTCACAAGGCTCAAACTCAACTCCTGCACTCTGAGCTCAGCAGCCCGTCCACCCTTCCCCACTCTGGGCCGCTCCCAAATCCGACCACATGGTTGACTTGTCTGTCACCTCCACTCCTGAGAACTCAACACTGTCCTTGTCTGCAGGGGCCTCCTGGACACTCGGGCCCTACTTCAACTGCCTTCTTCCCCAAATCTGCTCGCCTAACCTCCCGCCAGCTTGGACTCCCGTTCCTCCCCTCCCCGGTCCACGCCAGGAGCATAATTTCACACTTGCGTCCATGCTTGTTTATCTAAGACACCTCCCCTCTCCACACGCCCTCCCCTCCCCCACCAAACTCCAGGAGAGCAGGGAATGTCTGGCCAGGGCCAAAGCCAGCCCCCAGTGCTGTGCCCGGCACAGTCAGCGCTCAGCCAGTGCTCTCCTGCTTCCCACCGGCAGGCCAGACCTCATCTGTGGTCGGCTTTTTGGGGTCTGACTGTTCCTCCTCTTCATCCTCCTCCTCCTCCTCCTCACGGTCAGCAGGTCCAAGATCAGGGCCCCGCTGTGGCCCCTCCTCACCCAGAGACTTCCGAGGCTCCAGGCTGGGTTTCTCTAGGCCTGCCTCCTCCCCGTTGCTCAGGCCGGGGCAGCTGTCGGAGCTGGGGGACCCTGCAGAGAATGGGGTCACAGGGGGTCGGGGGTCAGGGCACACACACAGACACTCAGCAGCCAGGAGCGGTTGTGCCATTGTGTGTGGAGATGACTCAGTTGGGAAGTAAAGGGGACTCAGGACAGTGTGGCTGGGGAGAGGGGAGAGGGCAGAGGTCAGGAATTGGATGTGGTGGTGAAGCAGAGGGGGTCAAAGGTCAGGGTCTGGAGTTATCACATTAGGGAGGGAGGTAGGGGGCTCAGAAGGATGAGAAGCAGGAACTTGGGTACAGCAGCTTTGACAGTAAGGGTGAAGGACAACATGGTGAAATTCCAAGTCAGGGGTCAGTCAGGGGTCAGAGGTAAGGAGGACTTCAATAAAATCAGAGGTCAAGAGGGCAGACTGAGTGGGTGTCACAGGCGTCAGAAGTCTGAGGATCACGCTCAAAGCGTGTGGATGTGGTTCACTGAGGCAGAGGTCAGAGTTCAGAGGCACAGCCAGCTGCAGTGAGGGCTGCTGGGAGCCTGAGGTTGACGGGCCAGGAGTTGGACGGTTCCGTGCGGTGAGTGCCTGGGGCCGGGGTCAGAGGTCCCATCCTCGGCTAGGAGGTGAGGAGGGGCTTGGTGAGGGGATGGGAGCAGAAGGGAGGGTTGAATTCAGTGGGGGGTTCCGGCCAGGATGGGGTCGAGGGTCTGGCCAGGCTCATACCGAGCTGGGGCGAGGAGGGTTCCGTGGCGGCGGAGCTCTCGCTCAGCGCCGAGTTACTCTGCTCCAGCGGCCGCTTGCGCACAGAGCTGCTGGGGACGCCAGTGCTGGGCCGGTGCCGCTTCTTGTTCTTCACTAGGATGCGGCCCATCAGGTCCTGGGGGCTGGGCAAGGGGACGCCCGGGGCCAGCTGGTGGGCACAGACAGGTCAGGGCCTGCTGGGGCACCCTCACCCCCCACGCCCCCCACGGCTCCCAGTCCCCGTACCGGGTACTTGTCCAGTGGGTCAATGAGTAGCGCATCCCCGAAGATAGAGCGACAGTACTCGGCCATCTTGGCCTGCTGCTTTGCCCTGTGGGGCCAATGTTAGAGGTCAGAGGTCACAGGAGCAGTCCAAGAGGCCACAGTGGGAGGTGTCTCTGGGTTGATCAGGAGCCACTCACGAGTCCACGTGGTTCTCGAAGGAGAGGATGACCGGGTAGGGCGAGGTCTTGAAGGCGGTCTCAGCGATGGCCTCCAGCACATCCCGCAGTGGCACCTCCGTGGTCATGGTGAAACCGTGGGTGATAAAGGGCTCCTCCTCCGGCGGCCGCCCTTTCCACACATCCAGCTCCACACAGCGGCAGCCCCACAGCAGCGCCTGGCGGTACATCTCCACCGACGAGGTCCCAGCCAGCTGTCCCGCTGGAGGCAAGGCTCTGTCACCGCAGCCCCTCCCCCTCCTCCCCAGGCCCTGCCGAACCAGGCCAGGCTGGGGACAGACAGCCCCCTGGCAGCCAGGCCCAGCTGGGCCTTGGTACACTCTGTCCGGCAGCCCCTGATCACGCCTTAATTCACTGTGGACCGCCACCCTCTCTTCAGAGCAGGGCCCAGATCCCACCCAGCCCCTGGAACCCGCGCACGCTGGTCAAAGTCAGCATCTACCAGTGCTGGCTGACGGGTTGGTTCCTTCACCAGGATCACTCTCTCTCACCTAAATATCCACCATCTCCCATCCCACCAGGGAGTCACCCAACACCCTCATGGCCCCTCACTTCCCTTTCCTCCCTCTACACAGCTCCGTCACCTCCTGCCTGAGGACAGCGGGCCCCTCCCTGCTTCCCATCCAATCTCTGCAGAGCACCTGGCGTCATCCTTCTAAAAACATACCAGGTCACGTCACCTCCCCCAACTCAACACCCTCCAAAAAGCCTTTCTTGACCATGTAGGATACATCCAAATTCCTTCCCTGTTGGGTCTAACCCTACCTCCCTCTCAGCCCCCTCTCACCTCACCTGCCCCAGCCCCCACCCCAGCCCGCTTCCCTGCCTCCTCTTCTCGGCCTCCTCTCTGCTTCTTAAAAACACCAAGCAGTCTATTCTGGGCCTTTGCACAGGCTATTCCTTCCCAAAGCCAGCTGATAAAGGCCTCAGCCCTTCCCCCAGGAAACCTTCCAGACCACCCATGAGACACACCCACACAGAGAAGCCATGGTCCCCCAGGGCAGGCTGTCTGTTCCCTGCCTGCATACCTAGTACTGGCCACCCCAAACGGAGGGAGGCAGTGTACGGGCTAGAAGGCAAAGGTCACAGATGCCACTCCTCCCTCCAGCCAGGGGAGGGCAGCTCGCTCACCTGTGAGATAGGTGTTGTGTGAGGAGTTGATGAAGTAGGCGCTCAGCGGCTGGGTCATGTCTGCACTCAGATCCAGGGCCTCTAGGGGCAGGATGCCGTTCTCCTCACCGCCCAGGTAGCGGCTGAAGCCCTCCATGGACATCTGGTCTGAGGGCCGGGTAGGGTCAACAGGGTCAGGGTCAGCTGGCCCTCTCTCCCAGTCCCTGCCCTCCCTCCCACCCCAGCTGGCTCACCTCGCTCCAGGAACTGCTGGTTGGGCTCATACTTCTCAATGAGCAGCCGGGTCTGGGAGGGCCCCAGCGGTGGGTACAGCACTTCATTGAGTCTTGGGTCCCGTTGCTTCTGGTTGATGAAGTCCATGAGCTGCTCCAGCGTCAGGTATGGCTTACCCTTGGCACCTCTAGAAGGTGCAGAAAGCCAAGTCACACTGAAGCCTCACCAGCCCCTGCCCCAAGCCCTCACCCTGGCAGAGGGAGTTGGTACCCACTGACTGGGACCTGGGCAAATCACTGCCTCTCTGCGTCTGTTTCCCCATCCACTCGACACTGGCACAGGCACTAGCAAGGGCTGTGGAAGCCACCAAGTGCTTGGTCTGCCAATCCATGCCTCTAGATCCTGGACCCAATTTCAGACTCGCTGTGTGAGCTCAGGCAAGTCCACAACAGTTTAAGCCAGTTGGTTCTTGTCCCCAGCATGGGCCAATGAAAGCAACCCGAGCAAAGGGTCAGCAGAGAACCGTCAACAGGGCTGTGGGAAAAGCGGCTCTGAGCTCTGCCATCGCCCCGCGCACTGGGACCCCAAGAGCACCACTCCCCCTCCTAGGCTGGGAGGAACCCCGAGCAGAGGTTGCTGTGGAGTCCTGGGGGCTGGTGAGCAGGCCCAGTCCTGCTCACATCTCCAGCAGGATCTTGTCAATGTCCGGCCGAAGACACAACTTGTTCAGGAACCGTTCAAAGATTTCCAAGGAAAACTCATCAGGCCGGATGGACTCGCTCTGGGGGCCAAGGAGTATGGGGTGAGAACCCAGGGGCAGCCAGCCCCAAAAGAGCCCACTATTACCCCCACCTGGCCCCTGCCCCCAGCCCCCTCACCCGGTTAAAATTGAGGCCACAGGACTCCAGTGCAGTCTCTACCCGCTTCTTGTCTGCTGAGAACATCTTCAGGATGCTGAACAGGTGGGAGGGGCCAAGGTCAGTGGTGACAAAGGTCACCAAGATCAGGGCAGGAGAGAAGGTGCTGAGGGGAAAGATGCTTACTTCTTAACTGGGATCCGTCCATCCTGGTTTACCTGCAGCTTCAGTTTTGTGTATCTGGGGAGACAGGCAGAAGGGTTATGTCCTGGGAACGGCTACCTGCACCCCCATGCCCCCCAGGCAAGCCTGGGGCTCACGCTTTGCGCAGGAAGGTGTTCCTGGAGGCGTTCTGAGCCAAGATGTTCATAGCCAGCTTGAACAGCTCCTCAGCCCAGACCTGAGGGGTCAGGATGCAGAGGGAGAGGGTGAGTGAGGGCCAGAGGGGCTGGCCCAGCCACAGCCCATGGCCAGACCTGGGTGTGGTACACAGTAAGTGCTTAACTGCTTTGTCAGAGGACGGTTAGAATTAGGGGTAGAGAACAGCCTAGTATACAACAGGCTCTCACTAAGTGGTGGCTGACTCAGCAAGTGACAAGTGAGACCCCCCCTGGACAACCTTGCAGCCCCAGCACACCTTGGCTGTGTCATCCTGCACGGCCATGAAGTTCAAGAATGTTGTGTTCACTGGGTCTGGCCCAGCCACCACTGTCATCAGCTTCTCTTCTAGCCGGGCATCAGGCCCCCCAAAACCCAGCACCTCGCGGATCTTGGGGTCCTGAGTAGGTGAGAGCCAAGGGTGAGAAGCAGTATCCCCATCCCCCACCACCTCACTCCCATGCTTATTCCTGGGCTCCAACACTCACCCTGGGCAGGCGGGCATAACGACCCGTCCGCGTGTCCCTGATGGAACTGATGTCCAGTGTGTCCACCTCCTGGTGAAACCAGATGCCAGGGGGAGTCTCAGAGGCCACAGGGAGAGATCTCAGAGCCCCCAAGTCCCCCACCCAGGCCAAAGAGTGGCCACCCCCTGCTGTCACCCATGCCTCAGCCCCTGCCCTTAGCACTTCCTGTCCAGCAAGCCATGGGAAAGGTCAGCCAGCAGGTAGGGGTCTGGGGCAGGGACCGCAGACCTGAGTGAGCTGCCTCAGCACCTGCCCTCACCATGTTGGGTCCTGTCCAGTATAGGAAGAAGCCATTGGAGTCCACTCGCAAGGTCACCAGGTTCTGACTGGAGGCTTCCTGGGGATGGGATGGGACAACTGGGGTCAAGGAGTGAGGGCTGCAGCCCAGGCTTGGTCCTTGGACCCCCTGTGGCCATCCAGGGCACTGTTTCTGACAATGAGCAAAGAGAAAACCTCACCCAGCCCAAAGGTCCTTTGTGGCTCCCCACAGTCCTTAGGACAAAGCAGAGGTCTTGGGGGTGTCATCTGGGGTTCTGACACCCCTCCCAGCATCACCTCTCTCTCGCTTAAGACTGTTACATGAACCACTAACTCCTTTCCCCACTTCCAGCTTCTGCATCATTGCTCCTTTGCTAAGATGTCCTTTCCTTCCTTCTCTACCCAGGAAATCTGACCCACCTGCCTGGGGAGGCCTCCCTGGACCCCAATCTTGGGCTTGATTTCCCCAGAAGTCTGAGAGATCCCTGAAGCTTGCAGCACCCCTCAGCCCCACTGGGAATATTTATGAGATGAAAGCAGAGGGTTCAGAAATCTGACCCTCGCCTGGCTGGTGTGGCTAAGTAGTTGAGCATCGACCCATGCACCAAGAGGTCGCTGGTTCAATTCCCGGTCAGGGCACATGCCCAGGTTGTGGGCCCAATCCCCAGTGGGGGGCATGCAGGAGGCAGCCAATCCATGTTCTCTCTCATCGATGTTTCTATCTCTCTCTCCCTCTCCCTCCCTCTCTCTCTAAAAATCAATAAACAAGAAAATAAATAAATAAAATTGTCCCTCATTAGGAAAAAAAAAAAAATCTGACCCTCACAGTTCTTCTGTGGCCCTAGGGGCCCCATGACAACCAGCGTCCCCTTACGTCTGTCTTCAAGTCCATTACCCACACCGCACCCCACAGCTCACCCCATCCTACAGAGCACGGCCTGAGTAACTCCAGCAGGGGATTTACTCTGCCCTCAGAAGCAGAATGAAATCTGTCCTCCCTCAAACAGCCCTGCAGGGGGCAGGGAAGGGTGTGCTGGCCCCATTTTCTGAGAAGGGCCTGGTTCTGGGCATACTCCCAGGGCCACCCCAGGCAACTGAGGACAGCAGCCAGCGGGGAGGTCAAGAGGGACTTAGGCCCTGGCCGGTTTGGCTCAGCAGTTAGAGCATCGGCCTGTGGTCCAGAGAGACCCGGGTTCGGTTCCTGCTAAGGGCACGTACCTCAGTTGCAGTTGGTCCCCGGCCCTGGTTGGGTTGTGCGGGTGGCAGACACTCGATGTGTCCTTTTCATGTCTCTCTCTCTCTCTCTCTCTCTCTCTCTCTCTCCCCCCTCCCTCTTTCCCTCCCTCCCTCCCGCTCTATCTGAACAAAAAATGGAAAAAAGTTCTCGGGTAAGGATAAAAAAAAAAAAAAAAGAGGGACTTAGACTTGGCCAGGGCCTGAGTGGCCAAGTAGCCACAGCTAGAACTCTCCTGCCCCAGCAGGAGACCCCACTTCACCTTGGTTTCACCCCCCAAAACTGCTGCTTGCTGTCTGGCAGTCAGATCATCAATACAACAGCTTCCCTCACATTGTCCTTACTGTGTGCCAGGTCCATTTCTAAGTACTTAATATCCAGGCGCTCACTTAGCCCTAACAACACTGCGTGGCGTGCACGATTATTCTTCCCATGTCACAAATGAGCAGACTGAGGCCCAGAGAGGCTACAAAGCTTGTGAAAGGTCAAGAGGAGGGTTTGCAGCAGGCAGTCCGGCTCCAGAGCCCTGCGTCCTAGGAAGCAGGGAGCCAGGACCCTTGCCCAGCTCTCAGCTTCAGGCCTCAGCTGCAATCCGTGTGGGGCCTGAGATTAGTCTCCACTCTCCAGACTCAGTTTCCTCTTCTGGAAGATGGGACCACACCAGCCCCGCCCATCTCAGGCTTTGCTTACAAAGGGCAGGAAGTTGATCCGGGGGCAGAGAGGACGGGGGCCCTGGAACTTTGGGGAAGCTTGAGCCTCCTCACCTCACTGTGCTAACAAACATCCTCAGCCCCTCTTTGGGATTCCCAACCCTGCTCTGGGACCCAGGACACCCAAATAGTGTGAGGAGGGGAGAGTTCTGTAGTAATGCCCTCAGTGCCTCTCTCTTCCCCTCACCAGGGGTTTGGCCTTCAAAGGAAGCCCAGGCCCCCTGCTCTCTGGCCCCAAGTCCTTGTCAGCAACCCCCACCCCACCCCCAAGGCCCTCTCCCTGTTCCCACTTCCTTATTTGGGTTTATCACACTGGAAGGAAAAAGGGAAACTTTTCCCCTCAGGCCGTCTGGGGGAAGGGGTCTCCCCAGGCCCCTGGGGCTTCCAGGCACCCTCTATGGCACACCTGCTGCCTGAGGCCACGCCCCCGGCCCCTCCCCACAGCTCCCACGCCTACCCGCCCCACCCAGCCGGAAAGGAGCCCAGGGACTTCCAGGCCTCTGGCCTGACTGGGTAGGAGCAGCAAGGAAGCTCAGGCAGGCCGGGTGGCGCCCCTGGGGAAGGAGGGGCCCAGAGGCCAGAGGAGGGGGCGGTGTGAAATGAGGGTGGGGCACAGAACTGGGGCCGGAGTTGCAGGTGAAGGCTGAGGCAAGGCGGGTAAAAAGGGGGCTAGGATTTATTGGGGTTCAAAGTCTGATATTAAGGAGTGGAGCCCAAAGTTCCCCTGGAGTGGAGGAAGTTGGGGGGCAAAGTCTCTACCAGGGGGTGACTTGGTGGTACCACCCGAGGTGGGAGCTGGGCTGGGATCCAAAGCAAGGCAAAGGGGTGCCAACCAAAATAGGGTGAAAAAGTGATGAATGGAGAAGACTGTTCAGAGTAGGTCACTGGAAAGAGTAGGGTCCCAGCAGCACCCACCCAGAATGGAGGTGCACCTGGGCCAGATTGGGGGTCAGAGTCCTCGAACCAAAGAGTCCAGTACTGGGCAAGGGTCTGGGGACCAGACGAGGGTTGGAGGAACCGGAATTAGATCGGCAAGGAGGGGTAGGAAGGGCGAGTGAAAAGGGGGGCCGGGATTTATTGGGGTTCGAAGTCTCCGGGCCAAGGAGTGTAAAGCCAAATTTTCCGCAGCTGAGGGACTGGGGTGAGGGGGTGGGGGGGCAAAATCTTCATTACAGGGACGATTGGGGACTCAAGTTTCCAGAGCACAGCCAGTCTGGGATGGGCGAGGCGGGGGGGACCATGGCCAGGCCAGGCTGGGATGGGGGTCCTCGGCATCTGGTCGAGCTTCAGTGATGGAGTCCCCGGATCTAGGCGGAGCAGGGGTCTCCGCACTTACCTCGTCCCATTTGATGAACTTACTCCCGCGCCGCAGGGTCTCCACCACGGTGGGCGGCTCCAGCTGCAGCGCGTGGACGCCGGGCCTGGCGCCCGCCATGGCCGGGCGCGGGGCAGGCCGGGGACCCACGGAGCCCCGACGGGGACCGACGGCGCCGGTGCTCCCTCCGTGCGCTCCCGGGCGGCCCGCTTCGTCAGCGTCCGCCTGCCCGCCAGTCTGTCCAGGACAGACCAGAGAATCGGCGGGGCCCGGGCGGGGCGGGGCGGGGGCGGGGCCACAGCGGCCCCGCCCCCTTTTACCGCGTTGGGCCCGCCCGCCTCGCGTCGGCTCCCCCTGGCGGCTGGGGCGGCGACTGCAGCCAGTGTGGGGATTGGGGCTGGGGCATACCTGAAACCCCGGCACTTTCCTGGGGGGCTCGCTTGGATGAGCCCGGTGTGAGGCGAGGACACTTGGGACCAGGGGCGTTGTGGGTGCAGCTGGAGGGACTGGGTGTAGAGGCGCTGCTGAAGGCCAGGGTCAGCTCGCTAAGGTTTCTGAGGGGTGGAGATGGGGTTGCCACTGGAGGGCCAGACTTGTGCCAGGGGGTGCAGAGCCCTGCGTCCCCATCCCACTCCTGCAGCACTTAACCGAGTGCAGAAAAGCCACTCCCACCCCACTCCCTCTGCCCTCACTGCCTTAACCCCTCCTGCAGCAGCGTGGTCCCCCCTCCCTGGGAGCACTTAGTCAGTTATCGGGCCTCCCACCGCAGGCACCCCTCTTCAGAGACCTCCTTTGAGGACCCAAGCATACTGGCCTTTCAGAGAGAGCCTAGGAACAGCCCCTTGTGCTGCAGACCCCAGTGACCCAACCTGGAACCTGTCCTCCGGAGACTGCTTACTAAAAACTACGAAGGGGACAGCTCGTCGTTTGCCCAGAGGGGTCAGAAGCCTCCGAGGTGTCCAGGAACAGGAGGATTGCAGAGGGGCTCTGCAATGCCAGGCTCACAGCAAGTGCCCTGAAATCTGTGTTCCAGGGATGGATGGGGCTACAGCCCCTCCCGCAGGGCTTGGCTGGGGGGGCTCCTGCCTCGGGGCCCCTGTGGGAGCCCCCCCAATACAGAGGCAGAGGCAGCAGCAAGTTTAAAGTAGAACTCATCCAGAGGGGCCAGCCAAGTCACCTAGAAACCCAGAAAGAGACGGAGCTGGTTCTGGGGGAGGAGGGGTCAGCCAAGGAGGAGTGTGCCCTGCAGGACTCTTTGCCCCAGGCTCTCATATCCCTAAGGGGAGTCCTGCCTGGAACTGGCCCTCCTCAAAATCCCAACCATGTTGAACACCAACTCTAACCTAAGAAATCTCCTTATCTTTGGCCAAGGCCTTGTATGGTGTGACTGTTCTCCACTTGAGGCCCAGAGAGGGGAAGGGACTCGCCCAAGGTCACACAGCTCTGTAGGAGGTTTTCAGCCCTCTGACTTGAAGGCCAATTTGTGATCCCTCCACTTCTTGCCCTTGGGGAGAAAAAGAAAGGGGAACAGGACTTGTCATCCTCATCTATCAGCAAAGCAGCAGAACTGTACCCCTCAGAGACCCAGGGACCACTATGTCGATTGGGCACAGCCACATGTGCAGAGTGGAGATTGGCCTCTGCTCCCATAGGACTCTGTGCCTCAGTCACCTTGTCCAGAAGCTGGAGATTGTTGGAGGAAATAAGCAAATAGCTACCCCATGACCCCTGGCTACAGCAAGCTGGACATCTAAGGAATGGCTAGCAGGCTGTGGAGGGCATCAGGGAGGAAGGAGGAAAGGGCATGGATCAGCTCTGGGGCAGGGTGCCTGCCAGCCAGTACCAGGGCTAGCAGGGCCTGGAGCCAGGGCCTGAGCTTAGGGGTCTGAGCTGCAGGCCCCAGGCCTTGGACAGGTGAACCTTGTGGAAGCACTGTACAGCAGCTCCTTCAAAAACAGGATGGGAGACGTTTTCCTGGCCTGAGCCTCTTCCCCCACCCTGTGTCTCCTGGGGCTAGGGCTGCCCCCATTAGAGGGCTCCTTCCTCCTTGGACACTTTCTTCCAGCCTGGGTAATGATAATAGGGTTTCTCGGCAAGCAGTAATGGTGGAAGGAAGGCTGCTTTTCCTGCCTCTACTCTCGATTAAGGGAGCGGTCACCGCCCACAGGACCCTCCCCAGGGCCTCTGCTTCAAGGAGGCATGAAAGCAACCTTAGCTGCAGTCTGATGGAGCACTTTGGTGGAGGGGAGCTGGGACCCCAGAAAGGGTGGGGCTGGGGAGGCCACATCCTGAGGTTGGAAGGATGAGGAGCAGCCATAGCCCATAGCTGCAGACTCCAGCCCCAGGGGGGTTCAGGCAGGAACTCAAGGGCTGGTATGTGGGCACAGAGCACTGAGCTCTCAGCCCCCCACCAGTGGAGGCCAATAGAAACAGCCCTCTTGAAGAGGCTCAGGGTAGGTAAGTGACTTGCCCATGTCTTGCACTCTACTGGGCAGAACCAGGATGTGAACCTAACTCTTGCACTCTGAGGCTCTGTGCAAGGCAGCCCAGCCTCTGAGAAGGCTGCAGGCCAGCATGGCCATCTGCATTAACTCTTCTCCAGGTGGGTGGCCATGGGAAGGGACTGGATGGTCAGAGGAGTCAGCCCCAGGAATCTGGGAGAGCCCTGGGAGTGGCATAGGAAATGGAGAGAGGGAGAGATCAGACAGGAAGGGAAGGGTCACAGCCCCTGGAGGGTAAAGCTGGGGTTAGTACCTACGTCTTCATGGCCTCTAGGCCCCACTCCCACAGCAAGCTATGGTATATCCTTCTTCTTAACCATGAAGACCTCCAAGGCCCTAATCAAAAAATGCTCCCATTCAGTTCAGAAAGCAGACCAGCTCCGATGGTGTAAGCTGGGGTGTGTTGGGGAATTTGGACTTGGGTAAATTGCTCCTTCCAACAATCCAGAGGCCAGGCCAGGAATGGGGTTCCTGGTGGAAAGGGTGGGTCCTGCCTAACCTATAAGAGCAAGGGTCAGCCCTTCCTTGGCCCCCCCAGGCTGGCTGAAGGGAGGCTAAGACCAGAAGGAAGGCTGGGGGAGAGAGAGGAGGCATCAGCTCACTCTACCTGCCCTAGCTGAGCTCGGTGAGCCTGCCTCCAACCCAGTGAGCCAGGACCCTCAGAGAGAAACCCACCTTGACCCTCCTCTGAATCTCCCCCCATTCCCTGACTCTGCCTTCTCATCTTCCTCAACTACAGGGTAAGCCTAAAGTCTTGGGTTTGAGTTTGGCTACAGCATCAGCTGTGTGACTCTGGGCCAGTCTCAGCTTCTCTCTGAATCCCTCTTGCTGCAGAGGGCTTCTCAGGCACCCAGAGAGAGGGTGTCTGTGAGGGATGAGCACAGAAATACTTCCTACCTCTCAGACCTTGATATTCTGCTTGAAACTGTGGAGTGAGCCTGCCATCTGTGGGAGCATCCCAGAGGAGCTCTACAACCTTGTTGGGTGGTATCTAAAGTAAGGGGATGAGTAGGGACTTGTGTCAGGGGCCTGGGTTCACAAGCTGAGCTGTATTTCTTTTCTTTTTTTTTTTTTTTTGTGGTACATGCCCCTAGCGGGAACCGAACCCGGGACTCTCTGGTCCGCAGGCCAATGCTCAACCGCTGAGCCAAACTGGCCAGGGTGTGAGCTGCATTTCTATCTTTCTGTGGGGCTTAATGAACCTCTGCAGTGCTATCATTGAACTTTCCATGCATTTTCCTATTTAATCTTCGCCACAACCTAATGAGGAAATGGAGGCACAAAGGAAGCCATTCATTCTTTCATTCAGTCATTGGTTCAGCCAGTAGTTATGGAGCACCTACTATGAGTCTGACATAGATGCTGAGAGCTCATCAAGAATCAGGTAATTTGCTAGATGCATGTGGGTTTGTAGCTGAGCATGAGCATCAGCAGTACACAAGAGTCCGGTAGGTCTCTGGGCCCCAGTTTAGAAGTGGGAGACAGACAATGAACAAAAGAATGAGAGGGACTCTTTAAAGATACAGAGTCAAATGGGGTGGAGGTGGGGGTCGGGAATGAGATGCGCAGTCTGCTTGAGAGGTGGGGCAGGTGAGTCCCTCGTGAGATCTGAGGCACTGAGAGGCCTGAAGACCAGGGTCTGCGGGAGAGTGAGGCGCCCTCACGCTGGAACCGACAGAGTAGAACCAACTCCAGGAACGCTTATTATGGGTCAGTTGTTATTATCTTTATTGTCATGAGTACCGGCTCCCCTACTTCCCAGCTCTTTATGCCTGAGTTTCCTTGTTTGTACTCACGTTGCGGGGTGCGGAGGACCGCACCCTGTGAAGGCCAGCCTACGAGGGCGCCCCAAACAAGTTCTGCGCTTCCCAGCTCGGGCTCCGCTGCCGGGGAGACCGCCACGCGGGGCCGCACCCCGCGAACTACACTTCCCCTAATTCCATTCACCGCCGCCATCTTGGCCGGTGGGCGGTGGCTGCCGGGGTCTGGCCCTTCCGACCGCCGGGTCCGTTCTGTTCACCCCCAAACCGGGCCTCCACCATGGGGGGCGCGGGACCCCGCCAAGTAGGTCGTCCGGGTACCTGGGCAGCTCCTGCCCGCCTTCGCTCTTCCATCCTCGGGAGCCCGGTCCACGTGTCCGTCCGCGCGGAGAAGCCTGCTCGCCCCACGCTGGCCACGGGCTGGAGGACCCAGACGCACGGGGCTCCCACATCTCCTCGCCGGACATCCGCCCGGCACACAGTTCCCACTCCCCTCCCTCTCCAGACGGGCCCTGTTTTTGCGTCAATGTGGACAGAATACTAGGGTTCCAATGGGAGCACAAATCCTGGTACTGGGCGCCTAGAACATAGGAGTTTGGTGCCGGAAAATGAGTGGGGTTTGCAGACCAGCCAGGCCCAAAGCCCTGACGAGTAGACCCTCCCCTAGCCCCTGCCGGGGGCGGGGTGGGAGTGAGGGGCCTGCAGCGGGACTGGCTCTTTAAGGGGGTGTGGTCGGGGGGCGGGGGAAGAGAGCGAGACAGAGAAAGCGGCTTCGGCGGCGGCGGCTCGGGCGGCGGCCGCGGGGGACAAAGGGCGGGCGAATCGGCGGGGAGGGGGCGGGGCGCGGCCAAGCCAGGCCCGGGGGCTCCGCATGCTGCAGCTGCCCCCGGGCGCCCCCGCCGCCGCCCTCGCCGCGAAGCCGTGCGGAGTCGAGCCCACCAGCTAACCGAGCCAACGACCCGCAGCTACCCGGCGGGCGTCCCGGAGGCGGCGGCGCAGGGAGGGGCCGGACACGCGCACGTGGCCCCGGCGGCCGCCATGGCGGACAGCGGCCCGGCGGGGGGCGCGGCGTTGGCGGCCCCGACCCCTGGGCCCGGAGGTGGTGGCCCAGGGCCCCGCGTCTACTTTCAGAGCCCCCCTGGTGCTGCAGGCGAGGGCCCGGGCAGCGCGGACGACGAGGGCCCGGTGAGGCGCCAAGGGAAGGTCACGGTCAAGTACGACCGCAAGGAGTTACGGAAGCGCCTCAACCTAGAGGAGTGGATCCTGGAGCAGCTCACTCGCCTCTACGACTGCCAGGTGTGTCCTCCACCCCACGCCGACACCCTATAGTCGGTTCCGAATCGGTCCGCCTGGGAACCCCACCTGAGCCTGCCTGTCACCCGGCGTCAATGGGCACACCGCTTGCGCGCGCTCCCCTCCTGCCTGTTCCCCGCCCCCAATGTATGCTCTTTTTTGTCTGACTTAAATCATTCCAGTCTTCTCTACTGCTTCCCACATGCCACTATCCTGGTCAACTTTGGGGTAGCCTGTGGCTTGGGCAGGAGGCATGGGGACAGCCTGGGCTGGCCGTGGAAGGAAGTCTACTCGGTGCCTACTATCCTAGCATGGTTACAAGAGGATAGCTTGGTTGGTGGGGGGACCGTAAAGCCTATGGGTTATTTTAGTGGGCTAGCCTGTAGCTCCATGGTGTGTCAGGACAGGATAGCCTGCTCTCTGGGTTCTAGTTCTCTACCCCATGACTCCTTCCTTGCTCAAATGGTGACTCAGGCCCCTGGGGGCAGGGTGGAGAAGTGGGCTTGCCCTGTGCTGCCTACCCTAGCCCGGCCCTGGAATGCAGCTGGCTCCAGACCGTAGTCACTTCCTTGGGGGGAGGGGTGGTAGGCACCCCTCCCTCAGCAAAGCATGTGCTCTTTGTTTCCCCTTTACCAGCCTGGGTCCTTCTCACTGACCCCTCACCCTTCACTTCCTCCTCACTCCTGGGAAGCTGTGACAGGTGTTTGGGGGAGGGGAAAGGGCTGTGATAAGCTGGGACAGCTGGCACCACCTGCTGTGGTTGAAATGGGGGATCCAGAAGTTAGGGAGACACATCTGCAGGATTCCCAGCCCAGGGTCCACAACCCTAGCTGTCTGGCACCCAGGGTGCCCAACTGGCAGAGACAGGAAGCTCTCCCGCCCTCCCCAGTCGGGCAGTTTGCCTTGGCACAGGCCTGATCTGTTTTCTTCCTTGGAGCAGCTGCCGCTGTCTGCTGGGCAAAGAGGGCTGGCTCGTCCACAGTAGGGCAGGGGCCTCAGCCAGTGAGCTCCTCTCATACTCTCTCTCCCAACTCAGGCCCTTGTCTCTCCCTCCTCCCCCACCCCCACCCCAGGAAGAGGAGATCCCAGAGCTGGAGATTGATGTGGATGAACTCCTGGACATGGAGAGTGATGATACCCGGGCTGCCAGGGTCAAGGTGAGAGAGAGGCTGAGGGGGTAGCAGGATCAGGTTGGGGGACCTGGAGTAAAGGGCTACCAGGAGGCAGTGCCAGTTGGGTAAGCAAATTCTGGAGCCAGGCTTTCCTTTTGTCTGAGTCAGCCAGCTTTGTGACACTGTGCCTCGGGGTGGCCCCAGTCCCTTGGAAGTGGGTATGGGGGTAAACTCTAGGCCCATGTTCCTGAGAACTCAGTTATACTTTCCCCCTATGTCCCACTAGGAACTGCTGGTTGACTGTTACAAACCCACTGAGGTAAGTGGTTTTCCCAGAGGGTGGGGGAGAGGGGCCTGGGCTCCTGTCATCTTGGGATCTTGTCTCCCTAATGTCCTCCCTCTTGTCCAGGCCTTCATCTCTGGCCTGCTGGACAAGATCCGGGGCATGCAGAAGCTGAGCACACCCCAGAAGAAGTAAGGGTCCTCAACCCAGGTGAACGGTGGCTCCCACAGGACAATCGCTGCCCCCTGACCTCGTAGCAACAGCAATACCAAGGGGCCCTGCAGCCAGGCCTGGTGCCATGAGCAGGGCTCCCCTTGCCCCTTGCTTAGGGGCCTCTTCCCTACCCCCTATTTTCCATTTTTGGGGTTTTTTTATTATTATTAAACTGACGGGACTTTTTGTGTTTTTATATTGACTCTGCGGCGCGGGCCCTTTAATAAAGCTAGGATATGCCTTTGGTGCAGCTAACAGGCTTGGTTGATCTCTTTTAGGGGGGACACACTGCTCTACAACTGTTAACCAGCTCAGCTTCTCCCCAGGTGACTACAGGACTTCCTGAGGGCCACATAGCCATGGTGATAGCCCAATGCTGGCTCCCAGACCAGGAGCTAGAAGTAGCTGGGGAATTGGGGGGGAGCACTGCTGCTGTTAGCAGGCAAGACACTTTCTTCCCTCTGGGCAAGGGCCACCATGCCACTCAGGGCCTGGCCATCTTGACCCACAGGCTATTGAGTCTAGATTCCAAGGCTCTGAAGCCACAAAAAGAGGGGTACAAGATGCTGAGGAAGAGGGGAGGCTGGGACTGTGGTTTCTAAGTCTCTCAGGGCCCACAAACAAACACAGGCTCACTTCATGAGCTTTAAGAGTTTTTTTTTTGTTTTTTGTTTATGTGTGTGTGGTTTTCTTTTTTTTTTTAATAGTCTGGTCCCTGATGGGGGCCTCTCCACCGGCCCTCTCCCCAGCTTGGCTACAGTTCTGAACGTCGTTCGATTTTGAGCAGCTCCACCTCGAACACTAGGGTTGCACCACCTGCAGCAGAGAATTGAAGTGGAATGAGAACCAGGGCCAGAGGGAGATGGGGTGGGTGCAATAGAGAGGAGGCAGGAAGGTATATTACCTGGAATCTTTGGGGGAGCTCCCCGCTCTCCATACCCTGTCAAAGATGCACACACAAAAACAAAAACAAAAAAGTGAGCTGTAGCCAGGCAAAGAGAGGTTCTGCAGACATCCAGGCTGAAATTGGGCCTCTGCCCATCTCAGTAACAGACAGAAATGGAGGTGTAATGGCTGGAAGGGGGCTGTAAAAGGCTGGATAAAGGGCACAGGGTGAGCATTAGAGCCGCGTTTAAGGGTCTTGCCGTGTCCTCACTGCTGGACACAGCTAAACTTGGAAGGGGCATGAACTGTAATGAATGCGTGGGGGAAGAACAATGCAGAGGTTGAACCAGCCTTCACCCTTCTGCAAACATACCCCAAACCCTATACCCACTCAGGAAGAACTTCTTACCCAGCTCTGATGGGATCACCAGCTTCCGCTTTTCCCCCTCACACATCCTGCAGGACAACACATGTTTAGCACATGGCAGCACTCAGGCTCCCTGCTCCACACCCCATTCCTGGGGCTTGCCTCCCACAGTTCACCTCCTGGACCACAGCCATGGCCCCCTGACTCACCCCAGCAGCCCCTGGTCCCAGCCCTTGATGACCTGGCCGGTGCCCAGGGAGAAGACAAAGGGCTGGTTCTGGGGCAGACTGCTGTCAAACTCCGTCCCATCTTCCAGCTTCCCCTGTGGGACCATGGGAAAGCCAGTGAGGAGGAGGATCCATTCTGATAGCAATCCCCCCAACCCCAGCTGCTCTCCTCATCAAGCTGTCCCCCCCACAGCATTAGACCATAGTCCTAATAGGAGATAGAGCCTGTTGGTACCAACCTTGGGAACAGACAGTGAAGAGCAGGGCAGAACCATGGAAACTGGCAGAGGGGAGAAGGGACTTGCCCAAGGTCACCCACCTTAGCAGAGAAATCTGGCTCCCAAGCACTTTTTGGTCTCTAGAAGCCCCACCCACACCCAAAAGCTCTGCCTCCTCACCCACCGTGTAGTGCATGTGCAGGACATCCCCTTTGCGCGATTTGATGGGACAGTGGTCTACCCGCTTCTTGACCCCGATCTGTAGTTTCCGTTTGCCCTCGGCCCCCGCGGCCGTGGCTAGGGCACTCAGGCAGATGGACAGTACTGTCAGGACCCAGCTGAGTCTCATGTCTCTGCGGGAACAGACCCCGACCGACCAATCGACCGACAGGGAGGGCAGGAAGGGCATGGAATACCTGCAGGTAGTAGGATTCCATCCCACCATACCTCGTCTGCCCCTGGGGATCCCCCTGTCCCGGGTCACCGCCCCCTCCCCCGGGCTCCGCGGCCACACTTACCAGTCCAGTGAGAAGGGGACTTTCCCGAGGACCCCAGCAGCGGGGGGAGGGGGTCAGGGGAGGCCACAGCAGCCAGGGCCCCGCCCCTTTGTTCACCCTTAGCCCTTCCTTCCCTCCAGGTCCCCAGCTCGGATCTTCAATTCCCACCCGTCCCTTTACGCAAAGTCCAGACCCTATCTGGTTGCACAGCAGTTGCGCGGACGGGGCGACACCACTCACGCCACACCCAGTTGCCCCCCGCCCAGCACACCCACACCTCTGCCGCCGCCGCAGGGGGCCGGCCCCGAGGCACCCACACATCGCCGCTGGGTGGCTCCGGGGAGCCCCGGTCCTCTGGGGATACCCCCCAGGCAGGCCCTGTGCCTCCACCTGGGGCGCCGCCCCAGCTCTGAGCCCTCGGGGGTCTGCGGGGTACCCAGACTGGCCCCGTATCGGGTGACCGCCGAGTCCGCTCCACCCACACCACCTCTCCCGGGGGAGTTCTCGGCCTACCACGCTCCCAGGCTCGGCCACCACGGAGACCGCCCCCGCGTGGACGCCCGGGGCCATTACCTGGTCCTACCCCTGCGCCTGGCTCCTTGGATCCACCCTTTAGAGGGCGTAGTTCCGCCCCCAGCCCCGGAGCCCCACCCTCGACAGAACTAGATCTCTTTTCCTTAACTGTAGCCACGCCACTCACCGGCTTAAGCCCCGCCCCCAGCACCTGGGCTTCGTCCCCCTTGGTCTCCAAACCCGAGGCTCCGCCTTCTGCCTGTTCCAGCTCCTCCTCCAAGGTCCAGGCTCCGCCCCCCACCAGTCCTAGCTCCGCCTCCAGCCCCAGAGTCCCGCCTTCCACAGGTACCAGCTCCGAGGTCCCACCCGTCTCTGTTCCACGTCCGGCCCCGACTCCCGGGGCTCCGCCCCGTGCGGTGTGAGAACCCTCCCCTTGCGGCATCCCCAGACAGCTCCTACACCAACCTCCAGTTTCCTCGTAACCTATCCCTCCTTGACACTCGGAGACCCGGCCTGATCCAGCTTTCCCCCTTACACCCCGGCTCCCCCCAGCCCGGGCTGTGGCCCCCGCTCACCTCCTCGCCGCGCCCCCGGAGTCAACTCCAGTCGTGCCGTCGCCTCTGCGCAGGCGCGCTGCTGTCGCTACCAGTCGAGGCCACGCCGCCCACCCTCATTGGGCCGTGCAAAACCCGCTGCCACACGCCCGCTGGGGAGGATTCTTCCCTAGCTCCGCCCCTGCGACATCACGTGACTTTTATCACTTCCTGTGGAGCAGTAGCCGTAAGGTTAGGTGAAAGTGACTTCCGAAAGGGCTGCAGGCACTTCCGGTTGAGGTGAAATTAAGGTCAAGCGGGCGCGGTTCCTGGAGGGGGTCTTGAGACGCCATTTTATGTCCCCCCCAGTCTCACCCACGACGCCCCTGATGGCTCTCAGGATCCAGCATCCCCAGTTAGTTGCTGTGGAAAGAGCCTGAGCTTCAGAGTGAATTGGGTCTGAATTCAGGGTCTGCCTCTCATTGACTGACTCTGTGACCTTAAGCAAAGTTCCTTCGCCTAGCAGGGTCTGGCTTGATAACACCCACCCTGCAGGGCCTGTAGGATTGAGGCGATGGTGTACACTGCCAGGCTCTGGTCCACAGTTACTACTCCCTTTTCTCTCCCCCAGCATCCAGTCTTAGGTCTCCATGTCGCCCCTAACCGCTGAGTCAGACTGTAATGATGTGGCTGGGCCCGGTCCCCAACCAGACTGTTATTTTTCACGTGCCCCAGTACCCAGCAAACATCTCAACTGAAGTAACGAACCTGCTGTTAGCAGGCAGCTAAACCTAAGTTAAGTGTTAGGGAGACAGCTGATTTGAGGTCAAATCCCTAGGTCAATCAGACTTTCATCAAATGAAAAAGGAAGCTCGGCCCTGGCCGGTTTGGCTCAGCAGTTGGAGCATTGGCCTGGTGACCAGAGTCCCAGGTTCGGTTCCCGCTAGGGGCACGTGCAAAAAAAGAAAGAAAAAGGAAGCTAGTCACAGAGCTGACCTCAGAACTGAGGACTGAGCAAGGAGGTGCATATGGACCATTGTGCATGTCTAGTGAGGCTAAGCGGACTCAGATGATGGTAGTTTTAGGTCCCTAACCCTCATCTCACTCCAATTGGGTTATAGCATTTTCACTGACAGCATGGATATCATGATATGAAAATATTAATCACCCTCAGGAATTGTCTCTTCTAGTTTAACCCCACTTTTGCCTTGGGCCCAATAAGATCACTATCACATCCTCGAGTCTGACACCATGAGGGTGGCTGCTTTGAATTAACTTCTGCCCCCGAATCTCCTGCCTCAGCAGGGCAAAGCCATGTGTACCGAGTTGGCCTTTGGCCCACCCTACTCAGCTCCAGGAAGCACTGGAGCCTGCAAGCAGAAGGCTGGGCACTGAGCTTGGACTGGGGCAGATAAAGGTCAGAAGAGTCCCAAGCAGGGGTTGGTGAGGGGCACCCAATGTGAAAGGGAGGTGAAGGTGGAGAAGATTTGGGGTTGGGGTGAGAGGGGCCTGTCTCTCAAACCAAGCTGAACAGCCACAGATCTTTGGTGCTTCCCATTCAGGGAGGTGGGAGAGAGGTGGAGACAAGGCAGGTGCATGGTTTTAGAGTTAAGCTAGAGGGAACAAAAAGCAGTAAACACAGTACTGCCCGGCACGGAAGATAGGTGTTCTTTTCTGTCAAAACATACTCAAACTTTCCTGGAGCCCACGGGCCCAGACCATAGTGACCATCTGTGACCTCCATGTGCACATGTGGAAACCTGAGGCTCAGACAGAGAGGGGCAGTGACACCCAGGATCATTCAGCAGATCTGGTTCCCACCTCAAGCTCACTGGCCATAATAGGCCATCTCCTTCTGGAGCAGAGGGGCAGGAACTCCCTAGGGCCTGGCAAAAACATGAATGAGAAGAATACATGATTTGGGCTGTCTGTGACATGGTGTGGAACCTTGGGCCTCATTTATTCCAACTGCACAGTGAACAGAATAAGCTCTATGTCTAAGAGGCATTCATGTTTGAACCAGCCAGCCTGGACAGTGACAAACAGTGACACAGGCAGGGACAGCTCCTTCCATCTCTTTTATCAGGATTGAGGGTCACAGTTCTCATACCAAAGCCCAATTCCCATCATTTGCAGAGGATCAGGGTCTTCTTAGTAAGGGCAGGGAAGGACCAGTTGTAAGATGCTCACTTGCACAGGGTGGTTAAACACTGAGACAGGACCCCATTCTCTTCCAAGTTGGTACACGACCCCTCTTGCTGCCTCTAAGTCTTCTCCAACTCTGCCCACCATGTTGATGGCAGCCTTGCAGAGACAAGAGATGGCCAGAAAGCCCTCTGAGAGGCCCAGATCCTGGAGCAGCTTCTGCCTGGGCTGAGGTCTTAGGGGGCTGGACTGTTCTCACCAGGCCACCCTCTAATCCCCCTCTGGGGTGTGGCCTGTGAGGCAAGAGGCCCCGCTGAATCTGAAAAGTAATGTGTCACTTTCGCAGCTTCCGGCACCTAAGGAGAAGAGGAAGGGAGTTCTGTTCATGCTGCCACAGCTCAGCATCTGCTCCTCTGGACTCTCGTTACCTTCTGTGAAACTCATTCTTTTTTTTAATCCTCACCTGAAGAAATTTTTCTATTTATTTTTGGATAGAGTGGGAGGGAGAGAGAGGAAGAGAGAGAGACATTGATATGAGAGAGACACATCATCTGGTTGCTCCCTGCACAACCCCGACCAGAGCTGGGGACAAACTGCAACTGAGGTACACGCCCTTGACCAGAATCAAACCCGCGACTCATGGGACTGCAGGCCGGCACTCTAACTGCTGAGCCAAACAGCCATGGCTGCGAACCTCATTCTTTCTTAACATTCTTAAGAAGCCCCAACTGGCCTAGCCCACATGATGCCACTCATGGCCTCATTGAAGAAGAGATGAGTGGTGAGAAGCCCTCAGACAAGGTGAACAAGGGCTGCACTATGTACCCTGGCCTCTCAGAGCCCATAAGGTGGGACAAATGTTTAACACAGGTTTCTAGAAGGCCCAAAGCTTTGCAAACTGAAAAGCTGTCTCTCTCGCTCCTACTTCAGGCAGATGTCACCTCCTCCAGGACATCTCTGACTTCTCAAAGATGATGCCAGGTGGCCCTTACCACAGGCCTTTACAGCCTTTGCTGGCATCACAGGTCCTTATGTTGGACTTCTGCATTGGAATGTGGGCCTTGTCGATGCTGATCCCAGCGCCAGCAGACGCTTGGTAAATATTTGTTCAACGCATTCAACAGCTTCCCCTTCCCTGGCTCTTATCCCACTGGCAGGCTCACCCTGGACCTGCTCCAGAACAGGGCCTTGAGGCCTTCCCAAACAACTGCCACCCTACAACTCCTCACCTGCAGGTGTCTGGGTTGAGCTCTAAGCCCCGCCCTTGGCAACGGAGGAAGCTGCGGCGTCGGCAGCGGCAGCGGCAGGTCCTGGGGTCAGGGCGCTGGTGGCGCTGGGTACAGCGTGGGCAGAGGGGCCTGGGGCTGGAGTGGGATGGGTGATGTCAGCTTGGGAGGGTGCTCCAGGGGCAGAGTCCCAGCCCGAAACAGAGCGGGGCTGGGGACGGTGGTGGGGAGTGTCAGCCCTAGGAGGAGAAGCAACATGTCTGGGGTGGGAAGGAAGAGTCTTCCCTGAGGGAGCTGGGGTTGGGTCAGGGCACACAGCTGGGAGCAGAGAAAAAGGGGAGTGGGGGACACAAGTGGGAGGAAAAAGAGGAGAGAGGACCACAGCTTCCTGACACACTTGTTTAGCCCCGCCCCACCCACAAGTTACATCCTGGGCACTGGGCCTGGATTCCAACCCCAACTCAACAGGAGCCCAAGAGACTCACCTGTCAGGCTTCACAGCACTCTCTCTTTTTTTTGGTCTGAAAGAGAGACCAACAGAAACAAGGAGGAAGAGGATCAGGACAGCCAAGCACCCTACTCTTGCCCAGATCCCAGGCCTACCCCGGCTCCACTCTCAGAAACCTGGCCCCACTGCAGTGTACCACCATGCCCAGCACCCCCCAAGCCTGGTCTCTGCAAGCTCAGAAGTGGGGTGTGGCTGGCACCTGCATTCACACTGGCTGTGTTCTTCCAGGGACATTTCCCCCAGCTGGCTGCTTGGATACCGGATCATGAGAATCTGTGTCCAGGAGAACAGGGAGAGAGAGACAATGACAGAGAGAGAAAGAGAAGAAAGGGACACTCCATGGGCTGGAGGGAGAACACCTCACCCACCTGCCAGGGCTCTGGCTGCCACCCCATCAGCCCCCAGAGCACCAGCCTCTATCCCCAGCCAGGCACTCTCCAGCTGCCCCAGTACCTGCATTCGGACTTGGTGCTGCCCAGTAGGCACGCACTCCAGGCCATCGTCAGGGCAGCAGCCACCACAGCGCTGCACAGTCACACAGCTGGGCACCAGTTGTTTGGCCACGGTGCCCATGAGCTCCAGAGTTAGGGGCACAACCACCTCCCTTGGCTGGCAGGTGGCACGAGCATACACATCTATCCATGACACCACTGTGGACAGATGCGTAAGGGTTAAGTTCCCACTGGATTTCCTGCAGCAGCTCCCTGACTCCCCTACTCCTGCGCCCAGCAGCTGTTCTCGCTAGTTCCTGTGTCACAGCCACCCTCCACGAGCCCCCACTTCTGCCCTCTCAATCTGTTCATCCAGAACCCAGGAACCCCACTTCCTCAATTTTCATTTTTGTGAAATGGGCAGAATAAGAGTTTGCATCATACAAGAGCAGCTGCGATTACACAAAATGATGGACACACAGCAAACCTTCTTAAGTGCTGGCTAGTGTGAAGTTATTGTCACTATTACCTTTCTTCTGGTGGCCAGGGGCATCAGGCTGGGAGACAGGCGCCTGTGGAAGAGAAGAGAAGTGGACTCAAGGTGCATTCTAGTAAGGGCTACACTGGCCCCAGGGCTCTGCCCTTGGTCAGGAGGCTTAAACTCCTGACATTCTTCCAGACTGCTCTATTTCTGGGTCCACTCTACCTTTACCTGTCCTCTCCTGGGCACCTGGGACCTGCCCCTGGCCACGACTCACCAGGCGCGCTCTGCCCAGGAGTCCAATCTCCAAGCCTGGGGGCCAGGCTTGTTCCTGAGGCCGCAGATCAGAAAGGGGCACAGGGGGAGCCGAACCAGGTCCCGCAGGCACCCATGCGGCTCCGCCCCTGGCTGCGCCCAGGGGATGGGGTGGGGCAGGGGAGTGGCCCCAGGGTTGGGCTGGCAGACCAGCTGGGAGGGACATCTCCCGGGGGGATGCCCTAGCCCGACTCCTGCGACACCCCCGACACCCCCATCGGCTGCCCGACCCACGAATACCCTCGGCCGAAGCCGCTTCACGCCTCCCCACTTCCGCCAACCTTGAGAGGGCACGGCGGGCGGGCAGGCGGGATGTCGGGACGCACGTACCTGGGCGGGGGCCAGCTGCAGGAGCGCCGCGAGCAGCAGGCGGCGGAGCAGGGGGCCCATGGTGCCCACGGGGGCCGCGAGCCGGGGGCGCCCGCATCGCCCTAGCCTGGTGGCGCCGGGGGCGGCGGCAGCCAGAGCCCCATGGCGCGGGCCGGGGCGCGGCGGGCGGGGGCTGGGCGCGGGGGGCGGCTCCTCCGCGGCCCCCTCCCGAGCCCTGGGCGCAGGCAGCGCAACGCAGCGCAGCGGAGGCGGAGGCGGCCTGAGGAGCCGGGCGGGTGGGAAGCTGGTGGCGGCGGCGGCAGGCGGTGGCGGGGACAGCGGGGGCGGCAGGGGGCCGGCCCGGGCTGGCGGGCGGGCAGCTCATGTGACCCAGACACGCGCTCCCCACCGGGCCGCGGGGCAGGGGCGGGGGCGGGGCGGGGGGGGCGAGGCCGTAGGCAGGCCCGCCCCCTCCATACACCCCCTTCCTGCTGCAGCAGGGGAAAGGGGACGAACCGCCCAGGGGGCCGGGCTCCCGGGTTGCCTCTGCCAGAACTCGGAGGGCGGGGCGCTGTCCCAAAGAGAGGCTGGGGTGGGGGGTGCTGGGCCTTCAAGATGGAGCAGACATAAGCGCTGAGAATCACTTTATTGCACAAGTTTTGGGTAGTGGGAAGTCCCGCAAGGGAACACATAACAGGCTCCATCCAGGTGAGGGGCTCAGCGGGGCATAATCCTGGGGCCTGAAGGAGGCTCGGCTGGTGGCTGCAGCTGCTGCCTCTGCTGTTGCTCCTGTTGGAGCCTGGCTCTGTTGGCCCTGCAGGAGAGAGCAACAGCATGGTTGGAACAGGGATCCTAGAAGGTGGTACCAGCACAGTGAAGAAAGTGAAGGGTAGAGCAGGGACAGACCTGGCCCGGGCCCGAGTGTCATTGTAGATGGCTGTTATGATCCGATCCTTTTCATCCATGAAGCTACGGTGCATCTGCTCCAGCTTCCTGCATGGGGGTTACAGTTAACCCCGGGTCCCCCAAACCCTGCTGTCCCCCAAGTTTCACCCCCTGCATCCCACTCTAGGGTTTCACTGATTTATATCTGTGGGAAGCTCAGACGAACTGTCTGTGCTGGATGGGGAGAGGGGTACAGAGTGGCCAGGCTTGTCCAGGGTTCAGTGGTGACCCAGGTCATTTGGCTGTTCTGCTGAAGGTGACAGTAGCACTGAACATCAGGGTGGTCCTCGCAGATTAGAAAGTGTTGTATGTCTAACTCCATCACTGAACTAGGCAGGCTGCTAGCAGTGGGCACTGCCTTATGTACCTTTGCTGTAGAACCTCAGTGTCATGGTATGCATGAGAAAGCTGACTGCCAAACAAGTGAGGACAGTTGCTGGTGAGGCCCAGTTATAATGCATTTCTTTCTTTTTTTCTTTATTGATTTTAGAGAGAGAGGAAGGGAGAGGGAGAGAGAGGTGGAAACATCGATTGGCTGCCTCTTGCATGTGCCCCATTGGGGATCAGGCCCACAACCTGGGCATGTGTCCCAATTGAACCAGTGACCTCTTGGTGCATGGGTCGACGCTCAACCACTGAGCAGTACCAGCCGGGCAATGCAATTCTCTCTTTTTTTTTTCCTTGGCCAGAATCGAACCCAGGACTCTTTGATCTGCAGGTGGATGCTGTAACTGCTGAGCCAAACTGGTCAGGGCTGCATTTCTTTCTTGTGCATGATTTTGGTTGGCTCCACCAATCCCTGGCAGCCAGCACCAAAGATTTACAGGAAAATTATAAAAAACAAAACAAACTGAAAATGACATTAGTTCTTAGTACAGAACTGCCTTTGCTAAGTAAGAAGAGGCTCCAGACACCTATTTAAAATACAATTCTTAGCTTGAGAAATACAAGAGTGCAGGCCACAGGCGTGGTGTGGATGGCTGGCTGACCACACTGCCCCCCATCACCCGCCCCAGGAAAGGCTTAGGATGCACCTGAAGGCAACATAGTGCAGGCCCATGCCTGCCAGCATGATCAGGAGGCAGTACCCCAGCACCTGCTGGTTGTGTCTGTGCTGCCTCCGCCTTGACTCTGGTCCCTGAGGCCTCACACCATGAAACTGGGCCCAGTATTGTGCATTGGGGGGTGCCCAGGAGCTGCTGGGAGGGAGAAAAAGGGATAGTGTGGGGATGAGATTCCCTAGGAGACTTGGAGGGGAAGAAGCAAGCTGAAAGATACTGTACCTGTGTGCTTGATGACCAGGCCTGGGATGGGCTGTGGATCCTGCAGACTTTGGGGGAGTTGCTGAACGGAGCTGGTGGTCATAGTTGCGGCGGCTCTGCTCCCGGCTGAGGACTTGGTATGCTTCGCTCAGCTCCACAAAGCGGCTGTGCAGGGCTGGATTCCCGGGGTCCCTGTCAGGGTGTAGCTGGGGCGGGGCAGGACTTCTCTCATATCCCTTCCCATGCTCCTTCCCTGGACTCGATAATATCCACCCATGAGTCTCAAAATAATTCCCAGAGACCCTGTCTAGACAAAGACCTTAACTCTCAGGTCCTCAGGCAGGCCACCCCACCAGAAGCCCAGAGTCAGAAAGCACTCCTGCTCCCTCCCCACCTGCTGCCTAGTTCTCACTATATGCCCAGGTCCATGTATTCTCAAGAGCAGGCAGGTCAAGAAAATCAAGCCCAGCCACCAGACAGGACCTCTGGCTTTCCTCACACCCTGCCAGACCTCTGCCCTCCCCCTCCCAGAGACCTAGGACCACTGGTACCTCTTTGGACTTGCAGAAGAAAGCTCGTTTAACTTCTTCAGTGCTGGCACCAGGATGCACCCCCAACAGTTCATAGTAGTTACTGGGGCCAGACCTGTGGAGAGAGGCCAGAACCTGCAGGGACTAAGGAAAAACAGAAGATACCCCTTCCCTGCCCCTCCCAGCCCTGCTGGGCCACTTCTTTCAACTCAGCAACCAGGAGCTGAGAGGGCTGAAGCAGGTGCCATGGGAGACCTATCTCCAAACCATCCCTCCTTTTTGAGTGTTTGGGGAATGGTGCAGATCAGACCAGTATCTCAAAATGTAGTCTTCAGACTCCTTGTGTCAGAAACACCTGAAAAGCGTATTTAGAAAAAAGATTCCTGCCCAGTCATTGTGGCTCAGTTGTTGAGCATCGACCCATGCACCAAGAGGTCACCGGTTTGATTCCTGGACAGGGCACATGCCCAGGTTGTGGGGCAAATACCCGGTGGGGGGGCCATTCGATGTTTTCTCTCATTGATGTTTCTATTTCTCTCTCCTTCTCTTTTCTTTCCTCTCTCTAAAATCGATAAAGAAAAAAAAATTCCTGAGCCCCACCTCATTCCTACAGATCAGAATCTCCAGAGCAGGACCAAGAGATCTGCATTTCGCATTGAATTTGGCTTTGACTAAAACTCCAGATCTGCCTCACAACTCACTGTCTAACCTTGGTGGTTGTCCCTGAATTTCTGCTCCTCGGCAATGGAGAGTTACCTGAGACAAGGCTGTAAGGCACCTGACACAGAGATCACAACTATCTCAGCACCTAGGGCAGGGCCTACAGCTGGGCAGGCTCTCAACAAAAACCCACTGGACGACCGGGCCGGCACCGGGACTCCGGCGACCGACTCACCGCTGCCCGGCGGCCTCTGCGAAGAGCCGGGTGGGAGAGCTGCGGGGCCACAGCCGACATAGGCACAGGGGCAGCAGGGGCAGCATGGCGGCAGGAGGGCAGCTGGTGAAAGGAAGCCACAAAGAAGAGTGCATTGGGACCGGCTTTCAAGCACTCCGGGGGCAGAGGGAAGGGGCCTGGCCCCGTTTACTTGCGAAGGAAAACTCAAGCAGTTCCGGAGGACCCATGGGCAGGTGGGGCCTCCTTGCTCAAGACCAGCCCCAGTGTCCTGGACCTGTCCTGTCTCTGACCCGGGCCCTTCTCCACATTGGCCTTGGTGTCTGGACAACCAGCCGCGAGCGAGGAGAACCCCACGCAGTCCCACCCAAGAAACTTGGGGGGTCGGACAAAGGAGGGGCCACACCAAGCCCCACCCCTGCTGCGCTCACCGACTCCTCCGCCGCCATTTCCTGCGCTGACTTAGGCCCCACCCCCGCATTCTCATTGGCTTAGACACCCAGACCACGCCCACCCAACCGGAAAGTGCGGCGAGGTCCCGCCCCCGTAATCCATTGGCCTTCGACACCTCAGGCCAGTCCCCCTCGGCGGGGTGCGTTGGACACGCTGAGTGCGGGTGTCCACACCGGAAGCGGGAGGCGGGCGGCACCAAGCCTGACATTCGTGAGGCTTTCGGTCCAGCTGTCGTCGCTCTATCCCACGAACATGGATGTCACTCCGCTTTGTGGGAGACTTTTTAAAAAATCCTCACTGGAGGATATTTTTCTGTTTATCTTCAGATACAGGGGGAGGGAGAGGGAAACAATGATGTGAGAGAGACACGTGGACTGGTTGCCTCCCGCACGACGCTGACCAGACGCTGACCAGAGCCGGGGAGGAACTGCAGCTGAGGCTCGTGCCCTTGGCCGGAGTGGAACCCGCCGCTCCTTGAACCCAGGGCGCTCTACTGCTGAGCCAAACCGGCCAGGCGCGAGACGCTTCACAGGGCAGCGTCCACCCCACAGTCCACCATGACCCTCATCAGAGCCTGGCAAGGGGACACGGCTCTCATTCCAGCTTGCAGAGGGCAAAACTGAGGCTGGGCTTGCTTTTTTCCAAGTCACTTGTCCTGTCTCTCTCACCCACCCCAGGCTCTCCCAGAGGCCCCTCTGTCTCGTGGAAACAGCACATGTCAACGAAATCCAAGAATAAAGTCCTTTATTCTTTCGAGCTGTGGTGATAGGGCTGGGGACCCTAGGGGATTCATGTGGGACTTCCCTGGACCCGGTTGTAGAGGAAGATGGCACCTTTGGCGGAGGGGCAGAGCTCGGCCCACATTTCAGTCTCCTGCAACCTCCTCACGCACTGTGGGGAAACAGACATCCAGACATCTAGCCCTCAGGTCTCTTGCGGGAGCTGTGCCCAGAGTTCCTGAGCCTCAAAGCCCTCTGCACTGTACAGTCCCTAGGGAGACATGTTAAAGAGGCAGAACAGGTCCCTGGTCCTCTCCCTTGGGCTTTGGGCACCCCCTAACGAGGCCCTGTGGCTCTAGAGAAAAGCTCTGAGAGATTTGGGAGCTCTGTCTGGCACCCCTAAGACAGACATGAATCACAGGCCTCTGCGAGTCCCAACACCAGCTCCTTGTCCAAGCAAGACTTTGCCACCTCGTACCTGTGTCTCCACAAAGATAATTCCCGTGGACTCGTGGGCCTCAGGTCCCCCATTCATGTAGTGCTTCCTCACCTGCTCAGAAGTCAGGCTGCACCTGGGCAAGACATGAGAATGACCTAGTGGGTGCCCAGCCCCTGGAGAGTCCTGTGGAGCCCCAGCTGCCTCAGCCATGTCCCTCAAGCACTACCCAGCCCAGGACCCAGGACCCTGTTCCCCAGAGCTCACTCACTGGACGTAGAACTCGGCACTGGCACGGCCTGCACTGGTCTCATTGCGAGCAATACCCAATAACAGCGGTTGGCTCAGGGTGAGTAGTGGTAGGTTCACCTGGGGCCAGGGTCCCACCGTCAGTGCTCATTGCCCACATCCCTGCCCCTCTCAATGAAGAACAGCACATGCATTACCCTTATACAGTATTTTACAGTTTGTAGCTCAAGTGCCCAGAATCACAGGATGTTGGATCTCGGGCATGTTCATTTTACAGATGGGAAAACCAGAACCAGGGATTGAATAATTTGCCCAGAGTCACCCAAGGAAAATCGATAAATCGACTTCCAGTTACTTCTCTTTTCAACAAACCTGGGGGAAGTAAGCAAGACATTTATCATTGTTCACATGGTAAAGAGGAAGAACCTGAGGCACACAGAAATGAGGGCTAGAATTCCACTCCAACTGCAAAGTCAAGTTGTCCCCTCAATGCCACATTCCTGCAGACCCTCCCACCACCCCAGACCAAGGTTAATTCTGGCACATTTTACCACCTCCTTCCCGGCCCACCACCCTGTCCTGTCCTCCCCTCACTCACCTCATCACAGATCTCCTGGAGGACACTAGAGAAGAGCTCGTGCACCACTAGCTCCCCAGGGAGGTCCTTGTGCAGGGGGCTGTCACCAGGGCACAGTGCCTGTGAAGGGTAAGGCTCAGCCATGCTCCCTACCTCTTCCGCCCCTGCCTTCCCCCATACTCGCTGGCCCTGAAGGCCTGTTTGGGCACAGTGTAAGAGTGTGGTGGTCCCCTGACCCAGGCTTTCCTTTTCCAGATGGACAACCAGAGGTCCAGCTAGGTCGTTGCCCCCATTACGTAGCTTCTCACAGGTCTGGGGAAGGGATCAGTTGGGAGGCTGAGGGACTGCCTTGAGCAGAGACTTTCAGAGAAGTACCAGGTCAGTTCCTCCTTTGAGGGATGAGGACAACAAAGCTGAGCTGTCTGGGTCTTTGTGCTTTTACACGCAGCCTAGCATCTCACCTGAGGCTCAGGGTGCCCACCAGGCACATCCACTAGCCCAGGTGCCTCAGCCACCCGTCCAGAGCGGCGCAGGAAGACAAGGAAGTCATCAGCAGTGGTCAGTGCGGCACCCACCCCCAGCGGGTCTGCCAGGTAGGCTTGCTTGTCACCCCAATCGACAGCCCCCTGTTGTCGCAGCCAGGCAGCTGAGCTGGCCCAGTTGGTGCCCAGGAAGTCTCGATAGGAAGTAAGGCCCAGGCGCAGGAGCAGATGTGGCCTCTGGGAGTCAGTGGGCGCTAGGGCAGCAGAGTGCAGGCGGAACTTGGGAGCATCAAATAGCCAGGGCTGGGCCTGTAGTCGGGTCTCCCAGACAGCAGCGATGGCCTTGTCCCCTCCTGGCAGTGGACGACGATCGTAGGCTGGGCTCAGCTTAGCCCGTACTTGATCCTCGGGCAGCCCGCCCCGCGGGCACTGCAGCAGCAGAGACACCTCGGGGTCCATGGTCTGGACCGGGCTGTGGGGAAGGTCACAGCCAGGCCTGTCACCTTGCGGAACCCACAGCCACCCGCAGACCTACTGAGGATGCCCCAGCCGTTTTGCACCCTCCTGGGCAGTAAAGTGTCATCATCCAGCAGGAGTCCGAGACTCCTGCTGCCAGAGGACATCCCTGGGACTTCCGGGCACTCCTACACCCAGAGGTCCCGGGTCCAGTCACTCCCTAATATCCATGTCTCCCAAACCCAGGGGTCCTGCCTCCAACGCCTGACTCTCAGGAACCCCTCCCAGGGTCCAGAAGCTCCAGCCTCCAGCGGGTACTCACCGCCAACTCCTCCTGCAGTCTCCGCCCCTTTCCCCGAGCGGAAGTGCCCGCCCCTCGCTCCCTGGCTTCTCATTGGCGGGTTTCGGCGCTCCGAGCCAGCGGGGTGGGGCGCTCCGCAGGGGAAGCTGCTGCGCCCACCGCTCGGTCCGCGCGGCCCCTCGGTCCGGGCCGCCCCGAGCTTCCCCCGGTCCGCGTGGACGCCGGCCCCGCCTCACAGGCCGCCTCGCCCGACAGACCCGCGAGCCTGGAGAGCGGGCCCGGCCTCCTTGGGCTCCGTGGCGACAGTGTCACCTTGCGCAAGCCTTGCCAGCTGGGCCTCAGTTTTCCTATCCGCACCGGGGAGTCCGAGTGGGAAGTGAATTAATGAGCTGAATAGCCGGGTCCCAGCTCTCACAGCGTGAGGCTTTGTGACTTTCTGAGCCGGGTGGAGTCCCGGGAGGGTCCTTAACAGTCCCCACATGCCACTGCTCCCCACAGGTTTTGGCCATGAACTCCGGAGGGAGGAAGCTGGAAGCAGCAGGACCCAGGGGTGGAAGGGCTCACAGATCCCGGGAACAGGTGCGCCCCTTCCTACCCTCACCCCCACCCCCATGATGGAAGGGGGAGGTAAGAGATCTCTGGCTCCCTGGAAAATGCTGGTGGGGTGGGACTGGGGGCTGAGGATACTATTGTCTGGAGAGCACAGGTCTCCCCCTGCGGCAGGTCATTCAGAGTTCAGGGTGGGCAGCAGGGCAGGATCACCACAGGACCAGGGGCCACCTCTGAACTCTTGCAGGACCGAGATGTGCAACTGTCCAAGGCGCTGTCCTATGTCCTGCGCCATGGGGCCCTGAAGCTGGGGCTTCCCATGGGGCCTGGTAAGTGAGGGTTTGGAGGCTGGAGTAAGGAGGGGCTCCAGTGCAGGGAGCAGTGTGAGCCTGTCTGTGATGGCCCTCCCCCATGGCTCCCACCACAGCCCTATGGGGATGGCAGATAGGGTACATCCCTCCATTTACAGGGAAGAACCAGAGCCCGATATCATTTCTGTGGCAAACTGGGAGAGGAGCCTCAATTTGGGCCAGGCCTGTGACCCAATACACACTTATCCCAAAAGTGGGCATGGGGTGGGGTGGTGGTAATGCAAATGAGGATTATTGAGTATTCACTTTGAGCCAAGTACTGTGCTAAAAAGGGTCACTTTATCTTTGTAACCCTCCATGAGGCAGATCTTATTCCCTTGGCACTTGAGGAAACAGCCCCCAAAAGGGAAGACTTTCTAAAGGTCACACAGGTGAACCCTGTGACCCCCAAGCCCAGGCTTTGTTCTGGTTGCATATGTCTCCCCCTGTTAACTCTGGCTCAGGCCAGAGCAAGTTCAGCTCCTGAGCACCCCATCTGCCCGCAGGTGGCTTCGTGCCCCTGGGCGCCCTCCTGCAGCTGCCCCAGTTCCGCAGCTTCTCAGCTGAAGATGTGCAGCGTGTGGTGGACACCAATGGGAAGCAGCGGTTTGCCCTGCAGCCAGGGGACCCCAGCACCGGCCCGCTCATCCGGGCCAATCAGGGTCACTCCCTGCAGGTGGGGGCTAAAGGGACAAGCGGAGAGCCAGGTGGGACCCTTGCCTGTGGGGGGGGTCTCACTGCCGCCCATTTCCCAACCCATGCCAGGTACCTGAGTTGGAGCTGATGCCCCTGGAGACACCACAGGACCTGCCCCCGATCCTTGTTCATGGCACATTCTGGCAGCACTGGCCCTCCATCCTGCTCAAGGGCCTGTCCTGCCGGGGAAGGACGCACATCCACCTAGCCACAGGACTTCCTGGGCACCCTGGTGTCATCAGTGGTCAGTGCCACCCCCAGCTACTCCCACCTACTCTCTCCTCCCAGGTCCCCCTCCAAGGGTCCTAAATTCTTTTGTCCAAAGCCTCCCCATATCCTGTATGCAATAGCACCCGCCTCCTCCCCACTGAGTCCAGGACCCCAGCCTGCCATGTTCGATAACTGCAACCCCAGATGCCCCAGGTCCCAGCTCCAGTTGTCTCTGCAGGCATGCGGCCAAACTGTGAAGTGGCTGTGTTCGTCGATGGGCCCCTGGCCCTGGCAGGTGAGTTGACACAGCAGGGACTACCATAGGCCTTCAGATTGGGCCTGAGTCACATCTCTGGCTCTGTCTGCAGATGGAATTCCCTTCTTCCGCTCTGCCAATGGGGTGATTTTGACTCCAGGAAATGCTGATGGCTTCCTGCTTCCCAAGTACTTCAAGGAGGCCCTGCAGCTGCGCCCTACCCGTGAGAAGCCTCACTCCACCCCTATTTGTTGTGTCTGAAGCCTGTGCCCTCTGCCCTTTACCTCCTTCCAGTTCCCAGCCCCAGGCTGACTTACATCTCCCTTTCTTTAACCAACTCATCTCTATCTCAGGAAAACCTCTTTCCTTGGCTGGTAATGAAGAGGCAGAGTGTCAGAGTGGCCCCAAGCACAGCTCCAGAGGAAAAAGGATAATCTGACAATAAAATATTTATTTTAAAAAAGAAATGTAAAAAGAAAAAAAAGACACTCCAGTTTGAAACCACGAATTATCATCCTGTAGCTACAGCTGGTCTTCGTTGTGTGCCCAGGGACTACAACTAGGTCAGGGGCGTTGGTCTGGCCACTCAGATAAGGGAAGGGTGGCATTATAGAGCTCAGGACCCACCCTCCCTAGCCTGGGGGATGGCAGTCTGGTCCAGCCCGGTCCCTGGTCTGCACAAAGCCAGTGACAGCGTGAATGTGCCCAGCTCGGTGAATGTCTGGAGAGGGTGTGGGCAGTGAGTTCCAGTGGGTGTGGGCTTAGGAGTGGCCATGGCAGGTGGTGAGCGGGACAGGAGCAGGAAGACGAGCCTCAGAAGGCCTCATGGCCTCCTGTGAGCTGAAGGAAGAGGTCTTCATCCAGTTCTTCCCCTCGGGCCCGCTCCCGAGTTGACAGGAAAATGTAGCCCCCTATGTACTCGTGCACAATGCGGCAGCTGGCAGACACGCAGCTGAAAGCCACGTTGATGTGTTCATCAAACTCAATGGCCACCTGCAGGGCGGGCAGTCAGAGGTGGGATGAGGGAGCAGCCCCTGCCCCGCCCTGGCTGGGTCTGGCCCAGCCCCCTCCCCCTGCCCGTACCCTCACTGGGGGCCCACCTGCCGGATGTCCCAGTTGACATTCCACTGGCGCATGTTGCTGAAGCGCCAGGTCTTGACCACGTCTCCCACGGCCAAGTCAATGCGGATCAGTCGATTGTTGGCGATGCCCAGGATCTCATCTTTCCTGCTGCCCTTGAACCTGGTCCCCAGGAGGACAGAGTGTGAGCAAGGGCCCCACCCCCCTGCTCAGAGCCTGCCCAGACAGCCTGGTGCCGTGTTCAGGAGCAGGTTTTGCAAGTAAGTCATTTAGGTTCCCTGGGCCTCAAGTTCCTCATCTGGAAAATGGGAGTTAATTGGTATAACCATTATGATAACCCCTAGCGTTTCCAGGCGAATAGTCTATGCCTTTAAATAGCTTTTTTCTGTACCACCATCCTGTGTTGCCTCTCTCATATCTTTGCAGGCTTGGAAAGGGGGCAAAGGGGGCACTCCCTGTCACAGCAGCCCACGTTGGCCCTGTCCTACAGACCAGCTAACAGAACCTGTGGCAGAGCTGGGATGCAGCTGGGTCCCCTGTTCTCCTAGCCTGATCTATCTCTCCGTTCGCTGTGGGGGTGCAGGGTAGGCGGGGCACAGGGGGTGCCCTCAGTGAGGTCTGCCTACAGAGAACAGGAAGGGAGGCTTCAGGGTGCTGCCCACTAGGCAGCAGGTGAGGGCCGAGAGGGCCAAGGAGACTCTTACTTGACTGTGACATAGGAGATGCCGAAATCAGGCAGGGACTGCCAGGCCTGGATGAAGCGCAGCTGGGCCTCGGACAGCGAGAGCTGGGCCACGTTCTGGTGGGCTTCCAGGATCCGTGGGGTAAGCTGTGGGACCACACGGGTAAGAGTCTTCCGAAGTCCTCTGCAAACCTCCCCCCCTCCGCCGCCTGTTCTCATCACGGGGAGAGGATGCTAAGCCTAGGGCAGGGGCAGTGCCCGTTGTGGGGCCACCGTAGTGTACCCTCTCATACTGAGCTGTGGGCAGCTGGACTGTGACCCCCTCTCCTCGGGAGGGGACCAGCACAGTCTCAGGGAATGGGTGGGAGGGGGAAGGAGTGAGCAGGGGCTTTCTGGAGGAAGGCTCTGTGCAGATCCAGGGCCAAGGATGGCCAGGTCGTTCCCACCACCCACCCCCTCTGCCCTCTGGCACCTGTTTGGCCTTGAACTTCCTCTGGAAGCGGGGGGCAACAAGGCCATAAGGGTTGAGGCCCTCAGGGGAGGCATCAGGACCCTGGGGTGGGTTGCCCAAGCCCCCCGTGCCTGTCCGCTGCAGGCTGAGGAAGGCCAGGATGGCCTGCACCTCACTGCTGTAGCTGCTGTCCGCCATGGTGCGGCCCTTGGAGGCCAGTCGGCAGCCGGCCATCCAGCGGGCGTACTGCTGCTCCTGGGGTAGGACAGGGAGGGGTAAGGGGCGGGCCAGGCTCTGGTTCAGCCCCCCACTGCTCCTTCCCTGTCCCCACTCCCGCCTTAGCCAGGCCCTGGGCCCGCCCAGCCCTCACATCCTGGCACCGCAGGTAGAGCTCACTCATGCCCTCAGGGGAGGGCACCAGGAGTTTGATGCAGAATTTCTGGCCTGAGACGTTGACATCCGGGACCACCTCGCAGCCTGGAGGGAGAAGAAGGGTGGGCTAGAAAGCAGGAGAGGGGGAGCCCTGCCTGAGAGGCCCCCAGGCAAGTGCCAGCCCTGCACAGCTGCCTGAGGACAGGGCATCGTCCCTGGCACTCTGGGGGAAACTGAGGTGGCAGCATTCACCTGGCCAGCCCACAGCTCTGCCCTGTCCCTGTCCCAGCCAGGCCCCCCTCACTCACCCTTGAGGTTGAGTTGCTGAATGGGGTCCCCTGGGGCTTCGTCCTGGCTCTTGTAGTAGGACAGTGTGGTGTCCTTGAACACCACCCAGTGCTGGCGGTACCCCTTCAGAGTCAGCTTTCGGGGCCTGAGGGTGAGGTGGTAGGTGGTGACAAGCCACCTCCCTCCTGCCTCCCTCTCTCCACACGAGGCCCTCCCAGCTGGGCTGCCAACTCTGCATCCAAACTCACCGGAAGATCCGGAGATAGTCCTTCAGTTCTGGGATGGTGGTGAGGCTGTCCTGGGGAGGAGAGGAGTCAGAGGGGGGCCCGGTTGTAGGGCTTGACCTGACCCCAATTGCTGACCGGAACCCCTCCTCACCAGCACATCCATGCGCGCTGACCCCTCCAGCTTCACCTCCAGGTTGCTCAGGGCTGCATCTAGGTCGTCCAGCCCTGGGTCTGCGCCTGCGGGTTCGCTCACCTCCCCGCTCTGGGACAGCTTGTTGATGTGGTACTGGGTGGGGCACAGGCCAGGGAGGGCTCAGCGGGCAGCCCATTCACCCAACCGTGCCCTGCACTGAGCTGCCCCGGAGATGGAGCCCCACTCTGGAAGACCCTTTTTGCCCCGGGACGGGCCTGCAGCCCTGCCACCCCAGGCCCCCAGGCCTGCCCAGCACCTGCAGGGCAGCAAACACCATCATCTCCTCCTCGGTGCAGTCGATCTCCTCCAACAGCAGGTCCCAGCGAGCCTGCTCGTACAGCTGGGTCAGCCGCACTGGGTCTGCCTGGAGAGATGGGAGGGACAGCTGGGTTGGTCAGGGGTCAAGTGCCCTGAGTACCCTGTGCTCCCAGGCCCTGCGAGCCTCGGCCCTCAGCCCTGCCCTCTGTGCTGTGGCAAGCTCATTCAGTGGCCCCACGTGGGCAGAAACCCCAACCCAGCCGCAGAGGCTGCCTGCTCCATCTGCCCGGGGAAGTGGCACCTTTTTCCTGCCGAACCTTTTTGTATAGATGTCTATTGTGCACCCCACATGCTGCCCAGGGCAGAAGGGGAACTGAGAAAACCAATCAATAAATATGCAAAGTGATCCAAGAGTGTGATAAGAGCTATAGAGAGAGAGCTGCCCTGGGTTGGCTCACTCATGCCCTCAGGCAAGGACACCACACGTTTGATGACAGATTGGAACTGGGTTGCTGGGAGCTACTCTATATGCGGAAGCATCCAGGGAAGGCTTCTCTGAGGAGGCGACATGCTATGCTGACATGTGAAGAATGACCATGGGCCACTAAAGGAAAACTGATAAGAAGAACATTGCAGAGCTCGGAGTGGGATCCCATCTACCCTTGGAAGACCAAGCCCGCGCTCCCTCTGAAACCCACCACAGTTTATAGCAAAGGCAAAAAACAAGGTAAACCCAAAAGGACAAAGGAGAGAGGGGACTAGAGCAGGTGAGAGATACCATTTTGGAAGATGAGGAGCAAAATGTGAAAGGGAACTGGGCTGCAGGGAGAGAGAGCTGGGGTCTCCTGTTCCCCCTTTGTGTTCTGTGGCAAAGGCATTGATAAGTTTTGAAAATAGGTAGAAAGCAAACAACAAAAAGAGCAAAGATCTGGACAAAGGCATCCGGTTCACATGGCGGCCCCAGGACAGGCTCCGGATTGGGATCCTTCAGCTGAGAGGCAAGAGTGGGCTGAAATGAGGACTGAAGAAAGTAGATAAAAGGAGCAGGTCCCTCCCCACTTCCTGCAGCCAAGTGACAGCCAGCTGACACCTGGCAGAAGCCAGAGGTTTACTCTCTGAGCTACTGACCCAGAGGTGCCCCTGCATTTGGTACTTAAGGCACAGCTCACGGAGCTGGGGGGTGCTGAAAACAGATGATTTAAGAGAAGGTTAGCATTCTTAGAGATGAGACACCCAGACCTTCCCCCCTTGTCACCCAAGACATTGGCAGTGAGCCTTCTATGCCCAGTCTGGAAATCAGAAGGTCCATTGTTGAGAAACAATGAGTCAAAGAGAACCCCCCCCCAAAAGAGTGGTATTCCTGCCCTAGCACCCCCAGGAGGCCCCCCAAATGCCAAGCTCTATTCATGCACTCAGGGTTTCCAGTTGGCTTATAAGAGCCTTCCGTATGGATATAAAAGGACGGGCAAGGACTGCCCACATCTATGGAGAGCTGCTAGCATGAACTAACAGACCAAGAGAAACAGCAAACAAACAAAGAAGAGCCTGGAGGAAATAAAGACAAGGTGGGGAGCAGAAGAAAACTTCCAACACTAGTCAACATCCTTACAGAGACAAAATGCTGCACTCATAAAACAAGAACAGGATGCTATTTTTACAAGAAACGTAAGTATAAAGTTATAGTATTTAAGACTGCGTGGCACCCTGGCTGGTTTGGCTCAGCGGTTAGAGCGTGGCCCGCGTACCAGAGAGTCCTGGGTTCGGTTCCAGCTAAGGGCACGTACCTCGGTTGCAGTTTGTCCCCGGCCCCGGTTGGGGTTGTGTGGGTGGCAGCCACTCAATGTCTCTCTCTCTCACATTGATGTTTCTCTCCCTCCCGCTTTATCTGAAGATAAATGCAAAAAAAAAAAAAATGTCCTCTGGTGAGGATAAA